GGTTTGTGCATACCATATCCTAGACCCAGCAGATGCAGAAGAAGGCTCTGCATAGCCTTATCTCCCAGTCAGCAACCTCTGATCAGCACAAGGAGTACATTTACGACGCTATGCACTTGCTATCTCAGTTGTACATCCGTCGGGGCAATGTCGATCGCGCGCGAGTCGAGTGTGAAAAATCGTTACAGGCACGACGAAGATTGCTAGGAAAACAAAGTGGCGCGTCTCTCGAGTCGATGGCGCTTATGGCACATATATATGTGTTGCTAGGTAAGCGTGCGCGTGCAAAATCGTGCCTGGCCATGATACCGGAAGCAAGCCGAGAGACCGTTCTGAGGACTGTCGAAGACTCTTTGGCTACGGATGTGGAACATCTCGAGTTTTCGTCGTTACTGTCCCGAGCTGTACCTACAGAGAGCGAGGTGGCCATAGACCGCACTCCCAGCAGGCTCTCGACATCCACGCTCAATGCCCCATCAGACCGCCATGAGAGCGACGCAGGGTCTGTGATGACGAGATCGCCTGCCGCAGGCCCATGGCGGCTCCATCGAAGCCTTGCATCCAAAGACAAGACATTTGAAGATTCCATGTCCTTCCTGGAACGGTCGCCGCCTATGCCGGGGACAGTCGATATGAGCCCTCCAGACGGCAGAGAACGTACTCAGCAGCACAGTCCAATCCTTGGCAAAGTTGACCCCACAGGCACCAGCCAATGTGGACCCGAAATACCGAAAAGCAAGACCCTATCTCGCAAGGAGATACTCAACAAGGTTGGGTGCCAACCAAGAGATCGCACCGAAGAGGCTGTCTGTGACGGGGACCTAGCAGCCTTGGCAACCATCTTGAGCAAAAAGAAAGGATTCTGGAAATCGAGCCTGCGCAAGCGGGGCCGCCCGGAACGTGTGACTGCACTGCATTTCGCTGCACTATTCGGCGAAATCGACATGGCACAGCGCCTCATTGACGCAGGTTTTGACGTTAACGAGGTTCCTTTTGGCTATTCAACGAGACTGACACCACTGAACTTTGCCATTGGCGCTCGTCAAGTAGATATGGTCAGTTTGTTGGCTGCGCATGGGGCAAAGCCAGCGCATCCAGACACCTGGTCCACATTAGCAGGGCAGCTGCTAAGTCGCTCATGGCTGATGAAGACCATGTCAGATTCCGAGCGCAATCTGGTACCGTCGCGAATAATTGCAATCATGGATATCTTACTGAAATGTGGGTGGGACATTGACACACCAATATCGACGACTGCTGGCACAATGCTACACCAAGCTGTGTCGTTCTGGACTGGCGCATACAAGTGGGACCTCAATCTTCGTGCCGCGGTGACTTCGTTTCTATGCGAAAGAGGCGCAAGTCCCTTCGAAACGAACGGAGAAGGCAAGACCCCTTATGACCTGGCTGCCGCTTCAGAGCATCATGACCTTATACAAATTTTTGAAGCGTGCGTGAGACGCAAGGAACTTCTCGGGACGTCAGCGATGCCTGTGGAACTGCCGGGACAGATCCCTTGGTAGCGCCTCAAATCAGTCGCATGGGGTATAGAGCCAAGCACCTGATTTGTACTTACATCTTGGCAGTCGCCCAAGGAGCCTCAGACTCGTAATGTAGATAGTGTTGTATCTCAGATGTTAATATTCCAGGAAAGTGTTTGAGATAATTGATGGTGAAATGGAGATAGTCGCCAAGTAATAGTCAGATTCGATAATTCGCTCGTGGGTGTGTCATGTAACTCATATAGTGTAATCTCGCCGTCTATATACTGCATTGGAAAGAATAGAAATCGTGACAAAAACGGAAAATGACTGGTTGCCTTACTAGAAGAAGACCACTGGATCTGCCTGCAGCTGATTGAGTCCAGGCAAGGAGTCATGTATGATAGTGCAGAAGATATCATGTGACGCTGGTGGGTCGTCCTGCTTATCCGTCAAAGGCGTGAGGCGAACATTGCGTACTTGGTTCTTGGCCTCGGGACTCAGATGGCGTATAAAATCCAGGACAGGTAGATAGTTGAACGCATAGAAGTGAAACTGGTTTTCGGAATACATGACTGAAAGACACTCGTGATAGATCAGACGGTTTGTCCGTAGAACATCGAGTGTTAGATGCCGGTCTGGATGCGGGCGACAGTTTCGGTTCCATGTTCTGCTGATGGAACGCGAATCGCAGTCGGTGTAGAGGATAAAGCGTTTGTTTGATGAGGGTAAGACGTATCTGAAGATTTCCCTCCTGATCTCAGATGGAATGCGGAGTAACGGAGGGTAGGTATCCAAAGGTGAGATTGTCTCTGGAATGGAGATTTGCTTTTCTACCGACTCTTTCGAACGGCGATCTAGACGACGTAGGCGGATTTCATCTGTTGTTTTCGGGCTTGGCACCATCTAAACACCTGTCAACACCACCCGGGACCATGTGTATGGGCGTCCTGACCTTCTTGGCAGATGTCTTGGCCGGCATGTTTGCAATATGGACTATTACAAGGGACAGATGCAGACGTAGTTAAAGCAGCAACAGGTTAGGATGCGAGTGCAGGTTGTGTCCGAGGTAGGAACGATAGGCGGAGCGGTCACGGGATCATATGTGCGCTCGACGATATCACACAAGAGCAGACAAATTGACGCGTGTACGATGTGATGACAACCGAATCAGGGTTGCGAGACTGGAGGACGGCGGAGATGTGGTACAATGCATAGAAGGGCGGTAGAAGGTCGACAGAAGGTTGCGGGCGGAGAAGAAAGGCCGACCTCCGAGGGGTCACGTGAAAAGAGACGTGCCCTGGAAAATTCATGGACGCGTCTGCGGGGACAACATACAGCTGCGCATAGCTCGACAATACCCCTCACGACGCACTGCGAGCTTTGTTGCAATTTCCAAGCCCCGAGGGACTAACTTTTACTTTTTGTATTTGCACTTCCAGCTAGCATGTCGTTCGGCGGTCAAACACCGACCATTGTGGTGTTGCGGGAGGGTAGGTGCCTCAATTTCTCCTACTGATTATAGAACTAACGGTCTCAGGTACCGACCAGTCACAGGGTCGAGGCCAAGTCATATCAAACATCAACGCTTGTCTTGCGGTACAAGCCACGATCAAAGGAACATTAGGGCCTTATGGCGGTGACCTGCTCATGGTCGATGAGAATGGCAGGCAGACAATCACCAACGATGGCGCCACGGTCATGAAGGTAGATGACGCCATATACACTAAAGCAGCGGAGCCAATTCTAATTGTATGCAGCTCCTCGACATTGTTCACCCTGCCGCCCGCGTCCTCACCGATATTGCACGATCGCAAGATGCCGAAGTGGGCGATGGTACCACCTCAGTCGTCGTACTGGCGGGAGAGATACTAAAGGAGATCAAGGACTTTGTTGAGCAGGGAGTCAGCAGCCAGACCATCATGAAGGGTCTGCGAAGAGCCTCACATCTCGCCGTCAACAAGATTATGGAAATCGCCGTAGACACCGCCGAGGGCAACCAACGCGACACACTCCAGAAGCTTGCCGCGACCGCCATGAGCAGCAAGCTAATCCACAGGAACGCCGACTTCTTCACAAAGATGGTCGTCGACGCCGTCCTTTCGCTTGACCAAGACGAATTGAACGAGAAGCTCATTGGTGTCAAGAAGATCACTGGTGGTGCGCTCCAAGACTCACTCTTCGTCAACGGCGTCGCTTTCAAGAAGACATTCTCATACGCTGGTTTCGAGCAACAACCAAAGACGTTCAAGCAGCCGAAAATTGTGTGCCTGAACGTTGAACTCGAGCTGAAGAGCGAAAAGGACAACGCCGAAGTACGGGTGGAGCAGGTCTCGGAATACCAGGCGATTGTCGACGCGGAGTGGCAGATCATCTACAACAAGATGGAAGCGCTATACAAGACGGGTGCCAAGGTCGTGCTCAGCAAGCTTCCCATCGGTGATTTGGCAACACAGTACTTTGCAGATCGCGACATCTTCTGTGCTGGACGTGTCGCCACCGACGATCTAGACCGTGTATGCCGAGCAACAGGCGCAAGCCTCCAGTCTACCTGCTCCGACATTCAAGAGAAGCATCTCGGTACTTGCGAGTCCTTTGACGAGCGACAGATTGGTGGCGAACGCTTCAACTTCTTCCAGGGTTGCCCAGAGGCCAAGACATGCACTCTAGTGCTCCGTGGTGGCGCAGAGCAGTTCATCGCAGAGGTCGAGCGAAGCTTACACGATGCCATTATGATTGTCAAGCGCGCCATCAAGAACAGGAATATCGTCGCTGGAGGTGGCGCCATCGAAATGGAGATCTCGTCATACCTACACAACTACGCCGACAAGAACATTCCTCACAAGCAACAACCCATCATCAAGGCATTCGCCAAGGCCCTCGAGGTTATCCCTAGGCAACTGTGTGACAATGCCGGTGTCGACGCGACCGATATTCTCAACCGCCTGCGAGTAGAGCACAAGAAGGGCAACATTTGGGCAGGTGTCGACTTCGCAACCGAGAGCATAGCAGACAACATGGAGAAGTTTGTGTGGGAGCCTAGTCTGGTCAAGATCAACGCTCTACAGGCGGCGACGGAGGCTGCCTGCCTGATTCTGAGCGTTGACGAGACGATAAGTATGACCTCACTCACTACCCCATTTCACACATGGAACAAGCGCTAACTAATGACACAGAGAACCAGGAGTCGCAGCAGCCACAGGCACCAAACAGGCCGCTACCACCGGGCGCCGCACAAAGGGCACTGGGTGGCCGAGGTCGCGGAAGGGGTATGCCCAGGCGGTAAAGTGTCGTCGGGATCATCAAGGGGAGGGCGTATACCATACCATGATAGAGATTCGCTATACACGAAGAACGGCCGTCTATGAAGTAATGCGAAAAAGACTACTCGCTCGCAAGATTGTGGCATCCTCGGCGTGAATATTGGTATCTGCTTTCCATGAGATATTAATCTTAGTCTTCCACAACACGGGGTGTCACAACTGCCTTTCCATGTATCCAATCGAGTTCTAAGATCCCGCTAGTGTCTTGACTTGAACGTGTTCTTGCTCGTGACAGCTATACATGTGTGTCTCAGCTCTGGCTTGCGGCTAAAAGCCCCAAATCTTGCGTAGATGTTCAGCTCCTCGTATGATAGAAGTGTATATGGCTAGGCCTGTGTGACCACAATGGCTTCGCGTGTTCAGCTGAAAGTTTCTAAGCGGGTGTTGCATGGGCGTTCTTGGATAGGCTGATGGCGGTGGTGGTGGCGATATGGAGCGGGTTGTAGGAAGTTGAAGACATGGCTGTTACGTCATGCCATACACCAGCGTTGAGGGCCGAGCTATGATAGACCCGCCAAAAGATAGCAAGGAAGTGGGGTTGATGCTTGAGAACGACTTTTAAAACACTTGGTGGTGGCTAAAAGGTGTATTGACTGAATCGATGGACGACTCGGGCAAGTTGAGAATCAGGGCCAAGGCGATGACAGTGTAGAAGCTTGGAGTATCAACTAAGGTAACGCATTCCCCTGATTCTACTCCAGATGATAGCGACATTATAGCTGATTGCGTGACGAAGGAAAGATGGCAATTCGTACCAAAGAAAGGACACAACTTTGGTATCGGAATTGGGCAGAAGTCGCTTCACACGTACGGATATATGGCGACAGTTAGTTATCCAAAATCTACTTTGTTGATGCTTCTCAGAAGATTAGAGAGGGAAAAGTCGCCCGGCTTCGGGATCACCGGGTACTTATGGACTGATTGAGAAATAGCGATAAATTGGCAAGAGAAGGAGTTTGAGATCTACCCTTAGATCCACGCCCAGATTACGGAGAATTTAGAAGCATATACTGAGCCATAACGCTAGTTGAATTTGATCTGCATAGCCGATTGTTCAGTTCTGATTGTTGAAAAAAAGGTAGATACGTAGCCCGCTCGCATGACTATTCCTTAATACCTCGTTCACTCCAACTCATCCCATAACTCTTCACCCTGCTAAAGTAGAATGCGCGGTCGTTTTTCAATCCGAATTCACCCCAGTCATCTGTCAAGCGGTTGTAACTCCAGTATCCTTGCCAGACAAGTTTGTTATTCTTTGCTCCTTTGCCCGCATTACCAAAACTCAGCGCCATCTTATACAGGTACTTTGGCGTAGCTCCCGGTGTCTCGATATGCATTGTACCCTCCTGTTCCGCGGGTTCAGGACCGCTCATACGCCAGCGGCCCATTACAGCATCCTTCATGGCTGCCGTAGGCAGATTATGGTGGTTTTTATGTACGTGTTCGGTATATAGATATGGTACCACGTCAGCTGGTTCCGTAGTCGTGAGCAGCGAGATACATGTACCGTCGCGTAGGAAACGGAGGTAGCGGAAGTAGGTTACTATATGGATGGGTGAGTTCCAAGACGAGGTTGTGGGGAGAGCTTGGCCGGGACGCGCATAGTTTACGGTGCTGATGTAGCAGCCGTTGAAGCGGATACGAGGACGGCGCTGGAATAGGGTGCGGTAGGTGGGGTAGATGGCGGGGACTAGGAGCTGTGTGAGAGATACGGGCGTAGATGTGGCGGCTGGCGAATCAATGGGCGTTTCGGCGTCAGTGTCGTCTGAAATGTCTAAATTGGCGGTGCCGAGGACGATACCATCTGAGTCGTTATCGTCGAGGGGTTTCCCGTCGATTTGGCACGCCCAGGTGTAATGCATGGCTGCAACTCCATATTCTGGGCCTAGAGCGAGACGTTTCCAAACGCGATCTTCAGTAAGGACCAGATATGCTAGCCGTTTGGAGACTTGAGCTAGGCGGACGAAAGATGCTATGTCTCGTATGGCAAGCTGCTCCAGGATCTCGACAACGATCTCCTCGGGTACGTTGGCGATGGGACATGGTGGCGCAGGACTGAGATCTGTTGGCGGGGGTTCCCCATGGATCGTGGTGCCGGAGTAAGAGTCAATGAGCTCTTGGAGAGTTTTGGAGAGACCTTGTAGGGAGTGGTGGGCGGTATTCGGTACTGTTGCAGAGGCATTCGAGGAATTGGGGTCCTGGGGCTTGGCTGGTGGAGCTGGAGCGGGAGCGGTCGATGAAGAAGCGGCGGCATTCGAAGATTGTGAAGCCTTGAGCTTCTTGAAGTAAGAGGGTGGGAAGTGCTTTGCTTTGTATGTCTCTTGGACTTTTGAATCGAGCTACACACGTCAGGACGAGGCAACCCTGTAATTGAATAGAGGCTACTAACCTTGAATGCCTTCCGGTAGAGATCGACGCTATCTCCTAAGCTACCTTGGCTCTCCTTTTCCACAGCTTGCTCGTAGTGCTCCAATGCAGACTGCGGTTCTGGACTTGGTGCGAGCGCAGCAGCGGTTTGGGCACTGTTTTCATCCAACCTCCGACCATGCTGTTTCTCACCCAAACCATGGTACGTATAGGAACCGACCTCATCGCCGCCCTCTAAGCTCAGTCTACGGGCGTCGGCGTGCGATTGCACATCCGGCGCATTGCTTTTGGTGGCTTGTTTGCTCGATGAGGAAGTGGCGGTGGCCTTTGCAGAGGCAGGTGCTTTGCCCTTGGATCGGGCCGTGACCTCTTCCCTCCATTTCTGGCGAAAAGATTCGAGCTCGGCCTCGGTGTTGGTGGGCACGTCTTTGGGATCCATAGTAGAGGTGACCGGGGTTGGTGTTGTCTTTCGGCTATACGCGGTATGTCCGAAGTCGGTCGCAGGTTATCAAGGTAATCAGGGTCTAGTGCAGTGTCTAGTCGGCGTCTAGGAAGAATATATGTCTAATAGAAATCTAATGCAAAAAGCAGACGCCGGTACTCGCAAACGCTGAAGGCGCAGGAACGTGAAGTAACGGCGATTGAAGGGCGCAAGCCGATGCATGTAGCATGTTCTAGCCTCAGTCTATGCATGATCAGATAAGAAACGCCCTCAAGTTCCCCGGTTCATCGGAGTTCGGACCAATCAGCCGGCGTGGGCGTTTGCGGGAATGACGCGCCAAAGTTTGTCTACCCCGATAATTGTGTGGTTGCGTCAAAGCTTCCCGTTGCCTTCGTCACCACTTCTCCATGCCCATCACTGCTGGAGACGATGCCTGCCACACCTGACTCACCACTCCGCAACTTTCAATTCACCCCTCGCGCCGCTTCGAGGTGACACGCGCGATCGTTCATAGCAAACGTAGAAAAACAAGATGGCGACCGCCACCCAGCGAGCCGAGGAAGCGGATAGCGTCGTGGGCGAAGTGACGCTCGGCCAGAAGATGATGTCTGCCGTCTCGGGCAGTGTCCTCACATCGTTACTAGGTATGTCGCATATTTTGCCATTGTATTCCTCGAGTGCGGTGAAGAGAGTCAATCTGCCGCACTTGCGCAAAAGTGTAGTCCGCAAACCTCATACTGACTCTCACAGTGACGCCCCTCGATGTCGTGCGCGTACGGTTACAATCACAAGAAACCTCCCCTAATACCTCATCATCACGCCCACGTGGATTTAACGGCGCCGCATTAACACAATTTCGCGATCTCCCTCCAAATCTCGGCATATCATCGTGTTGCAGAGAAGTCTTTTGGATGAACAACAAAGCGCCGTTCTGCGTAGCCGGACCCACCATGGCACCGATAAACCCGGCAGATATTAGCTGCGCAGTGGAAGAGGTGGAAAGGAAGACTATCAACAGCACATGGGACGGACTACGAAAAATCGCACAAAATGAAGGCCCGAAAACGCTATGGAGAGGGCTATCACCCACGCTGGTCATGGCAGTGCCAGCAAACGTAATCTACTTTGCCGGATACGACTGGTTACGGACAGCACAAACATCACCTCTACGACAAAACGTATCGGATACATATTTACCATTGGTAGCGGGAGCGACGGCCCGCGTACTTGCTGCAATAGCCGTAAGCCCAATCGAAATGTTCCGGACACGCATGCAGGCTGCGAATCACACGGCCACGGCAGCTGGCCACTTCCGCGAGACTATGGACGGTCTACGAGACATGGTCGCAAACCAGGGTGTTTTCAGTCTATGGCGAGGTCTTACCCTGACCCTTTGGCGCGATGTGCCCTTTTCCGCCATCTACTGGTGGGGCTACGAAGAGACGAGGAATGTCTTGACCGATCAAAGAGGTAGAAGAGAAGCAAGAAACGATGGCTTCGAGTTCCGTATGGGCCGAGGCGAAGAAAAGGTACGAAGGAGAAGCCGATCTAGGAGCCAGGAGAACCACAGAGATACACTTGTCGACAGCTTTATCGCTGGTGCCACATCTGGAGCAGTCGCTGCTTTCGTCACAACGCCATTCGATGTCGGAAAGACCCGTCAACAAGTAGCAAGACACATGGGCGAGACTGCCAAGGACATTGCTAAGTCCACTCGCCCCGAAGACCAGTCAATGCCCCGCTTTTTGATGCATATCTACCGTGAACAGGGCATGCCTGGACTTTTCAAGGGCTGGGCAGCAAGATGTCTGAAGATCGCACCAGCATGCGCCATTATGATCAGTTGCTATGAGTTCAGCAAGAAGATGGCTCTGGACATGAACGAACGACGTGAACGCGAACGACATTCGACATGAACAATGATGACGGAGAATGTATGATACCAACACTACAGGAGGACTCACGTACTTTGTATGATTTTTGCATAGCGGCGCATTAGGGACTACGGCGGTCATCCCACACTCACGGTAGCATCAGCGGCGTCTCGGTGCAAAAAGTCAGGCGGGTGGTTCTTGTCCATCCCATAATTTGAAGAGTTAGATATACTGCGACATCAGGGGGCAGCAACATGCCCTCTCGCATGCAAATGATTATACATTATTACTTTCTACGCTTCTCCCCTTCCATCAGTCTTCTCCAGAAACTGCAAAAAAGCCTCCTGACACACCCCAGCCCTAGTAACGTAGATCTCATGTCCACCTCCCTCAACACTCACAACTTTACACCTCTCCCCGATCTTCTCCTTGACCTCCTGCATCTCCTCTACTTTGACTGCCACACTCCCCGTCGGCGCCAAAATTAACATCGGACACGTAATCGCACCCAAGTACGGTCTCGCATCCAACGCCTCCAGAAACTCCGCATACTGCGCTAACCCCTCGCCATCACTCACATTTATCATGTCTAGGTAGTTTTCCATCGCCGCTTCCCCATCAGCATTTTCATCTGAATACGAGGGCACAGGCACCGTCCCAGGTACCCTCACCAACTCCTCCGCCCACCCTCTAGACCCCAACTCCCTAACCGCAGCCCCCCAACTCACACGCCCAAAAGTAAAAAGCTCAACCGCCGCTCTCGGCAAATGCGTCGGCGATGCACAAATCGTCAAACTACTCACGCGGTCCGGGTATGCGGACGCTAGTATCTCACACAGCATACCGCCTGTGGATTCACCTAAAAGGTGCACGCTTTGTAAACCAAGTGCGTCTAGCAAGTCGATGATTTCGGAAATTATGGTCGTTGTAGTGTAGGTATAGTTTTGGTAATGGGGAGAAGATGGGGATGGGGATGGGTAGGAGGAGTAGCCATGCCCGCGGAGGTCGCGCTGCAGGATGCTGTAGTGAGGGCGGAGGATAGGGATCCAGTGCGACCAGAAGGCGGAGTGGCGGGCGAAGCCGTGTTGGATTAGGATTGTTGATGGGGTGTGGTTTTGAGAGGATGGCGAGGTGCAGGGCGTGAGGATGTAGTGGGTAAGTTGGCCGTTTGCGTGGTGGAGGTATGTTCGACCGGCAGAGTCGGTTGTCAAGGTCATGGTGGTAGTGTGTAGTCAAAACCTTTTGGATGGGTGATTGTTTCATCTTGGAAATTCTGTTTTCATACTGTGATGCTGTTATTTTTTTATCTCCTTTTCTGGCATGTTACGTGGGGGCGCGGGTGGTGCCGGCGATATGTGGTTGTGGTAGTACGAGGTCAAGGTGGTTTGTGGGGCATGCGGGGAAGCATGGTCGCAGTCGGGATGTTGGTCTTTTTTACCCCAGTTTCTGGGATTTTGAGCGTATGGTTTGACATGGGTCTAGGGTTATACCCGAAGTTTGAAGTAGAGGGGAGATGGAATGCTTGTGTGGTCTTGGAAGTGTTGGGGTATTGTATGTATATCTTCGATCCTTCTCCAACTGGTCACTACCACTACACCAGTGTCTAGTCTAGACTGAAGTAATCGCAAAACTCGATATGTAGACTACATCAACAGATTACACTAGTTGATACTTCGAAATGACTGTCCTTGATACTCTTCCGAGCCTTTTGGTCTCGAGTTTCACAGCAAAAGTTGCTGCAGTACTAGCCATACCATTCTTCCTCCTCACAATAACCTACATAATCGTCGTCCCGAATATCCTCAAAGTAAATCTCCCTCCCATACTCTCAAACCCCCTAACTCCCAACTAATCGTTTTCTCCAGGACCCACGCCGCCGGCACCTCCCTCCGGGCCCCCTCGGCCTCCCCTTCATCGGCTCTCTCCTCGAGCTCTCAGACACCGAACTCGTCCGACACAAAGTACAAGCCTGGCACCGCAAGTACGGCGATGTATTCCACACGAAAATCGGTGCCACAGACTACATATGGCTCTCATCTCCCCAGGCAGTAAAAGACCTCATGGACAAGCGCTCCAGCATTTACTCCTCACGCCCACCCTCACCCCTCGCCCAAGACGTCGCCTCCGCTGGTCGCCGTCAACTGTTCATGCCGTACGGGCCCCGCTGGCGCAGTATCCGCAAGCACAGCCACGCGCTGCTCAACCTAGGAAGTAGCATAAAATACCAACCAGTCCAAGACTACGAGTCCAAGATCCTGCTTACCCAGTTGTTGCAAGACCCAGATTCCTTCGCTTCGATAAACCGGCGGTATGCCGCTAGCGTCATCATGCAGGTAACCTACGGGCAGCGCATCGCAGACTGGGATGCCCCGCTGATCAAGCGCATCTACGACGTTTTGGAGCGTTTCACCGAGATGACGGCGCCGGGGGCGTGGGCGATTGAGTCGTTTCCTTTCCTCGCGTCGTTGCCGCAAGGGTTACTTGGGAACTGGAGGGCGCATGGTGAGCGGATTCACGTACTGGATAAGGCGGTTTACATGGATTTGTGGACAGAGTTGAAGCGCGCGACGGATGCGGGGACGGCAAAAGATTGCTTTACGAAGAAGTTTTACCTGGATGATCCGGCGAGCGCGGGCATCGATGATTTATCCGCGGCGTATACGTGTGGTGGGCTTATCGAGGCTGGGTCTGAGACGACGGGGACGGTGTTAAATAATTTTTTGTTGGCTATGGTGTTGTTTCCTGAGACGCAGAGAGTGGCGCAGGAGGAGTTGGATAGAGTTGTGGGACCGGGGAGGTTACCCGAGTGGGAAGATGAGGAACATTTGCCGTATCTGAGGGCGATGATGAAGGAGGTTCTGAGGTGGAGGCCGGTTAATAAGGCCGGCATGATGCATGCTAGTAGTGAGGAGGATTGGTATCGGGGGTGGTTTATTCCAAAGGGAAGTGTGGTTATGCTGAATTGGTGGTATGTTCTTACCTCTCCTTTATTTTCTTCTGCATCTGCTTCTTAGTTTCTCGGCTCTTTCAGATGGACGTACTAACACATCTCACAGGGCTATTCATATGGACCCCTCCCTCCATCCATCCCCCACTATATTCTCCCCCTCTCGATACCTCAATTCACCTCTCTCCTCCGCTCAGTACATGACCTCCGCCGACCCCTCTGCCCGCGACCACTTCTCCTTCGGTGCCGGCCGCCGCGCCTGCCCGGGTGTCCACGTCGCTGAACGTTCCATGTTTATCAACATGGCACGCGTCCTCTGGGGCTTTTCCATACGCAAGAAGATTGGTAAAGATGGCAAAGAGGTCCCAGTTTCGGATAAGATGATGCCAGGCTTCTTCAGTGTGCCAGAACCGTTCGAGGCGGATATTAGACCGAGGAGTGAAGCGCATGCAAGGGTTATGAGGGAGGAAGGAGAGAGAGCTGAGAGGGAAGGGTTGAGACATTGAAAAGTTGTGGGTTTGTGTGGTCCGAACTTGATTCAAATATATGCTATGTAAAAGTAGTGGGTTGCATAGCTACCAGTAGCTCGTAGTTTATGAACCTGGTTACATCAAAAAACTTGTCTTCCATTTCCATCACATATTGCTCCCATATCCAGTTTTCCGAAATAGGCACATCTAGTCTGTACAAAGGGTCATGTTGCAGCTGGTACTGGAAAGCCATCGCAATCTCTCTACGCTGCTGGCTATCTTCCTCTCCCCATGCTGCCTGCATACTCACAAGCGCGCTTTCGTCTTCTTGCCACATACGAAAATACCTAGCATCGTACTGATTAAATAGGGTCTGGAGTTGCTCAGTTGGCAAGACTATATCAAGATTATGACAGGCTTTAACGGCGTGGGTGGTCCATTCGCGTGGATGCTCGAATTGTAATTGGCATTCCCTGGCTGGACAGGTAAATAATGCAAAATGTTGTTCTGTGTAATATCTTTCAACGGCGTGGAGGACAAGTAGGGGGCGAACGAATCTTTTATGGGATGAGTTGTTCATACGGTGTTTAACGTAGTGGTAGGCTCCAACAGGTCCACGAAATGGCTTTGGTGGAGGTTTGACAGTCTGGCGTGTCCATGTTCGCTGGAACATCTCCCATTTTATGCTGCCATAATCACGGATGGGTCGCCACAGACTCCGTTTTGCCCCCTTGAAACATTCTAGGTCTGATTGAAGCCAAGACACGTACACTGATATGCCTGGCGGACATTCCTCAGCTATTCTCCTGATCCCGGATGGAAACGGTGCGCCTGTAGGTGTTACGAAGGCCTCGCTGATGATGACATGAGTTGCGCGAGGAAGGTGGCGTTATAGCAGTTTCCAGAAGTCTTGTATATGTCGCATCCTATCCTGCGCTGTATACGGTGTGTGGGTGGGTGGGATGCAATCGCGCCTGAAAGCACCATCATCCTCACCTTCCACCTCGTAGAACGGCTCCATTCTACCGACGTTTACTTCTACTCGCTGCATAAAACGTAGTACATCGACATTGTCGTCTGTGTCGCCATTCAGGCCCCCTCCGTGGAGTAGCCAGGCGCCGTCGATAAGATGCCACACATCTGGCTGTTTCCAGAAGAGCTTCCCCGCTTCCTCGCGAAGCATGGAACATACTTGCATGAGTTTGAAGAGAATTGCGTTATCGCAGAAGCTGAGGGTATATAGTTGTAGCTCTGATGGGAGCCTGAGAAACGGGTGGAATTCCGAGCCTGTCTGGGGAGTCGGGGCCGGCCGGATGTGTGCGGAAAAGGGAATGTAGGTTTCGCCATAGCGTGTTGCGTAAACGTCCTCGTTGATTGTATCCGTCCCGAAGGCTAACGGGAAGATGCTATTCATGTTATCCATGACAGTTGGTGTTGTTGGATTTCGTTTCAGTTTCCATTCGAAGTTTCGAATGTCGTGGATGTAGCAGCGGCAGCTGTCTTCAGTCGAAGATATACTGTCCGATGACTTACTCAATCTCATTGTGTCCTCAAGTACCATGGTCCCCACCACTAGGCGACCCGAACTTTCGCTTTTGAACGAAAAACACAAAAGATTACAGCTACAACTCTACCATGATGTAACGTTGAACGACTCTACCAAACTTGCTACCTAATTGAACAAATACCCCGGGCGCTAATGTATCCCGTACTTGGAGCGAAGCACTTTCTCCAACAGTGAGCATGAGGGCTATGAGCTGCAATTATCTCCTCTACCGTAGTGAGTTGATAGAAATGTATGACAGAAAAGCCGCGTAATGACGTATTTGGGTAGGTCTAATGACATTGCCTCTCAAGTAAGGTAGCTCCAACTACATCTACTCACTTAAAATATAATCCACTCTCACCCACCCCATCTCTAATACCCCGTCCTCTTGGGCGGTGCCTCATATCCCATATCCCAAATCTTACCGCTCTCTTCGCCCATCCACCTCTGACTCTCATTCGCATACTCGACCTGCTTCCTAAAATAAATATTGTCTTGCGACAGCTCCACCGCCTGGCCCGTGAGCTGGTCGTCCCCTAGGAAAGCGTCAATCGCCTTGATCACCGTCGTCAGTGGGGTAATGTGTTCTTTTGGCCAGCGGGCGAGTATCTCTGGCGGACAGAGGTTTGTGGGGATGAAGGCGGGGCAGATTGCGTTTACGGTGATTGATTCTTTGAGGAAAGCGGGGGCCGAGGCGCGGACAAGGCCGATGATGGCGTATTTGCTGGCGGTGTACTGGGGACATTGTGGCATGTAGCTGTTCGGTGGTGTTAGCACTGTTTTTCATGTTGAATCTTCCCCTTTTTCCTCCTTCTCATCATCCTATACTAACAAAATACAGATAGCAAAGAAAAGAAGCACTCACTACAACCCCGCCATACTGCTCGTAGCGACAAACTTCCCCCTTCCCGCTCCTTCCCCCTCACTCCTCCTAACATAATACTTGAACAACCATAACCCCTGCAACACAGCCTCAAGATTAACCTCCAAAGTCTTCGTACTCAGCTTCTTCACCAAACCCTCCTCATCTACTTCTTCCTCCTCCCTCCCCGCAAAGATATTCTGACGATCGTCAATCCCCGCGTTCGCGTGGCAGAAATCAAGACGATTGCCGCCCCATTCGTACGCCCGCTTGAAGAGCCGCGCTTGTGACTCGTAGGAGGAAACATCGGTTTGATGGAATATGGCGTCGGGACCGAGGGCAGTAGCTACGCGAGTGCCGGAGTCGACGTTTAGGTCGGCGATGACGACTTTGTAGCCAACGGAAATTAGGTGTGTAGCTACTGCTTCGCCGATACCGGAACCGGCGCCTGTTACAATGGCTACGGGTTTAGACATGCTGGCTTGTGTGCAAGTGTTAGGAACCTCAGAATGCGTGTGCCTAGATCAAGCGAAACAAGAAACGAGACCAGTGATGGGTGTGGATTTACGGGTGAGGGGAGTTTTTGTTCCACGTCACGGACTAAGGTGTAATGGTGAATGCCATCGCGGTACTTTTGCACACGTGTTTACTTTTTCTAATTTCGGATGCTCTTGCAGATGTCGTCGTCGTGTCGCAGGCACGTCGGAGGCTCTGACCAAGCGCTTTCATCCCCCACACGGTCTGTGCGGGGTAAACTCCCCTCTATCAACTACCGGTCAGGGTGTATGTGGGGTCATCTGACACGGTCTTCTCCACGCCCCCATCTAAAATACCACACCGGAACATAAACGGGAATGCGTTCATCTTTACAAACCCGGCGCGATCCATCCGATCGGCAAAAGCATGCGAGAGAGCGTCAATAGCTCAATTAACCATTGCTGATGTGGAAAAGCATCTTGTAATTTTGAGACATCGCATGTCCATTAAATCGGCATCTTTGATATGACGAGCCCGACTATCTAACTCTTAACATCAATACTCTTAACAAGTTCACCACCCAACCTCCTGAACTCATGCACAATCGCATCCTTATTCGCCTTGATCTCAACAGCGTCCTTTTTCCCAACTGGCACGCTATTCCACCCGGCCTTGACCTTCCAACTCCTCTGCGCCGTGACAACTGGATTCCATAGCCCCACAATTTTATCTAAGGTCTCAGGATCCCAAAACCACAGCACGGCATCGCCGTAAACTTCCAGCAAGTCTTGAGCAAAGAGCTGAGTCAAGGGTGTCTGAGCAGAGGGGTTTGAAGTTGCTGATCTCTGAAGGTCCAGGTTCTTGAACTGCGGAGCAGACTTGCGTGACTTGCTGGACTTGAGAGAGTATTTCGAAGAGATAGTTATGACGATATCAAAGTCGGAGATGCTGGTCATAAAGAGGGATTCTGGGCTCAGAGCGTTCTGGGCTTGAGCGGTATCCTTGTTGCTGTTGATATGGCGGAGTAAGCGATCCTCCTCTGCACGGACAGCCTGGGTAGCAGCTTTGGCCAACGCAGTCAAACGCGCAGCAACCACCTTCTCCGGTTTGGCTTTGTCAGTCCAGGTTGTGCCTTCTTCATCGAGGTTTGTCGCTGCGAAAAGCACAACGCGGTTCATGGCAGGATCAATACGTCGCCATGCTTCAAATCGCGTCTGTAACCGGTCTAGATCTTCCGACTTCATACCCTTGGAGGTAGTGTCTTCCAGATCCGCGGGGTTTGCTGAAAAGGTCGTCGAGAAGTCTACGATGAGTGGGGCGTGTCGCCAGTCCCAACGACTAATCCAAGATAGTGTTCGGAGGAAACCGGTGGTTGCGGTAGAAGGTACGGGCCAAGGATGTGGCTGTAGGAATGTTCGAATGACGAGAAGTTCGATAAGCTCAGACGAGAAGTGCGGCGCGAGAAGATGTGATGCGAACCATTTCTTCATCAATCGTATGGCCGGTGAAAGAGCTAGAAATCGTGTGCATAGCGTCTGTAGCACTTGGGAGTGTAGTGGCGATTGTATGAACTCGCGTTTGTACAGTGCCAGAGACGAAGCAGCAGATTCCCTTGATGGTGCATCCAACGACTTATCTTTGATCTGGCGTTCGAACAGTGTCGGCTCCCGGTCATGGTAGATGCGGATCCGGAACGTGTAGCCTGTGGATACTGTTACATCCAAGAACGCCTGATTTTGTGCTGGTTGTGATGGGTTCTCCATGCCGACGCGAGCAGTATAACCACGCCCCAAGTTGTCCAAGAGCTCGGCAAGGCGGAGAAGAAAGGCAATTTTGGTACGCTGAATAGCGCATAGATCGTCTGGCCAGCGTCCAGAGCCTTCGAACTGCAACACGACGGATGCAGGAACGTGACCTGCGGAAGGAACTTCAACGGACGAGTACCGCAATTGCGGGTCTGCAGCTCTGAGATGGCGAAGTCGGAGTGGAAGCTCCTCTAGATCGCGAATGTCCTTCTCCATGGCGCTGAAGGCATTCATGATGGGCAAGAAAGGCGCTGTTCCAGACTGTCCCTGCATGCGACCAGCTGTGATAAGGTGGCCGAATGCATCGCTAGTGAACTTGGACTGTTCTGCCACTTGGACACCTACATGCTTGCCCAAGGTGTACACAACAATCTGTTCCATGACAGAAGCTGCATCTTTGACTGACCACACAACACTCTCAAGGATACTGCCATCTTTGAAACGCCTGAGCTCAGCCTTTTCGCCCCAGAACTTGCGGAACGAGGCAGCTTCTTGCTTGTTCTCTGCTGAGGGACCGTGATCGACAGTACGAGTGGCATTGGCGGGCTCAGTAGCAAAGTTGACGAGTATGCTCTTACTTTGCTTCTCTACTGGGCGCCTTGAGGATATCGACCAAGATTCTTCCTCGGGCATCGTGAAAGACAGCGTGGTGATGCGGTTAGTAAGCGCACGTGTCAAGGTGCTATGTATCTTTTGGCACGTCTCGCTCAGTCGCTGGCTGTAGTCCTCGCCCGCGTTTGAAATGCCAAGAGATGCAAGAGGTATCTCGAGAGTAGCGTCATATCGGTACTTCAGCAGCTCTGTCTTGAGGATAAAGGCAGCGTCAAAGTTGTCCAACACCGAGTCGCTGAGCATATCCACAGTAGCTTTTGCCTCGGATCGAAGACGCGAGTATGACCATGGTGTCATTTTGAACAAGATATTCTGGCCTCGCGGTCCATCAAAGACAACAGGTGCAGTCTCAGTCTTCGGGACGGTGATGTTTTGTGCCTGGAAGATGAAAGGTTTCTTCGTCAGATCGCCTCGCGATAAGAATTGAAGTGTCGACTTGAACAGCTGGTAGCTGCTGAAGCCGGAAGAAACCGACTGAGCACCAGTTCCGGCATTTGGCTGCAATAGGAGTGCCATGATGGCGGCGAATTCAAAATTGCCGAATCCTCCTTTGCGCATTTCACCGCCAAACCCACGCTGCTTCAACCAGATACGTCCAAGTATGCATGCATCCTTGAAGGCTTCAGCTCTCGAAGCGGTACCGTGGAGGAGCTTGAGGTAAGCCGTAACGTTGGCATCAGATTGCATGGTGTTGTTATAGAAGGGTGTAGGTGTGAGTGCTTTGCTAGACACTTCATCGTCGTTACCTTTGGGTCGGACACAGTTGGAGTTTGGTAGGAGCTTGTGTGGTGCGAAGGTATTCTCAGGCAGCGACACCAAGATGTTGATTTGGCACTTGGAGCTCGAGAAGTCATCCGCATCGCCATTACCGCTCGGTCGCACAACGAGGATCGGCTGAAGTTGGTTGCCATTTAAACTCTCAAATGACAGCTCAAACTTGTGATCATTGGAAGCTTTGATTCCTGCAGCCAATGATGCCAAATAGTATGATCGTTTATAGAAGTATCGGTGGTTCAAGTAGTCTTTTTCCGTGAACAGACTCTTGGGCATAGTAACCACGAGATCGATGGCTATTCCATCGTCGTTGCGAGTTGCGGTCTTGAGCGGATAGCTACCAGTCGCGTTTATACTGGCAGGTCGTTCGTATTGCAGCTTATACAAGGTGTCCTTGGATGGGCGGGGACTCGGAAAGGGGATCGCAACACCGGCTGACTTGAGGGATTTCTCTGCTTCAGGAATCTATTTCGTTAGAATGCGCTAATAATTTCTCGGTGTATAGAACATACCAGCAGAGCTTCGCGACTCGGTATCTGTTCAATGATGGTCTTGAGCGTGCGCATTGCATTCTCGGCAGGGGCTTCCTTTTTGCTATACTTCAATTTGACCTGATCCAACAGCTCATCGACCTGGAACTTGAACATGTTTGACTTGAAGGATTCAGCTGTGTAGACACCGTCTTGCAGGCTCGGCGCAGGTTTCTTATGCGGCTTAGATACGCTCGTCGCTTTTCCGGCTGCTGTCTGCTTCCTGCTCTCATGCACATCCTCTTCTTCTTCGAATTCTTCTTCTCCCTCATCGCTCATGTCCTCATCCTCGTCGTCTTCTACATCCTCTTCCTGTCCATTCATCTCAACATCGCTCTCGTCTTCATCTTGGGCGTCGCTCCCGTCCAATTCCACTGCATTCGTCTCGTCAAAATCAGCAAAGCTCCCTTCACTCTCTGCCTCGGAGTCGCTATGCTCGAGCTTTCTCCGTTTCGTTGCGGGCGGCGCCATTCTTTCCTTAGTTGATGGGAGGCTACTGGCAATGCGACGCGAAATTTCTCTGGCAGTTTTGCCGCGGGAGTCTTATCGATTGCAGGGGTCACGGCCCTTGTCGACCCACGCCGAGCTCACCCTTACATCATCCCTCATGCGCGTCCTCCACACCCAGCTTGCGGGGGAACAACGGTAGTCTGGACGCGCCTATAATAGTCTATGCGATTCTGGAATTACCATACAGGTTAACACGCGATTGCTTTTTCCATCCTAACAATACCATCTTCATTCCCCTCTGCATTCACGTGTCTCTCTTACCTACAAACATATTCACGGTGCGGTTCCTAACAAAGCTCAGCCGCCGTTGCGGTTCTTCTCTCTTGACCACACACTCCCCTACTAAACACGCCAGCAAAGCATTCAGCATGGCCTGGCGAAGCCATGGCACCAGTAACGAAACTCTGGTTCAGAACCTTGCCAAAAACAATCTCATCAAGTCGGACCGCGTCAAAGATGCCATGTTAAAGGTACGAGATGATGATACCCGACCCAAAACCCCGACTGCATGCAGCACATGCAAGGACCCTGAACCACCAAACTAAACTGCATGTACATCAGGTCGACCGCGCACATTACGCCCCCGCCTCCCCCTACGAAGACTGTCCCCAACCCATCGGCCACCGCGCCACAATCTCCGCTCCACACATGCACGCCTCAGCCTGCGAATCCCTCCTCGACTACCTGCAACCTGGCTCTAAAGTCCTCGATATAGGTTCCGGGTCTGGCTATCTGACTGCCGTGCTCGCCAACCTCGTTGCTCCGAACGGCTCCGTCATCGGCATTGATCACATACAGCCGCTGGTCGACATGGGAAAACAGAATATGCAGAAGTCGGAGGAGGGAAGGCACATGCTGGACTCGGGGCAGGTTAGGTTTGTGTTGGGGGATGGGAGGAAAGGGTGGGCCGAGGGCGCGCCGTATGATGCTATTCATGTTGGGGCGGCTGCGGCAGAGCATCATCAGACCTTGACGGATCAGTTGAAGGCGCCCGGGAGGCTGTTTGTGCCTGTTCAGGAAGGTGGACTGCAATATATCTTTGTGATTGACAAGAAGGAGGATGGGAGTTTGGTGAGGAATAAGCTGTATGGTGTGCGGTATGTGCCGTTGACCGATGCACCTGTGTGAGATGGGTGTATGATCAATATTATGACATCTACACATTTCTCGATCTGCTTGGGTTTAGCTGAAATTCATGTGAGCATTTCGATCATGAATGCCTGGTGAAGAAGTCCCTACGGCAGCATACTCAACTATCATATGTCACTGCTTCCTCAACAGTACCAACTCAAGACTCCCCCTGCAAAGCCCCCACAACAACACTTCCACAACTCCCATCAAATACCCCGGGCTTCACGAACCCTACTTCCGCTCTATTTCCCCTCGCAACCACACCCCAGCTTTCCGTCTCGGGTTCAAAGACCGGCCACCCCAACCCCGTCAAGCCCTCTGCACGACCCCCACCATGTCCCTTTGTGCCTTCTCCATACCCAGCCCACTTGCATCCTCGGCTCCACCCAGCACCATATGTAACTCGGACCCATGATACGCCCCAGATCCAGGATAAAGTCTCGTATCCTCCCAGTCCCCAAAGTACCTAAACAACCACGTCTTGACACCCGCCGCAACCCTCGCTCGCGCTACGTAGGAAACAGGACAAACGAATGATTCCAGCAGAAACTTTCGCGCTTGCTCGGCCGTGACGTTGCGGCCTTGGGCGAAAGCTGGAATGGCGTAGTATCCCTGTTCGTTATCGTTGTGGCCGCGAAAATACGGGAGAGGTGCGAATTTCCCCGTCGAAGCGAGGGAGAGATATGCGCTGGGGCTGAGGACTGTTTCGTTGTCTATGACGGGGTAGAAGGGGGGTGTTGAGCGAACGGGACTGCCACCTGGTGTGGGGGGGATTTTCGAAGCAGCGAAGGAAAGGGCAGATCAGGCGATGGTGCGCATACAGGAGAGGGTTGTGGTAGTGTTGGTCGTGTTGCAGCCGACGAGGGAGGAGACGAGAGACTAATTTTCGGCTTGTTTGGCCGCGCAGTTTTGGGGGAAAGAGAAGGCGTTTCCGGAGGTGGGGATGAGCCCGTGGACGATGGGGTCTTGAGCGTAGGCGTAGGACCACCAGTCTACTGCTGCTCCGCCGGATGATTGGCCTGCGATGACAATTTTCTTTGAGTCCCCACTGAATGCGTGTATGTTCTTTTAAAGCCATTGGACGGCGAGACGTTGGTCACGGAGTCCGAGGTTGGTGTCTGTGTTTGGGCCGCCGGGAAAGCCGAAGATGTTGAGGCGGTAGTTTACTGAGACGACGATGATGTCGGTGTTATTTACAAGGTATTGGCCGTTGGCAAAGAGAGTATTTGTATTGTCGCCTGCAAAACCTGGTTGAACGTAGTTTAGGTAGTGTATCAGTAATCAGAAGTATGTAGAATAACTCACGGCCGCCATGGAATAAGACGAAAACAGGCTTCTTATTCTCAGCCGACTTATTACTCGGCTTAGACCATATGTTCAAGATGAGGCAATCATCACTTCGCTGCGTTCCGGCACTCACAGTAGAGAGATTGAGTATAGTCCTCGCTTGAGTAGTAAAGCCTGGGAAGTTGGACTGTATGGCAGCTTGTTGAGGGCAGTCACTGTCATGATTATCATTCAAAGTATCTAGTGGATTTTTCTAGCGAAAAGACATACTATCCCTATATGGCCAGTCAAGTCAGTCCATGTGTGGAGGAGCGACAACGTCTGGATGCGCATGTGTAGCTCACAAATTCGGCGGCAATGTATGCCTCTTTGCCCGTATGCTCCTTTGGTGCAAAATCGCAATTCTCCTAGCGGCGGTTGCGCGTATGGAATACCCAAGTACTCCCAGACCTCATTGGCCCTTGGTGAACGATGACCTGATATCTTGCCATTGTTTGTATCGACGGTTTCGAAATCTGGTACGTCCAATGCCAATGACGCAAGCCCAAAGAGAGAAAGGGGTATTAGACTACGCATCTTTGAGTGTGATTTGATTTCCAAGAGAATCAAAGACTATGGCGTTGTGGGTATCCCTCCATGCCAAGGCGAAACCCCACCGAAAGATATGCTAGTTAGCGGAGAAAGAACAGACTAGTGATATAGGAGGAAGGTACAAACGGTAGATCAGTAATCCACAGATTCCCTCGTACATCTGCGATGGAAGTTAACAGAAGTGACGTCAATGCCGCAGCGGCAGATTTTCACAATACAATCCCGTGCCGAAAGTAACATCTGCAGCAAGATCGCGGGTAGGCGGTAAGAGGAGACGTAGTTCGACCCTAATGTGCTGCAATGCACGAATTATCCTCGAACTCCGCATGGGGCTTTGTACCCGCCCCGCCTTGCAGGCATCTTTTGGTGTAACGACGGCAGATAGTACCTCGCTTGGCGCATAGTCTTTCCACAAATGAGGCTTATTGTCCGCTACCATTTTTACATTTTGTAGAGCCCGGACTGGAATATCTAGACGTCCTTGTAGGTTATGTGAGTGTATTGATCGCTGCACTTCACCTTTTCCTCCCTAGGTAGATGTATCTCTACATGTTCCGTCGCACGTGGCTATCTGGGTCGCCTAAGATAGAGGGGTATACCATGCTACCAACGTCTAGTCTCTTGTAGGATTCTAGGCGTACCAGCGATTAGAAGTTTTACATGAAAAGTTGCCGTCTGCTAGGCTGCGCCTTGGTATCTGGAGGCCTTAGGCCTTATGCCTTGGGTGGCCGTTGTAATACGTTGAAGCCAGATTCATGCCGAGGCGACTGTCCCGATGCCGGTGATAGTCTCTACTAAGCGGCGAAGTCGGCATGATCGTCGACTGTCACGGCGATACAACGCCGCAGCTTGTAAGCTTAGATGGTTTCACATAGTGACCTCGTGATGTGGACGTGAGCGGTCGGCATAAGTTGACTCGGTCGTGTTGATCCAAGCAAAACTGACTCGTTGCAATTTCCGGCTTATGTGAGGTTCGCGATGGCTACTGTTAGCGTCGGTGTTTGGCAGATGTGGTGAGCGTTTTCATGAGTGAAGTTGCGAGTCGGACGTGCGCCAGTGGTTGAGTGTTCTTGGCGTTCAGGCCTTCATCGCACCTGCACCTACTAGACATCCAGAAGCCTGAGCATCGCTGCGAATGTCTTTGCACCAAGGCCGCGACGAAATTAATCTTACGGACCCGAACTTCGGTATCTACGGGGTTTGCAAGGTCAGGCCTATCTCGGAGTGGGGCGGATGTCTCCATGGTGAAAGTGCGGCATTCTTCTCCGACACGTGTTCACATCCATTCCTTCCAGTTCGCACGGTCTCTACTGCATACAGTCGGGGGGATGGCGCAGTGGTAGTGCGCCTGGTTGCTTCTGCTAGCTTGCTCACAGAGGTTGAAGGTTCGAATCCTTCTCCCCTCACCGCTATAATAATTCTATTATTCTAGCTTTACCAAAAAACATCGAACGGCTCCTTTCGAAACCTGGAAAGTTTTTCACCAATACCCCGCACGCTTAACGCTAGCCGCCGCCGTACAACCGAGCCACAAAGTACCGCCGAGACGAAAATATGCCGCAACTGCCGCTATATACAACAAACGTTCAAGGTCCCATGACTTTTTCCCCTACGAGGTTTTTTTCAGTCTTAGGAGCACGGGGTTATTATAGCAAAGGGATTGGTCACAAAGGTGGAGATAAACGGGTGTCTATTACAAGGTCTCTCTCTCTTTCCTGTATAGAAGCAAAAAACCCAAACCCCCATAGTCAAACTCGACCAAAGAAACGAAATCCTACGGGTATAGAGGGAAAAAACTAGTCAAACGGCCCTAGGCCACCGTCCTACATAGTCTCTGACTGAAAAAGGACGTTAATGGATACTACTACTACTACTACTACTGCATACAGTCAGCATACAACCATGCCCGGAGCCGAATGTCATTGTGCTGGTTTTCTCCGGGTCAAGAAGGTTTATCCTCGAAGGCGCGCCGTATTCACAACATCGACAGTGCGGGAGTCAGAAGCGTTTCCGAAAGAGAACGGGCCGCATTCGCATATAGGTGCTCGGACGATACTGTAGCGAGGACAAATATAGAACCACGGGGCGAACTGTGCATCGGCAGAGCACGACACGCGAATTGGGGGTCATGAACGTGACAGTCTCAAGCGATCTCGTGGCGGTGCCCGTGAGCCCAGGGCCGGACAGCAAGGCTTCTAGATGATGTTGGCTGGGTACACGCCAAACCTTTTCCGACTGCGTCTTACGCAAAGACGGCCTTATCCTCTCTACTGTATCATGTAAAGTTACGGCCCGCCGGGGTATTCGCAGCGAAAGTCTGACAGGCCGCCTCAAAACGCCAAACTCAACGTGGGATAGCTTCTCGGTCCCAGGCGCGATACCGCAAGCGCCACCAACCTTGTCCTTGGGGGACAATAGCATTCGGGCACTCATCAACTCTCGTGCGGCCATGTGGCTTCGTCACTACCCTATCCGGACATGGGATCAATCACCAGCTAGCGCTCGCATGTAGCCTGATGAAACCCACCGCAGAGAGGAAGACGGTCAACGTTCGCGCACGCATCGAGCCCCACCATGCGATTGTATGTACAGTAGTGCAACGAACATGCTAGTTCTCATCCAGCAAAAGAGAATCGCGCAATTCGTGATGCGCGGGTGCCCCCGGTCCAGGCACCCATCGTGGGTGCACGTTCTGTGGCTAGTCAACGGTCCAATACCAGGATGTGAATCCTTCGAGGCTTCAACCAGTCCCCAGCCGCAAAGCCGGGAAAAGCGCTCTGCTGCTGTTGGATCATGAAACTCAAATGCTCTTGTTTCTGTAAAGCCTGGTGTCCCCCATGTAAGGCGCAGACCACTGGGGCACTACCAAACGTCAAGCTTAGAAAAGCAGTACTGTCTCATAGTCAACTTTCTTTAAGGCTGGCATAATCCCACCCGGTGGGCCTTAATCAGGAACAGAAACGTACGTCTCCCCATTGGTACTGTCTGCATCAAATGCTGCCTTTCCGTTGTTGATCATGACCCTTCGGTCTACGCAACCCCATCATCCCAAGACGACTGCCATCTCACGAAGACCCAGGGACTCTGCCGACCAGCACCTCTCTATTCAGCCATCAGAAATTCCACAAATAAGAAGTGCTCGCCCGCGCCGTGCCGCAACCTTGCCAACGCCCCGCCACAATCCCATTCACAGTCCGCAACAATCAATTAAGTGGGTCCTAGAAGGTTCAGATTGGATTGATTGATTACCGCTTTAAGCCTAGTAGTTACCTATAGGAGTTTAAGCCCTACCTAGATAGGTAAGTGGGTCTAGGAGAGTGACCGGATTGAATTGATTGTTGCGGAGTCTAAATCCCATTGATTATCAGTCGCCCAATTCGCGCCCACCTTCGCTAGCCTGGAATACTTCACACACTCTTGACAGCAACCCACCTTGCAACAACTCTCTTGCGATAAGTGTCGAACAGGACCCATCTCACAGTCTCCTTCCTGTGCAAACACTAGACTTCTTGTCCCACGACTCCCCCCAAGGCTCAGACACGGGACTCGGTGCTATTACTGGACATTACCCGTCGCACACTCAGCAAAGTCAGCACATTGAAAGTCTGGGACTTCTTGCGTCTCCCTTAACTTCCGCATCTGGTAGCCACGAATTTGACGTCCAATTGTCGGCCGATTCTGGACAGCCACACGGCTCTTTCTTTGCCTTACAAGACATGAGGTAAAGTCTCCCGAGATCTTGTACGAGCTGTTTCTGACTCAAACAGCACCTTGGGATTCATGATGGCTCCCTCGCAGTACGGCATGAGCCATTACGGCAACCCACAGTCTTCTTATTCAAATGGCTACCCGCCCCAGCAATCTTACGCTGAGCCAAGATCATCAACTTCAGGTCCTTACGGCTCATCCTACTCTTCAAGTCCGGCACCAAATGAGAGTCAGCAAAGCAGGCCCGAGCAGCACGCTGCATTACCACCATACCAGCCTCAACACCCATCGCTTCCACGGAGTCCGTACCAGCAACAACAGTCCGCAGATTCTATTCGAGCAAACAACGCTCCTATGGCTTCCGCCTCCCATTCATACACGTATTCAGCACCACAGAACAACAGCTTTCCAAATCAGCCATTAGGAAACAACAACTATCCGCCGTGAGTCCGTTGAGAATACCTGCAGCTTTGGTCACTAACACAACCTAGACCACAGCTTTATCCTCCGACTACTTATGGTGTCAACGACTATCACCCTTTGCCTACAATGTACCCGCCAACAGCTACGACGCCTTCCGCTTATGCATCTTATGACACCCAACAGAGTGCCCCGCCGCCTAATGGCCCTGTTCCAGCACTTTCATCATCACCAAGTACGCAAGGCAATTCAGTAATGCCGCGAGTGTTGAACTCGCGACCAAAGCCTCAATGTTGGGAACACGGGTGCAACGGCCGCCAGTTCTCTACTTTCAGCAACCTTTTACGGCATCAACGAGAAAAATCGGGAACCGCATCAAAGAGCTCATGTCCTCGATGCGGTGCTGAATTCACACGCACTACTGCAAGGAATGGGCATATGGCACATGACAAATGCAAGCCCCGGCGAGCATCTGAAGCAGGCGGGTAGATTACGTTTGCATTGTACCGTTCAATCTGTCCAGGACTTTCCAGTCAGTAGGGAATAGCCGCGAAGCGCGAACGGACCCGGATTGACTTGGCCAATGGCAAATTGCCGTAGCGTGGACTATCGGGTACAGCGCTTCTATCCAAGGACGACGACATCAACACGCACAATTTGAGGCATGTCTATGTGTGGTCATGCTATCAAGCTCCACTTATACGCAGAGGAGCTATTGAGGATGTGAGCTAGGCTCGAGAGGACACACAAGTTCGTGGCGAGACATGGTGCAGTTCGGCATATACCCTTAGACATTTTCGTCCTGGAGTCCACTGGGAGTTTTTTTGATACTGGAGGCATCTTCCTAGGCGTTTCATCAAGCGTTAGCGCATAATTCATTTCTTATTCAACGAATTCGGTCTATCTTGTCAATTTTGAGTCGCGGCTATGATGGCACGGTGGGGGGATGGCGCAGTGGTAAAGCGCCTGGTATTCCTTTACCGCACTCCAAATTTGCAGTGTAGTAGAGGTCGAAGGTTCGAATCCTTCTCCTCTCACCGCCACTTGTGGCTTTACCAAAAAATATCGAACGGCTTACTCCAACTCGCGAATTTTCACCTACCCCTGCAAACCTAAGCGACAGGTTATAGCCGCAGTACACCCGAGCCACGCACTGCTACGACTACAAACACTACGCTAAGCTTGTTACAACCCTACGCCTCGTTCAAGATCCCATGGCTTTTTCCCCTTTGAGGTTTTTTCAGACTTAGGAACACGAGGAAAGCGTTGCAAAAAGAGATAGGTTGAAGAGAAGGAAAAACAGGCAGCTATAATAGGGTTTTACTTTCTCTCCTCCCCTGTAATAGCTAGGACATGCCTAAACTACATTAGTCAAACATAACCAACGAACATCAAAGGAGAGATAAAAATAGCTAGAATGGCATCTGCCACCGTCCTACATAGTCTCTGACTGATAAAGGACGCTAATGGATTACATACATACATACATATGATGGCACGGTCAAGCATGGGGCAAAGGCGCCAGAGCGAGAGCATGCAGCGTCTACCCACACCAAGTCGCTTGTTGCGGTCCCATTATTCGTCATAGTTACATGTCAAAACCCCCATGTAAGAAAGGTGCGTAGCTATCTGTGCATAGCGTGGAGGTTGGTGTACAGACGGGGGCGTTGGCCGCATGCCGGCGAGGGATTGCGGGAGGATTGGGAGGAACGAGAAAAGCAGGAACACGGAACACCTGCTCCTTGAGGATGCCCTTGCGCTTGTTCCCTGCTATTGTCCCGGTTCTATGGTTCGCGAAGAATGCATCAGAACCTACCACGCTCGTCTCTCAGGGTCCGTAAACGAGTTTACGCAAAGTCATGGCTGACGCTAAACCCGCACGGCATTATTCGGCACTGCCGCGCCAGAGCGTTGGCGAGCGAAAAAGCCAGCCCAGTCCGAAGGGGGAAATCTACCGAGCACCATGTACGATTCATTCCATGTTGTGTGATAACAGCTGACCAGGCCTTCCCGACAAAACTCGAGAAGTCGCAATTTCGATCTCGACTTGCCATGGACGCCATCACAGATGATCCACCACGATCGCTGGTGCCAGCAAATATCGTCGGTTCGCTCTCCTACGTAATTACTCACGCTACGCGCACCAAGTATGGTGAGCCCTGTTCGCAATGCATGTGCCAAGAAAAGGCGAGCGAGGCTGCCGACCGCATTCAAGTAACGATCAGACTAGCGGGCCGTTGTCGCCACGACTTGGCGGGAAAGCCTCGTACAGAAAGCACCCACCGTCCTGGACAAAATCCAGCCAGAAACCCAGAACCCAGAACCCAGAACCGAGCTGCCGAGCGCCCACCACTGACGCGCAGTACCGTATCTGATCACGTTCGTAACGATTTGTGATACTTAGCAATTGTGGACCAGGGCTCGTATGCGCAAGTCAACCATGCCATCTGGACATTGGCAGCTGCTGCGCCGTTACTGGTCTTCTTCTTGGTCTTCTCTCGCTATAGTTGACCGTCTACGGAACAGTATGCTGTCGGGTTTATTTCTCCGTGTCTCGGGATACCTTCAATCGTATGCTGGTCATGGAACATCTGCGCTTCTCGACGCCGCATCTGGCGTATATGGGAATGTGGAGAGTGCTCGGGTGACGTGTATATTTCTGGCCTTGACTGCAATCAAGCACACGTTCTGTGGCTTGCTGATTACGGCTCGGCGCTGGACTCGACTTGTGTTTAGAAGGTGATTGAAGCTTCAGCGTGCATGTCGCCAAGACCAGCACTGCAGCTGGACATCGTGTCTAGCGACTAACCTCCTTAGCAGGACCCGGGACCGGATATTCATACTCGTGTGCCGGTGATTGGTCGCGGAACAAGGAATTATTGCCGGACCACAGTGGCAGACGGCAGGTATCTGTCTTCACTTCTTGCAGTAACTCCCCAGTTCGTACGATTCTATGGTGGCCACTATCTGAGCTGATAGACTACATAAGTATTTCATGCAGGTCTAGGTCATCGCTATCTGGGCACCCGGTACCGAAGTTCTGGAACTACCCCCTAGGCAATTTATTGTCTCTTGACCGCTTCATATTGTGATTGCACGAGACATCGCAGGTCAGCTCTCGGCCGAGGCCTGCCAGTGTAACAATTGATGGCGCTTGTGTGAAAGGGTCTTTGCCGTTGAACCTGTTTCGCCCCACAGCAATGAGCTCAGCCGACGAGGCCGAGGCTGCCGTGTGGGTCGAGCCTGAGGCGTGAAATACATATCACAAGGGTACGTGGGCGGGGCGCGGATAGGCGGGAAGGATGGCAGTCACTTGATCCCTCAATCGAGTGCTGGTCAAAGACGGTTGAGACATGACACCCAGTCGCAAATGTGTGCTCACGTGATATGTAGTCTTCGCAGGTCGGATATTTCAATTTGTCTTCGGCCAGCGAACAGCCATGAGTAAGCAAAAGTGGGTAACCCACCAGACTGCGCAACACTGATTCTTGCAGTTTTCACAACTGGATTCATCGTTTTGCATCACATCGAACTGCCGCGATCGATTTTTCGGCCCGGAGGCAGCTCAGCCCACGGAAGTACAAATGGTGCAACATTCACTTCGATGCCGGAATGCTGGCCAACTCAGGACATCATCGCCGGCGGCACAGTAACGGGCGTCAGGCCTCCATCCACTTGGCTCGTCTCAAAACGTCTGCATCGTATGGTATCGTCTGGCGGCCTTAAGACCGCCCCACACCATAACAATCTTCTGGGTTCCTCGACACGAGTCCTGTTTCCCGGATTCGATATGGCCAAGGAGTGATGGACATGTCGCTACGCATACATCATGCGATTCCGACAGATTCACACGTGTGCGCGTCGGAAAGCGCATGCCATGGCGAGATCTTCGGTGGGGGCGTCAAATGGTGGTTTTAACCGCTTCAGCGACGTGACCGAGAAGCGCAAAGGCGCCGGCAACGTCGCCGATTCTAACACAAATGCGCGTCTCTAAAGCACCACGCCGCAATTGATATACACTAGGGTGGGATGCCTAGATGTACAATGTGAGCAACCCGTGCCCGCCATCATGCAAGGCGACATGGTGCGGACAGCAAAAATCTATGGCACATGGCCGCACACAAACTTCAACAATCCACTTGTTGTGTGGTAGGTTTTCTGCAGTAGCAGCAGCCACCATTCCGAACCATGCATCGTCTCGCGTGCAGGGCTGATGTGCATGGTTTTAGTTACATGGAACCCCAGGGCCATGGTTTGACTCGTAGCATTTGCCTGTCGCTGGCACCACTACTGCTGTGGGAGACCAAACCTGGATTGCAGTACCACTTTGACGCCTCAAGGAGGGCCGGCTAATGTCGCCGCTTGCTGCTAAACGGCAGACAGTGTGGCGCTTCTAACCTAACCAGGCGGCGCGCGCGTGGGGATAGTTCAGCTGCACGTAACTGCCAGGGTGATAAACAGGAAGCACGGGGTATAACAGGAGGTCTTGAGCCCCATAAATTCGACGTAATGAGTTCCATGGTCAGATGGGGTATGCTTGTCGCTGGCTTTCAGCCTCAACCGCCGGCTGAGTCCTGGAGTTGCCCCGGTTTCGTCGCTTCGTCTTGTAGTCAGCATGCTCCCGAAGCGTCACTGCTTGCGGCCTTCCATTACTCTTTAGGCATCGTGGGTGCATGCGAAGCATCTGTGTCACCCGTGCCGCAATAAGAATTAAAAAGCGGGCACGTCTGGTTGTATGCTGCCGTCCACATCGCTCTTCTCTGCTTCGTCATTTGCTTCGCTATCCTTGTGGCTAGGTGTTGCTATCACTCAGCGTTAGTCACTGGGATCCGAAGTGGACCCGGCTCTTGAATACGAAAACGATACCGTTGTCCCCTAACTACCGTAGTGCCAAGAAAACTGCATCATCAATGGACCACATCTGAGACATGTCGCTCCATACAAGTGGATGAGGACTGTTAGTGTAGAGGGGAACAGCTGGCTGTACAGTCATGTCACGAACACGATGATACAAGCTCTCGGCATGACCGATGGGGCAAACAGTGTGACGTATATTCAGATTTTGCAAAGTTGTTCGATCGACTGTGCCGCAATTATTCGTTCACCTGATAATAAGCCAAGAGGTACTGGCAAGATACGAAGAAGAGGACAAGATTTTGATATGTCTATTATGTAAGACAAAGTCCCGTGGGTACTAGGATCTTTTGAGTCATTGTGGTAGATCGAAAAAGGGCGATAGAAGGGCGCTCAGGGTCGCGATGATTCACAATTGAGGCTGAGAGCGATGGATGATGGCTCGCCCCGCTGAACGGTGACTCCCCGCAGGCAGGAGGGAGCTCGGGCCAACACCTAACCACCACGACATGTTCTATACACGTACGGCCGACTGACATCGCAAGCACCTTCGCCATCATCCATAACATCACATATAAGCTCATTTACACTAATGTCTTCCATTCATCTGTGAACGCCTAATTGGCACCTTCACGCAACTCGCCTACGAGTTGTCATCAGCCTTCGCTTGACGCAGTCTCACTCATCATTTGCGCTTTACACCCTTCAAAATGCTTCCTTTATTATCGCGAAAATTCCGTATTCATTTCTCACACACGAACTCGCGATCATTACAAAGAATACTTTCCGCAGTAACGCGGTGACATAGAAGTTGAGAAGCCTAGAAGATCTACATCACTCGGTCGGTTTGACACGCAGATCCGGACACATTCCTTCGCTAGTCCGCTGCCATGGCGTCTATATTTACCTTCGATCCTGATCCTCCGCGGGTGTCATCCCCATGGGCAACAACACCTATCGGCGACGCCACCCAGCCGCCCGCTCCGAACCAAACGTCTAAGCTCCTTCCTTCGCAGGTCGGCAAGGGCGACTGCACAGTGTCCGACAAGGAGGTTCCGACAGGTGACGTCGAATATACGAGCATCAAAAGGCTGGAGGCAGAGCCTCAGGATGGTCCTACAGAATACAAGCTACATCTGCTTTTAAGGCGACGGCGGTCCTTCACACGGGCTAGCAATGGACGTTACATGTCAGGGTCTATGCGACGGAATGAAGCTTCCATCCCAGTACCTGTGGGTCGTAGTGTAGCTGAAGCAGTTCCTCTATCCAACACACCTCCGCCACTTGCCTCTACGCAGTCAAAGCAACATCGTCTTGAGCAACTCACCACTCAACTGCTCTGGCGCCTACAGCAGTCATGTCCCTATCATATCTCTTCATCAACAGCCCCTGTACTACCCCATCTTCCCGATGATGCGCGTCTCTCTGCGCCTGAAATGCCCCAGCGGCTTCTCCCTGGCTTGGAGGAGAGCAAAGGTGCACTGTACGAGATCGGTGTCGCAGACGATGGAACCATCGTTGGCTTGGCAGAAGATGAGATGGAAGAGAGTCTGAACAATTTGCGCGCTATGGCTGCAAGTCTAGGCTGTGGCATTGAAGTCTTGCGCAGAGTCCCCGTGGGTGAGTGCGAATGGGTTGAAGATGCCGGCACACCACAGCAAAGAGTTCTCAAGTCTCAGCTACTAGTCGCTGAAGCCTTGGTTCGTCCAGAGCAGCATCTAATTGATCATACAAGGAAGATCCAGCAGGATCTTGGCAACATGTCACTGAATGCTTCTGGCAGCAGCATAGACCTACCGAGCACACCTCAAACCACCACTGAGCAGATGCGAGTGTCAGTCACCGGAGCCACCATGTCGGGCAAATCTACTCTCCTCGGCACGCTTTCTACCGCCACGTTAGACAACGGTCGTGGAAAGAGTCGGCTGAGCTTGCTGAAGCACAGGCATGAGATTGCATCAGGCATGACCAGTTCAGTAACTCAGGAGCTTATAGGGTATCGCGACGACAAGGAACATACGCAGGTGATCAGCTATGGCTCTGGGGATGTTTCATCCTGGATTGACATACACGCTGCAGTGGAGGCTGCTGGTAATGGCAGGCTCGTGTTTCTTTCAGATTCCGCAGGACATCCTCGCTTCAGGCGCACCACTGTTCGTGGTATTGTTGGATGGCAAGTTTCATCTCCCTAGAAGTGTCGTACCGCTTCTCCTGCTAAAGTCCGAGGTTTGCTAACCTACTTATCAGGCAACCGCATTGGACACTGTTGTGTGTACCATCTGACAACTCTGAAGATTCTTCGGGCAAGCTGGGAGCGTCGCCTACGTCCGAGGAATTACTAGGACCCGCTGCTGCAGGATTTGATCTCTCACACGCTCATCTGCAGCTCTGTCTCGCCTTGGAACTACCACTTGTCATCGCCATCACCAAGTACGATTTGGCTACCAAGAACGGCTTGAGAAGCACCATAGTGAAGCTGTTCACGGCGCTAAGAGAGCACGGTCGTAAGCCTTTTCTCATCACTGATCCGTCCACATCTGTTCTAGAAGCCGACCTACACACCGTCGAGGCATCGGATCTAAATGAGACGGACAAGACCATTGAACTTCTGAAAGAGTCACCACTCGCGGCAGTCCCTGTTGTACTCACTAGCGCGATCAAAGGGATCGGCATTCAGAAACTGCATGCTTTCCTGAGAAGACTTCCTATGCCAACGGAGGAGACAAACCCACCATCTGGAACGCCTTCAACTCTGTTCTATATCGAAGATGTCTACAGCGTGCGTACTAGTACCTCTGCTAACAGCTCCACCATCATCGGAGGACACCTCCGCTACGGCTCCCTAACGATCGGAGACGAGCTACTCCTTGGGCCATACTCGGTCGACATCAGCTCCGACGATAGTGACAGCGGCAGCGGCACTCAACCAACCCGAAAACTTACAATATCACAATCACGCTCTTTCCCCGGCGCACTCAACACAAAATCCAAAAACACGCTCTTGCGTGACCGACACAGCGAGTGGCGACGCGTCCGCATCACATCACTCCGCAACCTACGACTCCCCGTCCGTACATTACATGTAGGCCAGGTGGGTACCATGGGAATCATACCCGTCGACACACCACCCCTTTCCAGTCCCTCCATCAACAGAATACGCAAAGGCATGGTACTGTGTGCAAGCGAAGCCAAAGCTCACAAAACCATCACCGTTCGCTTCCAGGACAAACAAGCTCAAGGCATCAAAGGTCTCAGCGTAGGCACCGCTGTCGTCGTCTACATTGCCAGTGTACGCGCTTCTTCGAAAGTCGTTTCCGTGGCTCTTGAAACCGTAAACGCTCCCTTGCCTCCGCGGACATCGCAAGATGACGATGATGCGTTTGGTTTCGGCTTCGAGGATGAGGCCGATGAGATGGATATGAGTGGTTCGAATGCACCGCCTGCTGTTATTGTGACGTTTCAGTTTATTGCGTCGCGTGAGTTTGTTGAAGAGGGAGCTAGGGTGTTGATTATGCCTGGTGGTGGAGGGCCTGGATTGTTTGGGAGTGGGGAGAGAGGGGCTAAGGGTATGGCTGGGTTGGAAGGGTTTGTGGGAAGGTTGGTTGAGGATGGTTTGTAAGGGATGTTGTTGTGTTGGGTGTTCATTTTTCTCATTATTGATTGTATTCAATGGATGCTCGAGGTTCTCATCACGCATGTCCACTTAATAACACTACAGAGGTACATATTCAACGCACACACTTGATTCCACGAACACATACATTAAACCGGCACTACCAAGAAAAAGATGTTGCACGAAACACCCCCGCATCCAACACAGCACAATCATACCAGCCTCCTTTACCAGGAGAACCATCATGCACCGCGCGCCCCATCACCGCACCCCTCATCCCTCTCACCCCGTACCGTCCTCACCCGACGCCAGCCCCTTGCGAGGCCAACCGGCTAGATACTCAGGATCAAGAAAAAAGAAGCAAAGCTCAGAAGCCAAAGCAGAAGGGGTTTAGAAAAAAAGATCGTGCACGTAACCTGCCAACGCCAGCTATCCAGATAACACGAGGGTCATCGGCGACTGGGAAGGTGGGAAACGCGTTTTTGATGTATCGCTAGGCTATACTGAGCAGCAGGAATGGGTCTGGTCGCTGAGCTCCACCTTAGGCCGCGAATGTGGGATTGTGGTTGTGGGGGGGTGGGGGAAATGAGAGTGGAGGACGAGTGCGGAGATGGACGTGGAGACGAAAGAGAGTGAGAAAAAAAGAGAGAGGAGGCGGGTTATGACCGCAGAGGAAAATTGTCTTGAAGGGTATATCTCACGAGTAGCGCTGTCAATGATTAAATAGTCTTACCGGGCAAAAAGCGCCGTCGTATTGTTCAGATAGGTATCTCGTGTGATTCTGCCGATATGCATATTGTTAGTTCTGCTAAGTCGAGACACAAGGCCGTGTCTAAGCTGCAGATGAAGCGAAGAGGACTTTTCGGGGTCCGCCCATAGTTAGGCCCTTTGAAACGGCTCCGCTGGTTCCACTACTATCCATGCTTTCTAGCATCCTATCCATACCGCCTAGGTCGAGTTCGCCACGAGTTAGTAGAGCTTGATCTACTCTGCTCGTGGCCTCTTCCTCATTCCGCTCGCGTGTGAACATGGCGCTCAGATCACGTCCCAAGGGCTGGCTAGTGTTGGCGGTGATGATGATGCGGTGCTCCGCAGAGATGAGCACATCTCTTGCAACTGCCATGCGTGACGCCTGTGTTGTTGTGTCGAACTGTGAAATAGAGGTAATGACTTCTCCGTATAATGCCACGTCTTGAACTTGGAGGCCAGGACCCGGTAATGAGCCTCCGTTACTAGCAGACGCAGTGCGGCCCCAGAACTTGGTCAGATCTGCTATCCTATACACATCTGACCCGTACCAGATAATGACCGAATCTTCTGACGTAGCTCCGTTGGCAGACAAAAGCGTAGCGACCGAAACACCACCGCGTGTGGCAGCTGCCGAACTTGCTGGGTTTCCCTGAAACAATGCCTCTTCTTTTCTCCGACGTGTGTTGGGCGTCATTGGGGCTAAAGAATTGCGACTGTTACGCTTCGGACTGGACGGCCCGCCGCTGCTACTGCTTCCTTCCTTCTCCGATGTTCCTACGTATCCCCTTAGAGAAAATGCTGAGGGATCCACAGGCGGACTTGGGCCCGAGCGATCGACGTCCCAGACACCCCATTCACCATCGGCTAGTAGAGCCACAATGTATTTGCCATCAGACGCCCAAGCTGCATCGATGATGGATTTCCGCGAGGCGAGAACAGGTGGCATGAGATTGACGTTCTTGACACCCTCGAACGATGCCCTGAAGGTACGGATAAAGGCACCGGTTTCATTGGCGCGACCGCTCGTTGGCCGCTTGCGACTTGGTGAGGCAAATGGATCGTAAATTCGTGCTGTGCCCACCGAATCTGTGACAAGTAGCTGGGAGTGTCTGCGCTTGGGGTATTGGGCAGGGTTGAAGGCGATACGAGAGGCGGGTTTGCGCAAAGTAAGCATCTTGTAGGGCGTAACTGGGAGGGACACTTTCAGTCCAGTCTCGGACAGCTCGAAGCGAAAGATCTTTAGCAGACCACCCAGCTCGGCGGAGTGGGACGCAACTAGTAGATCGAAGCCTTCACTGCTCTGTGCCTGTGAGCGCGAACGGTTTAGTTGCCTGCGATTTGGTCGACCGGGTGTCGCATCGTCGTCATCAACGTCCATGTCCTCTTCCGACGCATCGTTTGTGGCAGTTTCCCCCTTGGCAGTCCAAGTCATGGTGACACCTCTGGGTATGCTTTGATGGCCTTGGATCTTGACAATCTCTTCGCCAAACTGAGACTTTGCGCTGAGTGGCTTCTCCTTGGCAGCATGCGGAGGAGGACTGAGAGGCAATGTGATAACGCGTACTGTTGAGTCTACGCCTGCGACGGTGATAACAATGCTCTTGCTGAATACGGGGGGTATTGTATCTGCAGGCCGCAGCGTGGAGGGAACGGGTATTTGGGGCACGGCGATGTGCAGGACTTGGGTACCAAGAGGCAGAGTGACGTGCTGGACGACGGACGCGTATGGCTGGTCTGGGTCGAGCTCCTCTTCCTCGTCTTCGAACTCGGCTTGGGGCGGCGGTTGGGCGGCAGCTTTCGCAGGTTCATCGTCGTCCGAATCGATGATCATGATAGTATCATCGTGTGTTCCGTTCACCTTGGCAGGCTTTGCTGGTTGTTTCCGCGGCGGCGCAGTCTTCTTCAGCTGTCGCCCACCTCTCCACAAGATGCCCACGCCCGTCTCGTGTCCATATAGTACGACTGTCGAGCCATTGGGCGCCTTGATTGGATATACCGTCGAGTTATGAATGCGATGTGGAAGCTCGTACCTAGCCGTAGCATGTCAGCAGGTACGATGAAGGTAGAGTAAGGGAAGGTACCTCAACTGTGTGAGTTTTCCCTTTGTCGCAAAGATTGGCTCCATACTCGCTATACAAAGCGCATGCGCAGCTGACGAAAGCTTTATATAGGCTGTGGGGAAAGGTGGGTGACGAGGAAATATTGACGTTGCGCTGTTGGAGGTAACAGAGCAAAGGAAACTGCGGAGTTAGTTGGGGAAGTCGCGAACGGCGCGTCACCTCAAGCGCGCCCCACGTAAACAGATCAATCAATCGCCCAAGCAATACCCAAACTAGAGCAAACGCCCTAACGCCATAGTCTGTATACTAGAACCTGCCTCATGTTGCGTAACGAGCCTCCGCATGGCTTCTCTTCGCTCAATTGGGGTTCACAAACCCGCAGCGCTGCAGTATCTGGTGCAAGAAGGCATCCTCACCGAAGATAGTACCGACCGCGACTATATCTGGGACACGTACGCCGACGAAGGCCCCGATGGCCCTACCGACGAACTTGTTACAACCGAATATCACGTTATCTGGACCCGGGGCGGAGTGGTGCGCAAGATCTTCAATTTCAGCGTGGAGAAAGAGAAGGTCAAACAGGCTCTCTTGACATGGTTCCTGGTCGATGAGACCTCACATGGTGCCACTGAAACAGCAGAAAGTGGGGTTGGACATAACGGGATCAATCAGTTCAAAAGCTTCCTGACCCAAGGCACACAGCCTGCCACGAACCCACTTGCGCCGGTCGAGACTGCGCCGCCGACAGTCGAGGTCCCATCGCGTGCTCTGGTCGTCTTCCTCAAGTCGCAAGCACATGTCTTCTTTCTCTCGGGCACAACACATATCGTCAACCTTCCCTTCGAGGTGGACAAGGCTTTTCCTGCAGCTCGCGGTGTCGTTGTGCAAAGGAAACTTGCACCTACACAGCCTGCGCCTACCAGTCCGCAGCTACCTTCGGCCCCAGTCAGTTCATTCGCTACGAACAATCAATCGTTTATTTCCCACCAGTTTTCCCTCTCTCAGAGCTTCTCGCAATCCCACCGTCGGCATGGCTCATCACTCAGTGGAACGCGACATGGCAAGTCCCGTCTGTCAGGCACAGCCACGTTCCTGGATGACTTTATCAACCCGTCTGCGCCCTTGAATCCGGAAGCGATACCTAGGCTATATTCATTCACTGATCCGCTATCGGAACTTGGATTAGTAGTCAATGTCGTCTCGGTTGGTGAGCGCAGCAGTCTACTGAGCACGCACACGACTAGTCACCGGCGACTGGAAGCTATCGACAAAGCCGAAGACATCATTTATGTGTCTCCGCGGAATGAGCTTCTCTTTGATCGAAGTGGGAATGATAAGCCCCTCCTTTTAGTAGTCACAGCGAACCACGAGACGAATGTATTTACCATCTGGTCTGCGGCATACCTTGAGCCAAAATCAATATCAAGTTCTCGCAAAACACACGTCTCCATACCAGTATCAAAACCTAGAAGGCGCAGTTCCTACGGCTCCACTGCTCCAGGGACAGGCGCAACTACACCAGCAATGCGTGGGGTTGACAGACTGAGAGAAAGCCTCGGTGGAGGTCCACGCAGGAAAAATCAGCCTCCGTCATTCAAGATCACAGGCAAAGAACGTCTGTCTGACCAGGCAGTGGATGACGCTCTTGCTTCACAACTGAACCCTGACTCCGAGCTGAACCGTCAACCCAAAGGATCGAGACGCGTGAGCTCATTACTTTCTCGCGCTGACCTGTCAACTAGCTTTGACAGGAGCGCATTCCAAGATATGGCAACGTCACGCAATAGTCTAGGCGGAAGCTTTTCACAAAGCTTCAACGCAAGTCAACGAAGCCGACACTCGTTAGGCCACGACCGGACTAGTTTTGGTGGTCTCTCGCAATCACGTAACCGAGCATCCACACCTGGTAGTGTAACTTCTCGAATGAGCTTAGGCGCGGTATCAATCGACGATACGCTAGACGATCTCATGGATGAGGACACTTTCGACACTATAGAGGACTACGACGAGCTTGACGATTTGTACGCCCCGCCTGATGCAAAAGGTGGGCCTCGGCCGGGCGAGGGGCTTCACAAAGAGTTGGTTGTTAGCGTAGTTGCAGAGGTACCTGTCACACAGTACCTAAAGAATGGGCTGTTTACCCTGAGTAATTCTTCGGGTTCGCAGCATGATACCCAGCCCAAGGTGCTTGCACTCAATGCTCCGTTCAACTCGGCGACGCTTCACGAGAGAAAGCTGTACCTGTACATATCGCATCCATCACTGCAACTTCCGCTTGAATGTGAGCTTGTGGTTACACGAAAAAGGCTATCTCCGTCAGCATCAGCAGCCCAGTCTCAATCGAATAGCGCTGCTCCACGCTATGCTTGTGTTCCAAAGTTTGTCGACAGCCGATTGCTAAACGACACACTAGACTTAGCAAAGATCAGCGACGGCCACGTCGAGCGCGTCGTTCAGCTCATCTCAACAAACCCCCAGGAACCTTGCTTATCATTGACAGCTGGATGGGGTAGTCACCTACCAATAAAGCATAGCTTGGGTACAATGAAGTTACACGACCCGTATGCCATACTTCAGCATGAACAGACACGAACAACTGCGGGATCAAAACGGAACATCAAAGCCAGTACGCCACTGAAGCGGGTGTTTTCCCTTGGGCCGAATGGAAAGCTTGAGGTAATTGATGGTGATCTGCGTCGGCATCGCATCCAGCTACGCCTATCGCCTTCAGATGGTTATGTAGCAGAACTATTTCGAGTACTGTCAACCGTCCTGCCAAACTATGCAGGGGACTTTCTCTTGGAAATATGGTGGAACATACGCAAATCATTTGCAGATGAGTTTGACGAACAAACGACCGCAGACTGGATAGCATTCGTAGCGACATTATTCACTCTCGCTGTTCCGTTTGTCGACGAGAAGAAGACAAAACCAAACACTCGGGCAAAGCCTGTACAGCGAAGAAGTTCAGGACGCCCTTCAAGTCAAGCTAAGCCAGATGAGCTTATTGATGATGACGACTCTGCATGGCGGTTGATGTGTCGTCGTCAGACCTCGAAAGCACATGCGAAGAGCTGGGAAACATCACCATGGGCCTGGGCTTTACACTCAAGCCCGAAATCGACTACAATGAGTCCGTCCGCGAAACGTGGGGCACCGCAATACCAACCGCCAACAATTGTGCAGCAAATCAGTGTTAAGGATATTACAATCCCTACTTGTCTTGATCTTGCTCGCCAATACGTTCAATCACCTATAGGAAAAGCTACGAATGATCATTGGAGGCGATTGTCTCCATCTGAAAAGCAGGACCTTCGCATTTCGTCTCTTTCAGAGATTGTTGTCTCGCTACATCTCTTCCGCGAAGAGCGTAAGTTGAATGCAGTGTGCCAGGACTTTACTGGTACTCAGCCTGGCAATCTCGCACCTGTGTTGGCGCAGATCGGCCACTGGCTACATTGGGATGCGTGGGACTGGAGACAGGGTAATTTCTTTGACCTTGATGGCGGGTCCAGTCTGGACTGGACATATGAAGAGTCCACGCTAACCAGCAAGGTGCGGGTGCATTCACAGCCTTGGGATGCACCACCTTCCATATTGGAGTGGCTGGGCTCTGTAACAGGTTCTCAGCACTATGCTCCATTTCCTACTCTAGCGATGCTTATTCGAAAGTCGAAAGCCTCTCCACACTCTTCCATCAACATCGACGAGATCATAGCAGGCGTCACGCCCAGGACCGTCGCTTTACATAAATTTTTCCGGGATATTGACCCTGCTTCAAGCCCGAGGAGAGTGGTAGAACTGATCCAAAGCTGCGATATCAGTCCTGAGATGTTGGCAACGCTCCCAGAAGCTGCAAAAGCTCCACTTATGGAAGCGATTACAAGATGCCAAGCGAACCCGCCTACGACGTGGTCAAGCTCACTGCTGAAACTTGTGCAACGAGAGGACTTGGATCTTAGTCTTACGCCGACTAGAGACTTTGCGCATGATAGCCACCTCAATTCCTCTGGAGGTGCACTTCATGCCATTGGAACTACGCGTGACGTCCATACCTTATGTCAGGGCGCTGACCGCTTGGAGCCAATTCAATCAACAGCTGAAGTGGATCGTCACTACATCACACGTTTGATCTTCCGTGAAGACAGACGGTTCATGGAGGCCTACACACTACTTGAACCTTTGCGGCAGACTATTGCCGAGTACAAAGCCGACAGTAGGCAGGATGACGCCGCAATGCTCGAAGGGCAAAAGGCACTCATGCAGTGGGTCATGATCCGAACGTTTTCCCTTCCAGTCGGCAGCTCCATGATCAAGTTCAGTAGCAAGAAGCCACTGTTAACGGAGAGATACCCACTGTATGGCTTCTCTACGTCATGTCTTATGAAGCCAATGGGGAACGTTGTCACTGCTGAACGCCAGAACTACACGGAGGAGAAGTACTTCTGGCCTTTCTTCAACGCAGGTGCTGCTGCTGGTCTGAGCATCTCGCGGGATGCGCAGGGCATTGACACTTCATGGATCATGTACAACAAACCTGCAGAGCTAACCAACAAGCATGCAGGTCTTCTACTTGGGCTGGGATTGAATGGGCACTTGAGGGAGATTGCCAAGTGGTTGTCATTCAAGTATCTTACACCAAAGCATACGATGACGTCGGTGGGCCTACTCCTAGGGCTCGCTGCTTCGTTTATGGGCACCATGGATACGCTCGTCACTCGACTGCTGTCAGTCCATGTTACTAGGATGCTACCAGCAGGAGCAGCAGAGTTGAACTTGTCGCCGTACACACAGACGACTGGCCTCATGGGCATCGGGCTACTCTACTACAACACTCAGCATCGTCGTATGAGTGAGGTAATGCTCTCCGAAATTGAGCATGTGGAGATTCCAGACCCATCTGAGCCACCAGATACCCTTCGTGATGAAGCTTACAGACTGGCTGCTGGTTTTGCACTAGGCTTTATCAACCTAGGAAAGGGAAAAGATCTACGTGGTCTTCATGACATGCGCATTGTGGAACGCCTCATGACAGTCGCTGTTGCGCCCAAGCCAGTTAATGTTGTTCACATCCTCGACCAAGCAACCGCCGGAGCGGTTATAGCCGTTGCCCTTATCTTCATGAAAACGCACGATAAAACAGTTGCCCGCAAGATAGACATCCCAGACACGCTCCCGCAGTTCGACTACGTTCGCCCCGACATCTTTCTTCTTCGAACTCTCGCCAAGCACCTCATCATGTGGGACAACATTGAGGCAAATGACGCCTGGATAATCAAGAACCTTCCCGTCGAGTATCGCGAAGCCTGGGATCTCAAAGGCATCACCCGACTACGCAGCGAGCAGATGCCTTTCTACAACATCCTCGCTGGTCTTCTATGGAGCGTAAGTCTGAAACACGCTGGCACTGGAGATATCCAAGTCCGAGATTTCCTAATCCGGTACTTGGACCAATTGATCCGCATCAACAAACTGGCCGCCGTACGTTACGATTCCAAGCTATCAAAGAACACAGTGCGAAACTGTCAAGACCTCATCGCACTCGCCGCCGCGACCGTCATGGCAGGAACAGGCGACCTAGATGTATTCCGCCGTCTACGTGGCCTCCACGGAAGAATTGGTCAAGACATACCCTACGGCTCCCATCTCGCCGCCCATATGGCCTTCGGCACCCTCTTCATCGCCGGCGGCACACAAACCTTCAGCCGCAGCAACAAAGCCATTGCCAGTTTAATTTGCGCCTTCTACCCCATCTTCCCCTCTGACGTCCAAGACTCAAAAGCTCATCTCCAAGCCTTCCGCCACTTCTGGGTTCTAGCCGCCGAACCGCGATGCCTCGTCGTGCGGGACGTAGATACAGGAAAAGCAATCTCAATGCCCATTACTGTTACCTTGAAACCTACTCCCACCACTCGTATCGATAACGGTGACGGTGCAGCAGAGTCAACAAAGAAAACTCTAACAGCACCCTGTCTCCTCCCGGAACTTCACCTCATCAGCAAACTAGAAACAGCAGACCAAACATACTGGCCCACGACCCTAGATTTCGTAAACAACCCCCTCCACCTCCGCTTCTTCCACGCAAACCATCAAACACTAAACGTTCGCCGCCGCTCCGCTCACGACACCTACGCCACCGCTTTCAGCGCCACGCTCGTCGCCCTCAACGAGGCGCAGTCAAGTCGAACATCGCAGCTACTGTTCCATTGGGTCTTCACACTACCTGCGCTGCGCATGTTTGTTTCGGCGAGTGATGCTGGGTTGATTTTGCCGCTGGATGCACAGTCGAGGTCTTGGCTTGATCCTGGGGCTACGGTTGTGGAGTCGAGGTTGGTCCTGGGGAGGCTGGCGAAGAGCTGGAAGGCGGGTGAGTTGAGGGAATTGAGGGGTGTGTTTGAGTGGGCGGATGGGGCGTCCAGGGGGGATGGTCGGTTGAGATGGTTGGGGAGGGAGGTTGTGGAGAGGATTAGGGCGGGGGTTTTGGAGAGGGGGAGGGCGATGGGTGGGGGTGGGGGTTAGAAGTATTGTGATTGTTTGAAGAAATGAAGGAGGGGGTTTTGTGAGGGATGGTAGTGACCCAGGTTGGGCAGTGGGAGGATGAGCATTTCGTTTTGATAAATTTCTTCACCGGATAACGTAAGAATGATGGTACGAACTAAACCATGGATTTGCAATGTGTATTTTATGCTCTTCCGTGTCTATGTTGCCTCGTAAAATGGCCGCCCACCATTAGTTTTTGCCCCCGAACCGATTACGTGCTCATTCATATCAATCAAAGAGACGAATGAAAAAAAAAAGATAAAGAAAATCCTACATATATGAAAAGGCCGCTATCGACACTTTCTCATCATCCCTTTTTGCAATTGCCACCCATGAGCAATAACCACCCTTGAACACTATTCCATCGCTAACCGTTTCTTACAACTGAAGCGGTACAATCCACTCGCACTTCGGCGGTGTAAGAGGGATATCCTCGCCGTCATTGAACATTTTAAGCTGCGCTACACGCCTGTAGATTTCCTCCAAGATCCTGCCTTGCTCGCCCTCGTACTCTTCTGGCTTGCCCTCTTTGTAGCGGTCCTTGGGGTCGATGGGTCTGCCATCAGGCGTTACGCCAGGGACATGGGGACGTGCTGATGAGGTGGCTTGCGCTGAAGTTTGTTGTTGTTGCTGGGAAAAGGCAGGGGTCGTGTTTTGAGTCTGGGGTTGAGCCTGCTGCGCCTGGGTAGCAAAGGGTGATGGTGTGGCTGCCGAAGCTGCGGCTTTGAAGGGGTTGGCAGCTTGTGGTTGTGTGGTGGTAGGCTGTGCAGCCGCTGCGCCAAAGGCTGAGGGTTGGCTTGGTTGGCCAAAGGCTGGTGTTGAGGAAGCTGCGGCAGTGCTAAAGGGGCTGGCTTGAGTGGATGCCTGAGGCTGGCCGAATAGGTTCGGCTTCGGTGCTTGTGACGCCTGCTGAGCGAATGGCGAGGGCTGAGCCGGTTGCTGGGCTGTTTGAGCAAACGGCGAGGGCTGACTAGACTGTTGGCTGAAAGGAGATGCGCCGGATTGTGCTTGTTGAGCAAATGGAGAAGCGCTGGCACCAGGTTGCGCTGTCTGGCCGAAGCCACTCTGACCAAAACCGGGCTTGCTGAAAGGATTCAGCTTCTGTCCCAGAGCATTTGCCTGACCAAATCCGGATGCTGCTCCTGGTGCTGATGGCTGTCCAAACGCTGAGCCTTGACCTATGCTGCTCGTTTGCCCGAATGCACTTCCTGTACCCGGCATGGATGGTTGACCAAAGCCACTGGCGCCAAAAGCAGGCTTACCAAATGCACTCCCCGTACCTCCCAGCGCTGAAGGCTGACCAAAGGGTGGTGGCTTTTGACCGAGTGCCGACGCCGCGCCAAAGGCAGAAGTGGTCTGTCCAGGATTCGAAGGTTGGCCAAACGCTGAAGTGGTTTGTGCGGGGTTAGAAGGCTGTCCAAAAGCTGATGTCGTCTGTCCGGGGTTAGAAGGCTGTCCAAAAGCTGATGTCGTCTGTCCTGGGTTTGACGGCCGGCCAAAAGCTGATGTGGTTTGTCCAGGGTTTGAAGGCTGACCGAAAGCGGAGGTGGTTTGTGCCGGATTAGCAGGTTGTCCGAACGCCGGCCTACCAAACCCTGGTGTTGAAGCCTGTCCGAATGCTGATGGCTGTGCGGATGCCCCTGTCGAAAATGGACTCGCCGATGCTTGCCCAAAGGCATTTGCGGTTGAACCGGAGAACCCGGTTGCGGTATTGGTGGATCCAGTGGGAGGGACATTGCCTTTGGCAATATCAATGCGATTGGGGTGGATGTTGGCACCTTCTTCAATATATTGGATTGCGTCAGATATCTTGTCTAAGATCATCTTCACCTGTGACTGCATCTTTTCATTGAGTGCACTCTCTTCTTGTTGCTAAAACTCATTAGTGATGAGATGACTGATCGGTCGCCAAAACCTACTGCGCCGGCTTCATTGCCTGTCGCCCGTAGCGTGTAGTACTTAAAGCGGAGCTCTTCCGGACTAATCTCAACGGGTCCCTCAATCAGTTGACGCGGAGCATCTCGCCCAGGGCCATAACATGAAAGAGGATAGATCGGACGCTGCGTGGTAAGATCATTCTTGATGTCGTCTCTGTCCAAATGGAAAGCCGGTGTCTTCGAGTCACGATTGCCTGCATTAGGAGAGTAAATATCAATGAAAGCGATACTATATCGAGAGCTTTTTTTTAGAAGAAAATTCACCGTGATGAGTACCGACGTACCTCCAAATGCGTTGGACCCGCTGTCTTGACCTGGGCGATAGCGATCACCGTTGAAGGCATTGAAGCGGTTGTTCCCTCCACCAAAACCGCCTCCGCGATCTCGCGCACTTCCAGGATGCTCATTCTTGCAGTTGTCTGTTTAAGGTGAGAATTATGTATGTCTGTGTGACGGGTGGTAGCTTACCACCAAACTTGCAAGCACCGCGCTGATAGAAGGTGCAGACTCCCATGTTGACCCGATGATCGATAGTCTACTCCTGAGTCAAGGATTGTAACTTTAAATGAACTGTAGTGTTTTAGTCAGGCCAAGAGAAATGATATTGAAAAAGTAGTATAGATGGATGAATGAAAGTCAATGCGCCAGGGTCGAAACCGAGGCTGGAGTGAACGGCGACTTTCTTGGATGCCGACGCGACGCGCTAGCCAATCAACGCGAGCAGAGCGTCGTGACTTGGTTGTGCCGCAGACAGCAGTGAGTGTAAATCGCATTATTTGTACGTTACTTCTGCCCACTGGAGTTCCCGGTCGAAGCTCGCAGCCTTGTGCCCTGCTCAGCCTATTTCGAGTGGCGCATATTGAATGCCAGTGGACAAGGCGCGCTAATCGATCAATGCAGATGATATGAAAGCGCAAGACACGAACCGGGCAGAAAGAGGAGATGATGACCTACCTGAAGTGACTATACGTGGTATTATAGTCGCTCGTCGACGATTATGGTATCTTTTGAGGTGATGTCGACGCTTACCGCTGTGTCGACGTCGTCAGGCACTGGGGAAAGAGCGCTACTCACTAGCCCAGATGCGGAACTAGCGCAGCCTGCAAACATTCGGACCTTCCACGTACGCGAACACCTATTGTCTGCTACGCATCGCTCGGTGATAAATCTTGCGCCATGTGCATCCAAGACAATCCCGTGCTGCCCTCACATGATATATTGAAGAACGGGAATCATTCTCGACGTCCAGCCCTGCCTCCTTGCTAGTACAGCACCTGCGGCGTCCATCTAGTTTGTTCTGAACCCTCGCTTGGCATGCCGGTGTAAATGCACGCTTTCTCCATTCTTACCATTGCTATCTTCGTCGCTGGGTATTCGACTGCTCGTTGGGACCTTGTCACTCGCGTCTACGAGCTAGCGATATTCGCCTGGGACCACGGTGTTGTGACGAGAACTGCAAAGGGGTTCGCCTTCTTGTCGCTGCTGTTCTTCCTCTTCATACTGCCGATTGTGCGCCTCGCGACACAGGAAACGGATCTGGTTAGTAAGCTTGACGTGGGTACTAGTTGATCCAATTGACTGAGTTTTGCAGCATCCAAGGCTCGCAGGTACAGGCATCTCTGCGCGCGAGCAGCTCAAACGTCGCGGTTCGTTTTAGCGGGGTAGCAGGATGAGGACATGGTCACACACAATGGGTTGATGCGCGTATTCTGGCCGTCAGATGCTCCAAGAGATTCTGTGCCCGGTGTTTTGGTCGGATTCAGAAACTCCCATTCCGACGTCTTCGTTGTGGCTATACTACAAGAGGTGGAGCTGCGACAAGTCGAAAATGCACTGCTCGTAGGAACGCTACTACGGCATAGTCCGCACGACATCCAGGAGTTGCTGCAACGATGCGGGCACTCTTCCGTGTGCGCTCTGGGGTGCGTAAATCCCAAGAACCCGCTCGATCTGTCCGGCGCAGAGCCTCTCATCGTCTACACCGAACCTTCGTCCCGCTTCCCGCGCTTGCATTGCCCCAACAATGCGCTCATGACTATGCAAGTCATCGTATACGACCGGCCGCACCCGACCCGCATGCAATACCTTTCGCTTAAACCCATAACGCTCGCATTAGGAGATAAGACAAGAGTCGCCGAGTGGGATGTAGCTTTCGAAGCGTTGGAGCAGGCGGAAGAAAGGGAACGCAAGAGGAAGGCACAACTGGTAGAAAAGTTAAAGCTTCACAAAGTTGTGGCGCATCCACCCACGCAAAAGGAGCTGGCACTACCAATGCTCATCGAGCAGGTCAACTGTTCACATGAACTGAATGCGCTCCTGCAGAAAAATATTGGTCTGATTGGGAGGCGCATGAAGCGGGCTCTGAGTGTCAGTGAGCGGGTAGTCGAGTCGGCCAACGATCTTTGGGACTACACGTGGATCGTACTTCATTACGCTTTCAGGGTCTGGATATGGCCGGTAGCTGCACAGTTATTCATTCTCGGGCTTGTGACGCATCGAATAGTGGGAGAGGCTGTGATACTAGTGTTGCACTGGCGACCGGGCTCAGCCGGTTCCCCGGCTCTCAAGGACATCTCCGCGACAGCCCAGCAGATCGATATTAGACTACAACAGTCGTGCTATTGGCCCATTCAGTACCTCACCTTGCGTAGGAGGAAAGCTAATTGGGAGAGTATCACCAACAGCCACCCTGAGTATATACGGTTTTATAATAGTCTCTGGCTAGTTGCGAACGATGTGATAATGGGTATCGCTGTGGGGACATTCATCATCGAAAACGCCTCGTTCGTTGCGGCACAAGTTGACACCATATTCAGCGCGTGGTCTGTGGAAGGACTAAGGCGCATGATATCATGGCTTATGGGATGGCCAGGAGGCTTGAAGCTCAATACGGAGCTGGCTGCCTTCTTAGGCGACTTGTTTCTCTGGGTCATTGATTACTGGGCTAGTACGCTTATCTTGTCGAATTGTGCCGAATGTTGCTAACTCGATCACGTAGACTGCATATCCCTCCTGCGACCACATCTGCCCGCCCTCATCCAGGTCATCGGCTATTCAGCTTTTGCTGGGGCCACTATGCCAATCTCGATATTCTCGGACCTTGTTTCGATACTCACGCTGCACATCTACTCATTCTACGTTGCCTCGGCGCGGATTTTCCATTGGCAACTCGAGATTATCATCTCCCTATTCCACCTATTTCGCGGCAAAAAGCGCAACGTTCTCCGCAACCGAATCGACTCATGCGACTACGACTTGGATCAGCTACTACTCGGCACGATTCTCTTTACTCTGCAGTTCTTCCTATTACCGACCGTGTTTGTCTTCTACTTGACATTTGCGAGTGCGCGTATCGCTGTTATTGGGCTCAAGGCGGCATTAGAGATGGGACTTGCATGTCTCAACCACTTCCCATTATTCGCAGTCATGCTACGGCTTAAGGATCCGGGGCGATTGCCTGGAGGCATCTATTTCGAGATACAGGATACGACTGGCCTCCCGTCCGACAAGTCAGGCGTGCCAGCTTCCACGCCAACAGCCTATGTGCTGCTCAAGGTAAGATTTCTTGTGCAGACTACAATAGTTCTAAGCTCACACATTGCAGTCCGTTCCATTGTCTCTCCGCGCAATGTTTCAACCATATTTCGACCTCGGAGACCGCATACGCAAACACTACTTCTCGCCAAGTGTTTTGCTGTGTCTGGTTTCGGGTCAATTTGTTCCACCCATACACCGTCGCAATCTGTACAGCCTTCAATACAGCATGCTGCCAGCAAAGCGAGCAAGCATAGGTGAACTATGGAACAAGCTGACTGAGCGGAACGAGAGGCCATGGCATGTACCAAATGGGTATGCCACAATGCCGGTCAGGAGAGGTATCCTGAACGGTAAAAGTAGAAAAGTCACATAAAATATTTATTTCCACCTCTATTGTTCTCTCTCTGTCTCTCTGTCTCTCTCCAGGCTTCTCTCGTGTCCTTATGAACGTACAATATCCTCATCCATCTTATCACTCGTCTCCACCTACATATCTTTGTCTAGTCTTCTCTCGTGTCCTTGTGAATGTAAGACGTCCTTATCTATTTTATCACTCTTCTCTTGTTCTACCTATATACCACAATATTTACGTAAGAGAGAAGTAGAAGAAGGTAGGTAGAAGAAGGTAGGTTAGTAAGCGGACGAAGGCGGCAGTAGTATGTAAAGGCCTACCTCTTCGCCGTCTATTCTTTTCTCTCTCTACACTTTTTTGTCTGAACTTCATCCGAACCCCCCAGCAAAAAAGATTTCTACCGTAGCTGACCAACGCTCGTTCCTGTTTTCGAACCGACGCGTCCTCTGACAACAGCCCATATGACACCTACACCCTTGCTCTTTTGTTTTATTATCGCAGTTTGCTATCTACTCTAGTGTCCTTTTGGATCTTTCTGAAGATGTTTTTTCTCCTTGCGAAACCCTTTTCCGATGTGCCGGCGAGAAAGTCAGAGCCCACCCGATTACGGTAAGATGGTTGTTTGTTGATGGAAGACAATCGGCTCAACATGCTTATATACTGCTAATATTTGCGAGTGGGTGGGAACTAGATTGCGAGGTGAGAGGCGTGAGTGCGGGGTGCGCAAACAAGTGGTGAAGGCGGCGCATAGTATGGGCCGTGCGTGGGCATATGCGCTCTTTCACTGAGATGCTAAGGAAGAGATGGATCTGCAGATACAGGATTGTATAATGGATTGCAAGATAGTGGTCAAGTTCACAGCATTGGAGATGGTATGATGCAGCATGGGGTCATCTGAGCAGTCAAGAGTGGGATGGTAAGGTAAGATGCATGATTTCATTAGGTGAAGTTGGTGAGATGCAAATCTTGTTGTTTGGCCGCTCCTGCCTTTTGAGGTATTTGCACACTTGAATTGCAGCTGTAACTGTGGCACGGTGAGTGAATAGTTTAGATTGCCCAGTGTTTGTTATTGCCCGCCTATCTACCACACTTGCACATTGCGGGCGTTGACCGTATCCGTGCAGCTAGGCAATTACACGAACAACCCGTCCGATCGAGGTAAGAGAAATAACAACGCCTGTGGTAAACTACGTGCTCACGACGTACCTTGTTGTGGTGAGAGGATGGCACGGCAACCTGCGCAGCAACGATTCTTCTCATTATCATTCTCGTCCTCTCAGTTCTCGACATCTCCCAGCATCCTTTGCTTTACAGCACCCACAATAGTTATGGCGACCAACACGCCCAAGAAAGTTGCCGTCATGAGGTGCGTCATTTGCACCGTACCAACATGTTGCGCATATGCTGACTGAGAGACAAAAGCTACTCGCCTTCGTCCTTCCTGACTGTCCGCGTCGGCATAGAGAATCCCCAAGAGTTCCTTCTGCACGAAGCCATGGTCTGCGCTAGCTCCAAATTCTTTCGCCGTGCCATGAATGGAGACTGGGCAGAAAAGGCGCAACGGCTCGTCAAGCTACCCGAAGACGACCAAAAAATCTTCGCCCTCTACGTCAACATTGTTTGCACAAATGAGATCATCATCGGCTCGGCATTCGATCAGGATTACCCCAATCACCAATACCGCATCTTTTCTCTCGTCAAGCTCTACGTCTTCGCAGAGAAGGTGCAGGATAAAGAAGCCAAGAACAAGACGATCGAAACTCTTCTGCACTGCATCACGAAGCATTCGCCGGTCTTTGCGGTGGACAAGGATGTCAAGGGATTCCTTCCGAATGCTGTCGCTGTTCAGTTGATGTACGAAAACTCTTTGGAAGGCAGCTGCGGACGGCGTCTCATGGCGGATCTTTGGTGCGATGCCAGAACGGACATTCTGAACGAGTCGGAGGGCATTTGCAAGGATTTCTTCGTCGATCTAATTCGTACATTTCATAAACAACATCCGTCAGTGAAGAAAAACGTCGCCCTCACCTCAAGCATAAAGGAATATCTGGAGGTCTGATAGCTAGGATAAAGACTACCAGTCTTGACAGATATGGTGTGGGTGGCTTGAAGTCATGGAACGCCGACGATGATCGAAGCATTGCGCGCTCAGAGACGTCGAGCACCCTTTGTGCTGCCCAGTTCAATCATCATGCCCCAAACATCTGGATGGCGAGATTTGTAAAGCAAGAATAATGGGGCCATGATTTTCTCTCTAGGATATACACAAGCTCACAGCCAAAAGCACCAACATTTCCCGTTTCAAAATATGTGAATTGACTATAGCGACGACATAATTCGAGTTTGCACACTCAGCCACCCAGTCACGACTTGGCACACTTACGCTTCATGTGAATAATGACAAATTTCTACTAGATAATTAGGTATATTCTGGTAGTCTTATGTATATTAGGGTGATGTACGATGTATTACATCACATCTGCTATACGTTAGCATGAACGTCACCTATCTAGACAACACACACTGCACGAACAACCCATGGATCAAACACGAATACTATTCCACCGAAAACAGCATCTATTACGCCAAATCCGTCTCCCCCTACACTACTTACCTAAATTCATACATCATTCATAACCATCAGCAATCTGCACCATTTCCTCTCTCTTTCTCGCTCAAACAGATATAACAACGTAGTCCCCAGATTTCCCCACCTAAACCACCAGAGCGGAGAGAAGGAAGAAAGAAAAGGCTTTTTCTCAATCAACACAAAAGCCACTCCACCGACGCAACCATCCCATTCATGCTAGTCCGAAAATAAAATATAGAAAACATCAGATTACCACCCACCACCCAGAAAAGCGAAGGAACAAGAAATAATGTGGATGACGCCACAAGTCCCGAAGGAATGGGAAAAAGAAAGGTCATTAGGACGGGCCTAGGCCTCGCTCCATATACGTAGATGACGCCTAGAACCTCCACGAAAAAAAATAACGCCAGATGAATCATGTTGCTGTTGTGCTGTAGTATGACGTGCGGTGCTAGATTTCCGTGTGCTGTATGCGTTGTATGGATCGAGGTTTAAAAGTCCTCGGGCGGTTGCGGCCAATTCGCGGGTTTCGGCGTTGTACTCTGTGGTTCATCGGCGCGGGGACGACGACCCCAGACGACGTATCTGTGGACATGGTTAATTCTGGTCATATGTTGGAGCTGAGCAAACTTACACCTTGTAATACGCATGTACGCTCTTATCCCCGATAGCAGTGCGTAGATGTGCGAGGTAAACCTCGACTTCAGCGGGCGACCAACCGAGCGCGGTGACAAAGTACTCGATAGTCCAAGCGTGCACGCCAGCGCACATGTTCCAATAGAACCATTTGCCCAGCACCTTCATGCGCTCGTCTCTAGGCCACGAATTGACGGGTATAGCAAAGATCTCCTCGTGTACGTCTACGAAGCCGGCCTGTTCGTACCATCTCTTCAGTTTGTTTGCGATGCGTAGTGGGCGGCCGAGGCGCATGGCGGCTGCGTCTTCGTTTTCGGTCCATTCGAGCAGCGGGTAGTCTGGGGGCATAGTGCCGTCATCGCAGTAGACTTTTGAGTAGATTTCCTGCGATTCCATCCACCCGCCTGGGTTTAGGTTGTTGTAGCTCTTTTGTATGATTTCGCGGAAGTCGTTGAAGATGCCGAGGGACATGCGTGTATGGATGTAGTCATAGGGCTGCGTGCAGCGCCACCATTCGGGACGGGTGATGTCGTCCATGAAGAAGTCGACATTGTCGCAGGAGCTGGGGTGTTTTAGTATGGGTTCTTGAAGGGTGTGGTGTGGAATGCGCGCGTTACATTTTCGGTTGGATGGGAGATAGATCTATGCCTTCAACCTATTCTATGGTTAGATGAGTGATGGAAAGAGAGGTTTGGTAGTCGCACCCTGCATTTTGGAAACTCGTTTGCTAGCAATTGTCAGCCCGTGTTTTTCTTGTACATGCTCGCTAGACGTACCCATCTCGAAGCACCACTTGCCGGTGCCGCAGCCAATGTCCAGCATTCTCTTTGGCCGTTTCTGCTTGAGCGGCGCCAAGTAGTTCCTCTGGTGAAATAGTGCAGTAAGAATTACATGCTGCATGTCCAACCGTTCTATCTCGGGCTGGTATGCGAGTCAGTGGCGGTCCGATTAAATGGCAAAGAATAGCAAAGAAATGCTTACCGCGTCGTTTGGGAAAGGGTAGGCTAATATGGATCAGCTGTGGTCGTGTGGAGAGATAAGGGTAATTGCTTACCGCCGGCCTGGTAGCCATGGTATGTCCTGCCATACTTCTTTACATAGTCGAAAATACTTGGCGTGAGGCTTTGAATCTCGCTGGGACGTGTGAGCGCAGGGTGATTACAACAAGGGATAAGGGATAGCTTACGAGTCTTCCAGATAGTCGTCCGAGTGAGGGTCCGACTACAGAGTGAATTAGTTTGGTATGCCAATTGGGGCCGAGGCGGGGAAGGGATTGCGGCCTACATCAGCTTCGATGGTGGAATGGGTAATATCAGTGAGGTCAGTGGCACTGGACAGCGGTCGCAGCTTGTCCTTGCGCACACGGTCCGATGCAGAGGCAGTCATGCTGTCTTTGATACAGAGCGCGCTATCAGACTCTCTCCGAGTCGTGTCGAGGAGGAGGCGAAACCCAGCGGAATGGCATGTCGTTCCCAGGGCCAGGGTCTTGGGGGCCGTCACGCCGACGAGCGAAACGGGGACGGGATCAGCCTGCGCTAAGCGTGGGCCAGCGAACCCCGCAATCCCCTGCACCGACACCGCCTGTCCGCCAGCTGGAGGATAAGACCCACAACCACGACATGGCGGACATGTGTATCGAATAGAACAAGACATATTGCGCCTTGTGTCACCATTACCAACGAGCTGGCTTTGACACCCGTCGCCCTCTCCGAGAGTCTGGATAGACAGCCAACCGCCGCCCCGGATGCCACTCTCTCGACACGCCTTCCATGTACCAAGACGAGATAATCACTGACTAGCTCTCTGTACCACTCCAGTATACCGGTCTTGGATTTCCGACCAGGCTTGCGGGAGGGAGCATGATTTGCATTCATGTCGCTTTGAGGCACAGCCGGGCACATCTAGCGCTGCAGGAAGAATATTCAGTGTGGCGCTTCTAGGCCACTGGAAGCCAGCTTGTGCAGTAGCCCCTTAAATTAACTTGATTTTTGTCATCGTAATCACGGCGTAGGTGTGCAGCGTTGCGGCGCCTTCGGTGACTTGGCTGCGTGGACTACATGGCAAATCCGAAGGATAGCTTCCGTCGGGCGTATTGACCACTGTACCGGATTCTCATCTCATTCCGACCGTCCTGGCGGGTTCGCTTTCAAGGAGAGCTGATAGAGTCACATTTCACGCTGGGTTTTGATCAGAGGACGGAGAAAATTGAAATGACATAGCATTTGATTTGTCAAGCATCCACAGTCGGGTGCACTGAAGAGTACTCATCGCATGTGCTGGGCAAGCCGTATTACATCGGCTACCTCCCACCATCTCTCCGGAACATCAAGGCCGGGTCTACACTTAGCCTGTATACATCCTTGCTGCCGAAAAGCTACCATTCTTGCAGAAACTCTTCCGATCTCCAAAGTCCAGGCCCAGCAAAGGAACTAACGCGATTTCCCATATCGTCATGCTCTTGGCGGCAATCCCCATAACAAGTACAATTTGGCCTTACTTAAACCACATGGCTTCCGCACGCCTGTCGTTTTCAGTTTGGGTCTTGTGCCCCAGAGAACTCGGTTTGTACGATGTTGGTATGAACTGAGAAGGACTTGGAGCATCTGGGTTGGGAAACAGGGTCTCAACCAACACCTGGGTGCGTGTATCCCAAAGTTGCAAAAGGATGACTGGGTCGATTTCGAAGACATAAGAACCCACGGGCTCTTGCTGGTAATCGCAGATAGCGCTCACCAAATCTTCAAGCGGGAGATCGAAGAAAAGTTGCACGTGTCTTAGAAGTGGAGTTTTGTGTCGTAGAATGTAATACAGGCTGAACATGAACGCCCAGGGGCCACTCTGTTCATCTGACCATATCCGTAATACTTCCAAATTGGGGGGTACATGCCTGGCGGCACCAACACAAATTGCTGGAAGATACTGGCAAGGGAGTTCCAAGACCTTAAGATTACCGAGTTTTTCATAGAAGATGCTCCAGGCACAAGGACTCAGTCTCGTTCCATCTAGAATCCCACTAAGCGTCTCCAGCCTGTCATGGAACATCATGCTGGGACGATCCAGGGTGGAATGCGCCGTGGTCTCGTCGCATAGCCATCGCTGAATGGCATCACAGGAGCCGATAGAATGCTTAATGAACATGTGTTTTACATGAGGAAGGCATGCAAGCACTGTCGTAGGCGATATCGGAGCTGACGATTTGATATCATTGTCGAAAACCTCCAGTAGTTCGTGGGCCTTTGCCCCAGTCCAGAAAGTGTTGACTAACTTGCGATATGCAGAGCGAGTGGCGGGTAACTGAGTCTCAATAACTTCACAACTTGGGTCCCATGTGACGCTTGTTATCGAACTAGCCAATGCGGGCTTTTGCGAAAGCAACTGAATGTATGTGGACATGCCGTGCTGGGCGATGACCGCATTCTTCACTAGCGCCTCGCGTACAACACCACGGAATTGCTGGTGGGCGAGCGCTAGATTGCGAAGTTCTTCACTGGTGTCTTTGCCAGTTATGTGTTGCGTTACTTGGAGTAAGACTTCGTCGGGTAGGTGAAGGATACTAGCTGGTGTAGCCATGGCGGTTGCTCGTGTCGTGGCAGTGGAAAGTGGTTGTTCATGGACTAACGATGGAGTGGGAGGGCTCCTTCCAAGGTTATATACTAGGGGTCATACGCTAGTGGAGGAACACAGTGCCCAAGAGGGTTCCAACCAGCAAAAGTAAGTGACTTGCACTTTCACCTGCCTTCCTTTCGCTGCTGAGAGGGGCCTGCACTTCAGAATAACGTTTTGGTGATTTCACTGCTTTTACTTCGGCGAGCATCATTAGTATTCAAGTCACCAGTCTCGAGACTAAGTGTCTTCGAGTCAGTCAGTAAGAAATGCAAGACGTACGAAGACTTGGTAGAAGAAAGAAAATGTAATTTCACATTGGCCAAGACGGTCGTCCCACCTGTGCCCCGCTGCTAATATACAGGTACTCGTACCAAAGAAGCTTTTGATAGCATGATTTACCGACCCTTCTTGACCCAGCCCTCTAAGTTTTCCCTGGTGTCGGCAAGCTTGCCCTCGACCATGCCGACAGTACCTTGTGCGTGTGCCTTTCCAGTCTCGATGAATTGCGAGATCCTGTTCTTCATCCGCAGGTGAGTATCGGCAACCACAGGGTACCGCTCCTCGTAAGTCCAGATGAGGTCTCCGACATTTTTGCTGGTAATTGGCAGAACAATGTTTGCAGCGGTAATACCTACAGCAACAGGCACGGATGCGCGGAGGAAAATGTTGCGGTTGCGCGTAACGATGGAGCCAGCCATGGCGGAGACGAGCACGTAGAGAGCGCCCGGGAGGATCTTCTCGCCAGACTCCCTAGGTGGGGCTAATGAGCGAATAGTGCTTGTGAAGGAGTGCTCAAGGCGGAGGGTCTCAGTAAGGGCGTTATCAACCGCCTTCTCGCCGCGCACAGCTTGATTGTAGAGGGCCATGCGCGCACGGCCAATCTGGACAGCGAGACGATCGGTGGGAGTTGGTCGGTAGGTCGTCTCTGGTATGGCGGGCGATTTTGACGGTTCGGTAAGGGATGGAGAGGTAGGAGCAGTGGTATCAATTGGCATTTCATCGTAGATGGGTTTGCGGTTCTTTGGAGAAGTTAGTATATCGACTCCTCGGTATATTGGGGGCGCCCAGAATGAGTTCCAGGGGCGTTTTCTCGATATGACATACCCAGCGGTCATCTGGTCGCTCTTCTGCGTCTACAGTGCGTGGTGCCGAGACTGCTAGGGCGGAGAGGACGGCCATGGTAGGGGCGATAGCGCGCTGTATGCCATTAGCTGAATATCCTCATCATCTTCGCGACTGTACTCGCCTGCCGTAGCAGCGGTCTGAAGGCCATGTCGAGCGTGGGGCAGGCGCAATGGATGGGGACTGACGCTGTTGAGCCTTCTGATGTTGAGTTCAGAAGATGCGGAACGGCCGTGCGAGGCCGCCCTCGGCTTAGCCACTATGACATCGTTTGTCCTGTCTTGCAGCCAGGCCTCACTCGTGCAACGCAATATGCTCAAGCGACTTGCGCGCACGAGGCAATCATCCTGGATCTGCCAACGATGTCTGCAGCAATCCCAGCGTCCACGACGCTTCAACAGCACTTTTGCTGCCACTGCCACAGCACGCGACACTGTGCTACCGAATAATGCCCTGTACGGCCTGTCAACCAGCGGGAAGACAGATGACGACGCCCTCCGCAAAGTTTTTGACAATGCCTCCTTTTGGGACGACTTCAAGCGCGCATCGCAAAAGGGACGGCCCGCGGGGATTATAGGGAACAAACACCTTACTCATCCGGAGGGCTTCGTCGATTTCGTCACAGTAACGATAAAGCGATGCAATGCCGTGGTGCAAAAGGTGTCGGCAGCGCAGTCGATAGACGACTTCAAAAACATGGTCAAGGACCTGGACAAGCTTAGCGATTTACTTTGTCGCGTAATAGACCTGGCCGATTTCGTAAGAGGCACGCATCCAGATCGCAAGTTCCAGATCATGGCAGTCAAGGCCTACCATACCGTATTCCAGTACATGAATGAGTTGAACACTACTCCTGTGCTACACGACCAACTCAAAAAGGCATCAGAGACACCGGAAGTATACGAGGCCTGGAGCGAGGAGGAGCGCATCGTTGCGAGAATATTGATAGAAGACTTTTCACGATTTGGCATAGGTCTAGACGACAAGACGCGACAACGGCTGGTCGACTTGAGCGGCGAGATTGCAGAAGTTGGCAACCAGTTTGTTGAAGGCATGGCGCCAGAAATACTGGAGCTCAAGTTCAAATCCACAAAGTTGAAAGGCTTGGATCCCAAATTAGCAAAGGCGCTGACGAGATGGGGGGAGACTACCATCTCGACCATGCATCACGAGTCGCAGGCCGTGCTGCGGTTTGTGGAAAACCCAGAAGTACGGAGAGAGACATATCAAGCTGTCCGAACAGCTAGTAAACCAAGCATCGCGCGACTGGAGAAGATGCTGAAGCTACGCGCAGAGCTAGCCCAAACATCAGGTTACGAGACATTCGCACACATGACGCTCGAGAACAAAATGGCTAGAACTCCAGAAGCCGTCAACACGTTTCTGAAAGCGCTATACGAAGATAGTCGACCCGCTGTTCTTGCCGATTTAAACGAGTTGATGGAACTGAAAAAAGGGGATGCTCATCAATCAAACTTCCCGGACCGCATCAACGCCTGGGATAAATTTTATTATACACAGAAGATGCTTGCAACCATGGAGGGTCATTACAAGCAACGCACACCGGATTCGCTATCTGCCTACTTCTCCGTCGGCACTGTCCTGCAAGGCATATCGCGATTATTCGATCGTCTCTACGGTGTCCGATTCGTACCAAAAGAAACACAGCCTGGTGAGGTATGGGACGGTGGCGTGCGCAGACTTGATGTCATCTCTGATACTGAAGGTCATATTGCGGTGTTATACTGCGACTTGTACTCGCGGCCAGGGAAGACTCCTAATCCCGCACACTTTACCCTCCGGTGTAGTCGCGAGATCTTGCCCTCGGAAGTCGAGGAGATGGCACACATGCAACATAATTTCTCTTCGCCCATTGAGGCTGCAACCGATGGAATGCCAGTGGCATGGAATGCAGAGCGAAACAGCTACTTCCAATTGCCTACTATAGCGCTGATTTGTGACTTTAGCAAAGCGCATTCACCGCGGCCAACGTTACTCAACATTCACGATGTGCGCACCCTTTTCCACGAGATGGGACATGCGCTGCATTCTATACTTGGCCGTACAGCCCTACAAAATGTGTCTGGTACACGCTGTGCAACTGATATCGCCGAGCTCCCATCAGTACTCATGGAGCACTTTGCATTCTGTCCACATGTTCTAGGCTTGTATGCACGCCACTGGGAAACCGATGCGCCAGTTCCGACTGCTGCTCTTGAATCACGACTCGCAATCGACAACAGGAACCAGTACGCTGAGCTTGAGAGCCAGATCCTTCTCTGCATGTTAGACCAGGTCTACCACTCCCCCATTGCCGCGGACCCAAACTTCAACTCGACAAAGGTCTATCATGATGTATACAGCAAGTACGCATCTGTCCCTGAGCCCGCAGGTACAGCATGGCAAGGTTTCTTCGGTCACTTGTTTGGATATGGTGCTACCTACTATTCCTACCTTTTTGATCGTGCGCTGGCAGCCAAGATCTGGAAAGACGTCTTCCAGCACAACGGTCAACAGGGCAGTCTGGATAGAGAAAACGGCGAGCTGTACAAGAACGAGGTGCTCAAATGGGGTGGAGGAAGGGATGGCTGGCAATGTCTGGCTGGCGTTCTGAAAGACGAGAAGCTTGCACAAGGTGGAGAAGAGGCAATGCAAGAAGTCGGTAAATGGGGTATCAAAGAGGTAGGTAGGTAGTGGTGGTGTTGCGTTGTTGGAAAGCCTTGTATCCATAGAAGCAAGCATTGCTTACAGATCCGTTTGTTACGCACACATGTATAATGTAGTCATGAATAAGAGAAGTATACAAAAGTGTTCGGCAATCGATTGAGAATTTAAACATGGACTTGTGTTCAGAACAATGCAACCAAAGGGAGTCTTTGTGGAGACAGATATTATGTGCAACGCTCATGAGTTCCTGTGTGGGGACGTGGAGACGGGCTGGAGTTGCGCGGTAAAGGACGCTAACCCGTTTGGGATGTCGCGCCTATCGATAAAGATTTTGGAAGATCGCAAAACTTTTGGGAAGAACGCGCCCCATCCAGATACAACAATCAATATGTCAAAAGAAAAGAGCAGCGTACCGAAAGTGGGACAGATGGATGGGCAAAACTTAGAGTTGAAAAAAGGCAAAAAGAGGAAAAGAGCTCAGCCGGCAAATGATGGCTGGAGCGGTAAGAAGGGAGCCGGGCAGCTGACCAAGTTCGACAACTCTGATGATGAGACTCCCAAGCCTGTTCCAGAACGAGAAACGCAGAGTGAACTGCCAAAGGAACCGGAAAATGTCTCTGAACCCTCAGCTGAACGGCCGGAAAAGTCATCTAAGCGCAAGAAACCAGAAGTAGCACCAGAATCTGCAAAACCCAACACGAAGTCCGACCAAAAGGCTAAACCGAGGAGCAAGCAGTCTGAGAAACCTCGAAACTCTCAGCAAAATGTCATGGTACCACCTCATCTACTCAAGAAGCGGGATGAGTTGCGACTAGTCCGCAAAACACTTCCGATTTGGCCACAGGCGGACGCCATCAGAGCAGCGCTGCAAAGAAACAATGTACTCGTTCTCACCGGAGAAACTGGTTCCGGAAAATCGACACAAGTGCCCCAGTTCTTGGTAAATGAGTCCTGGTGTACTGGGTGCATAGCCATCACCCAACCTCGAAGAGTAGCAGCGATTTCCCTAGCACGGCGTGTTGCGGATGAAATGGGCAGCTTGATCGGCGATAAAGGACCCGCGGCCAGAGTTGGTTACAGCGTCCGTTTCGATAATGCAGCTGGGAAGCATACCAAAGTCAAGTTTTTGACGGAGGGTATGCTGCTCCAGGAGATGCTTAGAGACCCCAACATGTCGCAGTACAGTGCGGTGGTTGTGGACGAGGTTCACGAACGCAGTGTGAACGTCGATTTGATTCTTGGATTTTTGCGAAATTTGTTGGCCGATAGAGAAAGTCTCAAGACGAGAAAGCATCCGCTCAAGGTTGTGGTGATGAGTGCTACGGCCGATGTCGAGAGCCTTGTCAAGTTCTTTGGAGATAGCCAGACGACACCAAATCCGGAGCAAGCAATTGAGAAGCCAAGTAAAAAAGATGCGAGCAGGTCGGATACAGGAAAAGTGTCAACTTGCTATGTTGAGGGACGACAATATCCAGTCAAGACGATATATCTGCCACAACCAACACAAGACTGGGTCGAATCAGCCTTGAAGCTCGTGTTCCAGATACACTACAAAGAGCCGCTACCTGGAGACATCCTCGTGTTTCTCACAGGTCAGGATACCATTGAGGGTCTTGAGAAGCTCATCAATGACTATGCTGAAGGCATGGACGAGGAGGTTCCCAAACTCATCGCTCTTCCACTTTTCGCAGCCCTCCCACAGCAAGCACAACAGCGCATCTTTCACCCAACACCCTTCCGAACGCGACGAGTCATCCTCGCGACAAACATCGCAGAAACGTCCGTCACCGTCCCCGGTGTCCGCTTCGTGATCGACTGCGGAAAATCCAAAATCAAGCAATTCCGCAACCGCCTGGGTCTCGAATCACTCCTTGTAAAACCAATCTCAAAATCCGCAGCCATTCAACGCAAAGGCCGCGCCGGTCGAGAAGCCCCAGGTCAATGCTACCGCCTCTACACGGAAGAAGGCTACAACTCCATGGAAGACCGCACAATCCCCGAGATCCTCCGCTGCGACCTCAGCCAAGCCATCCTAACCATGAAAGCCCGCGGCATCCACGACGTCCTCGACTTCCCCTTCCTGGACCGACCCCCCCGCGAAGCGCTCGAAAAAGCGCTCCTCCAACTCCTCCACCTGCAAGCCCTCACGGAAACCGGTGCCATTAGCCCCACCGGTCTGGCCATTGCAAAATTCCCCCTCACACCCACCCTCGGCCGCGTCCTCGTCGAAGCTGCCAAACCAGAACGCGACTGCCTCCTCGACATCATCGACGTCATCGCCGCGCTCAGCGTGGAAAACGTCTTCCTGAACCTCGTGTCTGAAGAGCGCAAGGAAGAGGCTGAGGAGGCGCGGCGAGACCTTTTCCGTCGCGAAGGTGATCATATAACACTCCTCGTTACCGTCCAGCGCTTCGCCGTAGAGGAGAAATCGTTGCGGAAAGCTTGGTGCGAGAAACATTTTGTCTCGCACCGCGCTATGGATAATGTGATGAAAATTCGTACCCAACTCATCGAGCAGTGTAGACAGCAGAAGTTGCTGGCGGCTGATGCTACGGCTTCGGAGGGCGCGCCGGATGAGGCGAGGTGCGAGACTATCCTCAAGTGTTTGCTGAGGGGCTTTATAGGTAATACCGCGCGCTTGATGCCGGACGCGAGTTATAAGACGCTCATGGGGAATCAGACGGTGGCGATTCATCCGAGTTCGGTGTTGTTTGGTAAAAAGGTTGAGGCGGTGGTTTTTACAGAGTTTGTGTTTACTGGGAGGGCGTGGGCTAGGGGCGTTAGTGTTGTGCAGTTGGGGTGGGTGGAGGAGGTTGTTGAGGGGATTGTGTAGGTCTGAGTAATATACGCCCTGGGTAGAGAGGATGGTTTTCCTCTGTGCTAGATACGATGGATGTTGTTTTCCGTGCTTCTCACGCAAAATTGTTGTCAGTCTCGTTACCTGCACCCACTCCCTCCTTCCCGTCCCTATTCCCATTCACAGCTCCCTGTACACCACCAACTTTCTCGCCAGCTACCCTTCTACTCTCCACCAACGCCTTAATCAACGCAACAGTAACTCCCCACCCTTCCCTCATCCTCTCCTCACTCCCACTCAAATCCGGCACATGCAAAAAGATAACCGGTTTCTCCCCTTCCTTCCCCTTCTCAAGATAATGCGCCAGACTATTGTAATAAATAAACCCGCACAGGAAGTTCCCTGCGTCATGGCTAATTCTCACATCTGGACTAGCCTCCTTCTTCTCTTTTTCGTCCTTCTTAGCACCATCCAAAAAGCCCTTCCACTTCCCCAGCACATCACCTATCCCAAACCCCGTCTCCAACGTCGGCGGATATCTACTCCCCGGAAACCTCTCATCGGCCTTCCCATCCGTGAACCGTTTCCCATCCACATCAGCAATCTGGCCGTAACCGCGGCCCCTTGCCGTGGACTCGATGGCGTAGTAAGAGCGGCCTGCTGCTAGGCCGATATGCAGGATTATGTCGGGAGCTGGGTACATTGGGTTGCCTGGGGGAAGTAGCGTGGGGATTAGATCCAGGACGGTGTTGTAGGAGACGCGGATGGGCGTGTGATGGGTGTGGATATGGATGGGCGTGGGGTTTTGGGGGGAAGCTGGAATGAGGGCGGGGAGCGTGGAGGCGATCGTCCAGGAGGAGTTTTGGGGGTATTTTGAGAGGAAGGGCTGTGGTGGGTTAGTCAGTTTTTTTTTGGATGGGGTTGAAATGCGACTGCGCATTTAGGAGAAAGGCTTAGGAAAATGATAGACAATGATCATCCTTTGAAATCATATCCCACGCTCTTCGATCGGGTGCATAGATCACATGTATCCCCGCTCCCGGTTCCCGTACCCGAGAACGGACTTGGAATGAACGATGCAGAACAGCTGAGCAACTCAGGATAAGAAACAGTACTTTTGTAAATCCCAGGCTCTTGCAGATATTCGAAGGCGAAAAGTCGAGGGAAAGATAAAGAAACATACGTACCCCAAACCCCGTAACAAGCACCGTCACCGGCTTCTCCCCCTCCTCACTCGGAGGCTGTATCGCAGCATAGGCCTGCGGAGCCATCGAGACGAAAATCTAAAATTCTGATTGCACACGGTCAGCTCAAAATAATCATAGAGCAATCACACTGCCCAAAAAGCTGGCTACCTAGATACGTGTAGCCGCGAACAACATGACGGTCGTGCCAAACAGCGAACCAACTCTAACAAATGCCTCTTTTACCTAGCTAACCCTCGACACAGAAAATAACAAACTCTGCGTGAAAAAAATATCTTTGTGAGCTTTTGGCATTGCGTACCACTTCTATCGTGACGATGACAACATCTCCACTCCTCTACTCCCCACTCCCTTCCACCTTCCCCCAAACACAAACGAAGAAATCATACCGGGTACTCACATTTTCCAACCTAGATCTTCAAAACACGAACAGCCGATGCCTCCAACAATCCAATCCAGAAGATCCGTAAGCGAATAGGTGTCGTACGCCACAAAAGGCCAGTAAGACAGCCGTTGGGTTGCGAGGAGTGGAGAGATGACGGGTTCGGCTGATTTGCCGATCGGATCGTTGGCCCTGCTACATTGCACTTTGTGGGTTTAGCGCTGACCGGGAATCGCCCCGGAAGACGTCATTTGGGCAGATGGGGTACAGCCGAAGGTGGTTACCCCACGTTGGCTGTGCGGGTTTGGGCTTAAGGATTTGGTGATGGGAGATGAGGGGAGGGCTGATGAGATGGAGGTCAGATTGTGATTAGCTAGACGCGTGATAAGCTTGTGATTGTGAAATTGCGGGACGAGTGGTTACTACGAATCTGTCCACCTAGATAGGCTGGATCTGCTATGGCAATTCTTCTGGATTGAACCATATTCTTGAACATGCATGTGAGTATCCTCTGAATTGATTATCCGCTACGAAGTGCTTCTCGAACATGATCTCCGGTGCTTGACCCGATGGTTTCCAAACCTTAAGAGGTGACCCCTCGGATAGCGCACTCGCGTCTAGGTAGGTATGACAACGAACTTCTCCCATAGCAGGATAGCCGCGCATAATACCGCCGTTCCAAACTGCCGGCTCATAAATCTGTTATTCCCCGCAATGGTCTAGCATGACCGTAACAGTCTTGAAATTCAACACCCCACACATGCAATACCACGGCTTCAAGGCTGCATAAATCGCCTCCCAGTTTCTATTGATTCAGAGGATAGACACCGGTGGTATACTCGACTCCGGTTCCTTCTTGAACACTTGACGATCTCCCACCACAACACCATGGTCGCCTCCCCTACAAAACCCTACTCCCTCGCCATAATAGGCGGCGGCATATCCGGCCTCACACTCGCCATAACCCTCCTGCAATACAACATCCCCTTCATCATCTACGAAGCCGCGCCGCATTTTGGCGAGATAGGCGCCGGCGTGGCCCTCGGGCCCAACGCCGGCCTAGCAATGAAACTAATGTCACCCGCAATCTTCGACGCCTTTGTAAAATGCAGAACAGAAAACGTCGGCTCCAAGCTCGACGCCTGGTTCACCATCCGCGTGGGCGACATCCGAAAAGCAGACAAAGACGGGTTTGTGAAGCCCGGGAAAAAAGTTGGTGACGAGCTATTCGATGTATGGATGCCGCCGGGTGGGGATAGGGGAGGCGTGTATAGAGCCACGTTTTTGGATGAGCTGGTCAAGCATGTGCCGGATAGTCATGTCAAGTTTAAAAAGAGGTTCAAGGATATGCGGGAGGCAGAGGATGGGTCGGGCGATATGGTGGTGCAGTTTGAGGATGGGACTACCGCGCAGCATAGTGCTGTTATTGGGTGCGATGGAATTAAATCAATGACGCGCAAGTGGTTGCTGGGGAAGGATCATCCTGCTGCCAACGCAGTTTTCTCAGGCAAATATGCGTATAGGGGTCTTATTCCCATGAACGATGCGATCGAGATGCTGGGTGAGGATGCGGCTCGTAATAGTCAGATGTACCTAGGGTATCAGGGTCATTTGCTCACTTTTCCAATTGAGCATGGGAAGACGATGAACGGTATGATTCTACCTCCCCCACCACTCCTAAATCCCACCTTCTGACAATCATCATAGTCGTAGCGTTCTCCTCCCGCGAAACCTGGGACGACGAGAAATGGGTTATCAACACATCCAAACAAGCCATGGAAGCCGAATTCGACGGCTGGGGCCCACACGTCCAGAAAATCATCGGTGCAATGCAAAAACCCGACATTTGGGCCCTGTTCATGCACCCGCCTTGTGAGACCTACACCAAAGGCCGCGTGTGCCTTGTAGGCGACGCGGCACATGCGACTACCCCTCATCAAGGCGCAGGGGCGGGCATGTGCATAGAAGACAGCTATATCATGGCGAACTTGATTAAGGAGGCGGATAACGCGGATGATTTGAAAAAAGCTTTTGCGGCATTTGACCAGGTGCGAAGGAAAAGAACGCAAGAGAATGTGCAGAGAAGTTATGAGAATGGTAAGATGTACCAGTTTGAGCAGTATGGGGACGATTTAGATAGAATTGAGAGGGCGTATGCCGAGAAGATGAAGTGGGTATGGGATATTGACCTTGAGGCGCACTTGGCGCAGGCGAAGAAGATTATGCGGGAACAGTAAGGTCGTGCGCCTATTGAGAAAAGAGGTTCGATCCATGTTTGAGAATTCGAGTCTTGTTAGTTTGGCATTCGTATCATACAGTAGTATTGCCTAATTACATATTCCAATGGCATTATTCAGTCGATAACATCATCCCTCAGAGTGAATATCTGCTTCAACACCTCATCCGTCTTGGCACTGATGCCGTTGTGATACATCATATTCGTGACAAACATCTTGCATCCCTTGATCGTGTTGGCCGTCTCCACACTTAGATCAAAGTCCACATACATGTCATCAGTGTAAACGGCCGCATAGACCGGTACCTCATTCTTCTTCAACTGGTCCACGTCGTAGAGTTCCGGCCAGTCTTTTTCTTCAGCCAGGAGCATACCGACTGTCTTGAGCTTGGCAAGCTCTGGGTAGCAGTCAAACATGAAAGGGTAGATCATTTCGCCTGTGAAGAAGACGGGATCGTCGCTGTCAACACGGGAGAGCGAGAACTCTGGGTACTTGGGGAGAAGTCGTTCAGCGGACCAGTTTGCTGCGGTACCTTGGCAGTATATTGGCTCGTGAAGCAGTGCGTAGATGACGTTTGTATCCCAACTCTGTGCTGCTTCCAGCGCGAGAACAGTAGGGCGCGTCAAATGCCCGAATTGATTCAAATCGGTGTCAGCACGTAGAACAAAGTCGTGTACATCGTCGAAGCCACCGTGCTTGCCAAAGTAGATTCCAAGTTGCAAGAACCGACGAGCCGAGAGAAAGCCTTCGCCACCTTGCACACGGACGGTTGTGTCGCCAAAGCGTGAGAGAAGTTTGACAATACGTTTGACTCGCTCAATATCTTCAGGATACTTTTTGTAGTAGCCCTCGTTCCTACTCTTAACGCGTGCATACAGTCGTTCGTATACATCATCGGGCCCATCTCTTAGAGGCGGTAGACCACCAAAAAGGAAAGCTTCTTTGACTCCTTCGGGGTAGAAAGATAGATATGTGGCACAGCAAAACCCTCCAAAGCTCTGTCCCATGATACTCCACTTCTTCTTCTCTTCGGGGTAATCAGCAGTCAACGCTTTGCGCACTGCCTCACAATCCTTGACTATGCTATCGGCTCTGAAGCTCTTCATGTATTCAGCTTGAACCTTCTCATCGCCTCTTAACTGGAGACTGGACTGGCTGATTGCGTTTGACAGACCCGTCCCGCGTTGGTCTAACAAAAGCACTTGATAGCCTTTATCGAGGATAGCGTTGGTCCAGGATACATTCTGTGGTGGACGGCATTCAAAACCAGGTCCGCCTTGAAGGTAGATGAGCCATGGTATCTGCTTCTTCGAGCGATCCAGATAAATAGAAGGAACGTAATCTGCCGGTTTCTCCACTTTAAGCGCTGAGCGCGCGAACAGTTGGATTGTTCCCGCAGAGGGGTTGGCTTGGTGATGAGCGTTAGTATACCTTCTTTATGACAGAAATAATCTTCAATCTCTTCATCCTGAGGGTAGATATCGGGGACAGAGAAACTTCAGGGACTGTAGATGTGACAGATACGTACAGTAGTCACGGGGTACCTGGAAGAAGTGCTCGGTGACCCGGAGCTTGCCTGAGTCAAGTTATTTCATGTTCGAGAGACAAGCAACTATACACGTACCAGGTATGAGGTGACTCCTCTGTTCGAGAATCTTTGCTGCTTGAATCATTTTGGTGAATGTCCGTGGGGTATGACAGAGAGTGGGGTTGGCGTTGGGGGCGAGTGCTCCGAAGCTCACTACTTAACTAGCGCCTGCTCCAAAGGATTCACACGCATGAGGGGATGCACGACCCTTCCACACCCATATCAGACTCGCATTTACAACAGGGCGATCTATGATCATACTGCAGTATCTTGACTGTAACCTGTCCGCTCCTTGTCAGCAAAATTGTGCTCGACGCGTGACTTTCCATCTGGAAATTTTCTAGTCACTGAGGGGCAAATTCCGTCGAACTTTTACCACTACATCTCAGAATTTCAGAGATTTGCTACCAACCGTCTTTCCACCAAAAATACCCGGATACTAAACAGACTCCCCAGGAATCATGGCCAAGGATAAGAAGAAAGCGGCAGCAGGAGGCAAGGCTGCAGCCAAAGCCGCAAAAGCTGCCAAGCAAGAGAAGAAGGCAGGCAAAAAAGACAAAAAGGTCGCATCCAAGACTGCAGAGATCGATTCTGATGCCGAAGACGTCGATCTCGATGCCATTCTAGCACAGTACGCAAAAGAGCAGGAGCAACACCACGCCATCACTGAGATAGCGGCTGAGCCGCCATCAGCACGAACATCATGCACCCTCATCGCCAGCCCAGCCAACGAGAACGAAATCTTCTTGTTTGGCGGCGAGTACTTCAATGGAGCTACTGCAAAGTTCTTTAATGACCTTATGATTTACAACATCAAGCAGGATGCGTGGAAGCAAGTCACGAGTCCCAACTCGCCACTTCCTCGCTCGGGACATGCGTGGTGCCGTGCGGCAAACACCAAAGATATCTATCTGTTTGGTGGGGAGTTCAGTTCGCCAAAACAAGGTACCTTTTACCACTACAACGACTTCTGGAAGCTGGACCCGACGAATAGGGAATGGACGCGTATGGAGGGCAAGAGTAAGACGGCTGCACCGCCGGCGCGGAGTGGACATCGTATGGTTGGGTTTAAACAGTACATCATCTTATTCGGAGGATTCCAGGATACATCTGCAACGACCAAGTACTTGAACGACTTGTGGATCTACGACTGTGTGAACTTCTCCTGGCACACGCCAAAACTCCAGGCAGCTCGTGCTGTACCAGATGCACGATCGAGCTTCACGTTACTGCCACACGATCAAGGTGCCGTCATCTACGGCGGTTACTCGCGCGTCAAGACCCAAGCCGGCGGTAAGCAACAACAGCAAGGCAAAGGAAAGAAGACCAGCAGTGGCGGCCCAGCCTCACGCATGGTGCTAAAGCCAAAAGTTCACGAAGACACCTGGTTCATCCGCATCACGCCTCCCCCCTCGGACCAGGCCTCAACCACACCCCCCACCGTCTCCTGGGAAAAACGCAAGAAACCTGCAAACGCCCCCAACCCGCCCCGCGCCGGCGCCACAATGGCCTACCACAAGGGCCGCGGCGTTCTCTTCGGCGGCGTCCACGACGTCGAAGAAAGCGAGGAAGGCATCGACTCTGAATTCTTCAACCAACTCTTCATCTGGAACATTGAGCGAAACCGCTACATGCCACTTACCCTCCGCCGCCCCAAACTAAACGCAAACAAAAAAGCTGCACAGCAGGCAAACGTCAACCGGCGTGACCGCGGTAAAGCAGCAGAAGAGGAATTGCTGGCTAACCTCAAAGCCCTCGAGATGAAGGCTGGTGTACATTCCGCCGGCGACGCAGATTCGGATTCCGACAACGAAAAGGTTAAGCAGGAAGATGAGGACGAGGATACTCGTCCTGAAAAACCAAAGATCTTTGAATTTCCTCATCCCCGTTTTAACGCTGCCCTTACTGTGCAAGCGGATACCTTATACATCTACGGCGGCACGTACGAAAAGGGGGACCGGGAATACACGTTTGACGAGCTGTGGAGTGTGAATCTGAATCATCTAGATGGAGTAACAGAGATATTTAAACGGGATCTTGAAGACTGGCAGGGCAGCGACGAGGAAGCTGATTCAGAAGATGAAGACGACGAGGAAGACTCCGAATTCGAAGACGATGAAGACGACGACGACAAAACATCTATCTCCACCGCTCCAACCAGCGTCCCTCCTACCCCAACAACCCCTCTCCCCACCGAAGATCTCACGCCCCAAGAGCTCATATCCGCGCTCACAGACACACTGCCGCACCCGCGCCCCTTTGAATCCCTGCGAGACTTCTACGCCCGCACCTCGGAAGCGTGGCAGTCACTCATTTTGGAGGAACTTGCTTCAAAAGGTAAGAATGCTGAGAAAAGCCCCAAGGAGATTAAGAAAATGGGCTTCGAACGTGCGGAGGAGAAGTGGTGGGATTGTAGGGAGGAGATTCGTGCGTTGGAGGATGAGCAGGAGGCTGCGGGGATTGGCGAGGTTGTTAGTTTGGAAGGAAAGGATGCGGGTGGTGGAGTGGGGAGGAGGAGGTAGATGGAAGGGAGAGAGTGTTTGGAGTGTGGGAATGAGGTTGGGTGCTCTACAAGTATCTAGACACCCAAGATAAATGACACGGGTGTTGGAATGAAGAGAATTTTATTTGGTCATCGCTGATGCCGGCATCTACAAACGGCCAGAAGGGAAGATTCTGTGTTCAACTCTTTACAAAATGGGGTTGTGTTCTAAACCATGTGCTAAGAAAGTAAAACAGAGCATTCAAAACAGACACTATCGTTTCCCCCACAGACCCTGTTGTGTCTCTCGAATCCTCCGCTCTTGTTCCTGAATCATCTCCTCCGTCTGACCGTGACCATTTCCTCTGCTGTCAATCTCCATTGGGTCATCGGGCTCTTCTGCCGGCTGCGGGATGTTGGCGTGAGGTGCGCCTCTTCGTGGCTCGTGTGATCGTCCACCATCCATCATACCGGCAGCGCCACCTGCTCTCAGCTGGTTGATAGCACGGATCGTGTCGATGGCAGCGTGTAGTGTGCGTCTCGCGTTGAAGTTCTTCTTGACGGTAGGTAGCAGATCCTCCTCTCCATCTGCGTTGTTCTTGCCCAGCTCTGTGATCCAAGGGTGGGAGAGGGCCTCGTGGGCGGTCATTCGTGTAGCAGGGTCGACAGTCAGGCATCGGCGGATGAACTCGCGCGCGGTAAGGGATACGCCTCGCCAGTATTCCAGAGGCGTGAAGGAGTAGTCGGCGACCAAGATGGCCTGCATCTCCTCGAGATTGCTATCGCGGTCGAAAGGAGTGTAGCCGCAGAGAAGGAAGTACGTGATAACACCAATAGCCCAGATATCACTATGGCATACGTCAGCAGCAATTCCCGAGCATAACTCATTTAGCCCAACTTACACTGGCTTGCCGTGGCCAGTCTTTCTAAAAATCTCAGGTGCCATGTATCCTGGAGTTCCGCACGTTGTGGTTAGAACATGGAATTGTTCCTCGTCCATGATGCGAGACAGGCCAAAGTCAGCAATCAACAAATCAGCGTTATCCTCTGGTGTTCGGAACAGCAAGTTCTCTGGCTTCAAATCTCGATGTACGATGCCGTGGTCGTGAAGGTATGCGACAGCGGAAAGCGTGGCCCGAATGAGGTCGCCAGCATCGGACTCGTAGTAGTTGCCTTTGCGACAAATGCGGTCGAAGAGTTCGCCTCCCAGCGCGAGGTCGGTAACGAGATAAACTACTTTTGGATTAGTTTTGTGTTTTTCGTTTATCGAGATAATACTTACGATTGTTCATGGTCTCGAAGTAGTCGACCAGCGTCAGGATGTTCCTATGACCCATAGAGACCCTCTTAAGGACCGCGATCTCATTCCTGACCTGCGACTTGTCAGCCTTGCCCTCCGCTCTCTACAAGCAAGCTCACCATGTGTTCTCGGCCAGCCATGAGTCGCTTGTTGATGACTTTCGCAGCATAATATCTCCCCGTATCGATGTGCACGCACTCCTTCACTACCGAGTAGCTGCCTGCACCTAGTGTTTTCCCCGTCTTGTATCTACAAGGCTGCACTTGGGCTGCGGTCTGAGGTGTTTGTGCTCCAGAACCGCCGTTGGAAGTCTTCGTCGCCATGTCTGCGGTTCAGATGACGTTCTTCAAGTCGTAGGAAGCGAGATGTTGGTGGTTCTAAATGTGCTATGTTGGGTGCGATGTTGCTTGGGCGTTGTGTCGCAAGACTGGGTATCAATGATTGCAAAGCTGAAGATCGGCCCAGGCGTTGCGGTATATAGTGCGCTTACGATGGCGTCTCCCAAAGAGCCTGGTTAGCCTGAGTAGCTTGAGGGGGTGTGAGTTTCGAAGAAGCGTGCAAGTGTCTTGTCGACTGTCAACGCAAGCGGCGCGGAGAGCTCCCTCAATGCGCGAGTTAGAACAGTGGGGTCGCAAAGCTAAAGATGCAAGAGAGTCACTAGGGAAAGAGAAGCAAGATATGCGTGTTATGCAAAGCGAGCTGAATTAGAAATCGCTCTCGTGCTGTGAAAGCGCATAAGTTGGAGGGGTCCACACCTCTTCCCCCCGCCGGTGAGGCTTATCCCTGTCGTCGCCAAGACGGTACTAGCGCTATACACGGGATTGTGGGAGTGGACAGCCGTCCGCGGGGTGGCCGACATCACTGCATCTTTGGATGGATTTATGCACGGCTTTCGCCGAAACTCGCATTGCTGGACGTGACGGTAGATTTTTGCTTCTATTCAACCTCTATCAGTCGTCTATGAGTAGATGAGGTCAATACTCTAGGAGCAGATATCAACAGAAAGCGGGGAACGGATCAAGGTCCGAGGACAGCGTCTCGACCGGTCCATGGTTGCTTTACGACTTGATGAGCAAGCTGTGTCCGTCCATGTCTTCAGGCTGCTGAAGACCCATTGTCGCAAGCAGTGTCGGCGCCACGTCACCAAGCACGCCGTCCGTCTTCTTCAGGCTCCAACCCTCAGGGGCGTTAGCCATGACGAAAGGAACCTTGTTAGTCGTGTGAGAAGTCTTGGGTGTGCCCTCTTCAGTGAGCATCTCCTCAGCGTTACTAGCACATTGTTAGCCTGACTTCCTAATCTGTCATAAGACGTCAACTCACCCGTGATCAGCAGTAACGAACATAACGTATCCGCTCTCTTTGCACTGATCGTAGACCCTCTTGATAGCCTTGTCTGTCTCTGTGCATGCCTCAATCGCTGCCTTATAAACACCAGTGTGGCCAACCATGTCTGGTGGTGCAAAGTTGTTCATGAGGAACTCAAACTTGCCAGTTCGAATTCGCTCACAGAGCTTTTCGGCAACAGCCATGGCGCTCATCTTCGGCTCCAAATCGTACGTGGCTACCTTGGGCGAAGGAACCATCTCACGCTCCTCGTTCTCAAACTGCTTCTCTACACCACCGTTGAAGAAGAAGGTAACGTGCGCATACTTTTCAGTTTCCGCAACGTGACACTGCTTGACGCCCTGCTTTCCGAGTGTCTCAGCAAGGACATCGGTCATCCGCTGGGGCTCAAAAGCGATGTTGAATGTGTATTTGGGGTTGTATGAGGTCATTGTCGTAATGTCAATGTTCTTGGGGTAAGGGAAGTCGGGCTTGGGTGAGCGGTCGACATCGCCGAGCAATTGAGTGATTTCGCGAACGCGGTCGGAGCGGTAGTTGAAGAAGAAGACAGTGTCGTCATCTGGACTAATCAGCAAGTGGACATGCAGGTACTCTAGGCCATGACTTACCTTGTATTCTCCGCTCTTTTCCACCGACAATAATGGGTTTCAAGAACTCGTCATTCTCGTCCTTTGCGTATCGCTCCTTGATGGTTGCGACTGGGTCGTTGCTTTCCTCTCCCTCTCCAGTAACCAGGCCCTTCATGCCTATTTCGACTCGATCCCACCTCTTGTCGCGGTCCATGATGTAGTATCGGCCAACGACTGTTGCAATCTCACCAAGTCCGATCTCCTTGGTCGCTTTCAGCAGTGTCTCCATGTATCCAACTGCTGACTTGGGGTCGGTATCTCGGCCATCACCGAAGAAGTGGATGTACGCTTTTGGGACGCCCTGGTCCTTTGCAACCTTGAGGAGCGCAATCAAATGGTCCATGTGAGAGTGGACACCACCGTCGGAGACCAGACCGCAGAAGTGGAGTCTTCCATTACCGTCGATGGCGCGCTGGAATGACTTTTTGATGGTATCGACATCCTTCAACTTCCCGTTCTTGATCGTTTGGCCGATACGAACAGAGTCTTGCCATACAACTCGTCCCGCGCCGATGTTCAAGTGACCAACCTCGCTGTTGCCCATGAGACCCTCTGGAAGTCCGACGGCGAGAGAGGAGGCCTCGAGTTCGGTGTAGCCCTGAGCGGTTTTGGATCCGTCCTTGGCGAACTCGTCCATAGTAGGCGTGTCGGCCGCGAGGATAGCATCGCCATCTTTGCGCGACTTCTCAGTCGCAACACCCCAGCCGTCGATGACGATGAGGACTGTCTTTTGGTCAACTTTTGCCATGGTCGCGGTCAATCAGGTGGATATAAAGGATAGAATAAAAGAACTCGAGAATTCACTCGAGAAGAGAAGATAAGGGGTCTCGGAGAGAAAAGTAGTGAATTAGCAGTTGACCGGAGGGGCAGGCTTGGTGGGGCTAAAATGGTAGGTTTCCAACAAAAAGCATCACCGGTCAACGTCAGAGCCTGTCTACCACGGCACCACGCGGGAACAAGAAAAACGCCGACTCCGGGAGCTCCGCGCCCCAACTAAATGTTTCCATCCCAACACGCCCCATGCGCACCCCCTATCACTCAACCATCATCCTATACAACCCTAGATATTTTCGCGCATCTTTTTCGCCATGTCAAAGAGTGGGATTTCCAACTTTGACACACCTAAAAAGGCTCGCATTAAGGGTGCAGCTGAGTTCATGGATGCAAAAGGTATACCATACTTACATACTGATCTCTTCGCTTTCAACCACGTCTCTAAGCAACAAGGATGGGCTATATTGAAGGAGAAGGGAGTAGAGCACGATCGGACGCATCATAATGATCCTACAACCGAAGAAAAGCGCGGAAGAAAGCCAAAGTTGAGCCAGAAAGACCTGGAACGTTGCGACAGATTCCTTCAAGATGTCGGATGGGATGGAAGAGTCCTGACGTGGCCACAACTTGCAGAGGAGCTTCAGCTCGACGTTTCTGGCAACACTCTTCGCTCCGTGCTCGGTTCTATGGACTATCACAAGTGTATTGCATGTACAAAAGGCTGGGTTTCAAGGAAGCTTGCGAAGAAGAGAGTTGAACATTCTGAAACGATGCTTGCACTCAAACCTACCGCAGAAGACTGGCGAGACGTACGCTTTTCAGATGAAGTACACTGCCGTGTAGGTCCTCAAGGCAAGCTTCGGATTATCCGGAAGCCTGGGGAGCGTTACTGTAGTGACTGTATTCAAGAGCAGCTGAATCGAGATGATGAACGAACGTGGGAAACCTCGCACATCTGGGGCGCTGTTGGCTACAACTTCAAGTCAAACCTCACGTTTTACTCAAATCCAACCAACCGAAACGGCAAGCTCTCTCTTCATGTGTATCGGGATCAAATCCTGGAGCCTGTGGTGAAGAAATGGGTCCAAAATGATCCCCCCTTTATCCTAGAAGAAGACAACGATTCCGGGCATGGAGGTGGAAGCTCTTCCAACATTGTAGCCACCTGGAAACGCCAGAATAACCTCGATTTCTTCTTCAATTGTTCGAATTCTCCTGATCTTTCACCCATAGAGAACTGCTGGCAAGTGATGAAACAACATCTCAAGAAGTTTCCGCACTGGGATGAGTTCGAAACGAGAGAACTGGCCTCCGAGGGATGGCAGAAAGTATCACAAAGCTTCATCAATGAGCGCATTAATCAGATGCCAGAAAGACTGCAAGCTTGCATTGATATGGAGGGTAGAATGACTGGTTACTGAAGAAAAACGGGATGAAAACACACCCTGAACGCTCTGTTGAGCTACAACCCCAAGAAAAAGTCTGTATACAGCTTTCATATACAATTGCAAAGCTTCAAGCTTCAATTTGAGCCCAAATATGAGAGATTACATGTTGTTTTGGTGGTGCTGTAGTACTAATGGTGGTGCGCCAAGACATTTGCGAGTCGGCGTTTTTCTTGTTCCCGCGTGGGCACCACGTCTCCCCACGATCCGCGGCCGAACTTTATCTCACCTTATGAAATCCAATTGCGCGATTTCGCGGCGACTCTGAAATCCGAAAGCGCGTATCAGTCCATTATAGCGATAGTCGTCTGCAAAGAGTCCGTCCAATCAGCAGCCTGTGCCTCAGCCTTATCCGTCGGAGGAGAGCCGGAGGAGCAGCGTCATCCCCGTCTTCGCGACCACAACACGGCGCTAGATATGCAGCGACGTCCAACTCGTCGCATGCCGTAAACATGTCAGGAGCAGCTACACCGTACGCGACGGCTTCCGCGCGAGCCTCTGTTGCCCCCACGGGTGCTGCGACACCAGCTCCACCGCCGCCACCCACCGAGACTACCCCAACCCTCCCTCCGCCGTCTACCTTTGACATACTCCCCGACCTTCACAAGCTCCTCAAGCGCATACTAGAGACACCCTCTCACCCACCAGCTTCAACCCCCACGCCCGCCCAACTCTCAGCAGAAGGCCCGCTCGAAATCCAACATGTCGCAACAGCTGCCAATGACATCCGTCTCAAGATACAAAAGGCACGACGCGCCGTAACATCCCTGCCGGGTATCGACCGTACCTGTGAAGATCAAGAAGAAGAGATTGAGGATCTGGAGATGCGTATTGCGCGACTCAAGGCGTCATTGAGGGAGCTGGGCCAACCCACTGCTCAGACTGAGGATGGAGATGGAGACCAGAGTATGACTGGCTGAGCCGCCGGCAGGACCCCGATTGATCCCTTCTAGGACGCATGTCTATTGATTGCATGGACGCACTCGACCTCGCTCTTTCTCGAGGATCGTGAAGGTATGTCAGGTGCGGATATCAGAGAATGTGATGTGAGTTGGTGCTGACACTTCAGCCAGTGACTACGCTCAATAGACCCGCGCTACACCAAGACGAAGATTATCATACGCACTCGGGACTATCTGTATAATTCGCGCATGATGGTTGGCGCCAGCCAGTTCTGTAGTACAACGTGTGTCTAGCAAATACACAACTAGTATGATTCTACAAAGGGAATCTTGCATAGACAAGAAGTACCACATCGGAACTACTCAATCTTGAAGTAGCCTAGTCTAGCAATGTATGGTTGATGGATTCGAAGAGTGTAGTAGGCCAACAGAGGCATTACAAGTGATGCAGAAGCAACACACGATATACAGGGAAGATTATAGCTCCATAGTCATTCACCTGATTTTAAATCCTCACTTACCTTTCCTCTTCTAATTCCTCTGATGATAGTGTCATGAAGCCACTCTTACTCTACAAAACAGAAATGCTGTTATGATGATGCTGTATACATCACTGAGATCTGAGATAACTGCAGGTAAGTTACAGTAAAACCTCCAAGAAGCACAACTCTCGCACGTTGGGAAAGTTGTTATAGTTCTAATGGTAGATTGAGAACACGTACATGTCATGAGACGTATGAATCTCGACAATGATGTGTCTAGCATCCATAACACAGCCTGTAGCTATCTAGTTTCGCCCCATTAGTTATGGATGGTACTTGTCTCCCCTCACACGTGTATTCTAACAGCATCTATGCTCTTCTCTTGCATATACTCGAAGCCCATATCCTAATACACCAATCACCCCCCTCTCCTCCTCTCCTTCCCCACTTCTCTCTTACGCCCCCCAAATCCTCCCCCACACAAAATTCTTAACCATACCCCTCTTCAACAACTCAACCCTAGGCGGCACAGCGGGTTGTCGACGAGGTATCTTAACCCCCAATCCGTGGGGTCTTCCCTTTAGGATGTTGAGTCTGCTGTGCTGGTAGCGCTGGTTTAGCGGGTGATGTTTGATCCATTTCTCGGACTCTGTTTCTTCTTTTTCTTCTGCCTCCCGCTCTGCCTTCGTGGTGATGCTGGCGGCGGCGGTGCTGGGGTTGGTTGGTTGCGTTGGCTGTGAAGTGAGGTTTTGTGTAGTGGGGCTGGGTTTGGAACGGGGGGTGGCAGTGGAAGCTGAGGTGGAGACGGAAGTGGGAGGCAATTTGGGGGTGGAAATCACAGTCCAAGTCGAAGACCAACTTGGGGTGTTATCCCCGACATCGCTGACAGCTTCGAGGGAGGAGATGAGCTCCCAGTCGTCGGAGACGGGTGTGGTCGGAATTGTTGTACTTTGTCTTTTGGGGCTGGAGAAGAGCTTGGTGAGGAAAGACATTATTGGGTTGAGTGTCTTTTTCCTGTCGCACTGGCTGTCGCTAGGCGGTTCGGTCGTGATTTTGGTAGAAGAGAGGAGTAGAGAGTCAAAGCAGACGGACAAGCGGCTGGTGGGTGCAGGAAGTGAGAGGTTAGGTGTCGGGATGCGACCAAAGAATCGCAGTGCACCTGAACCATGGGACGGACACTCGCCACAACCTAGTCAGTAGTTCACAAGCTCACACACTCACCAAGATCTGGATGTCTCCAATTGATTTGCTTCTGAGCTTGGAATCTGTTGACCTTACAACACGTATTCAAAACAAAAAGAAAGGGTTCATTCAGTCGAGGCAATTCTTGGAATGCAGCCATGGTAGATGTTTACTCGCTATAACCTCTGCATATATGTACACTCCCAATAACATGCATCGCTCCTGGTTCCGCTCCTACTTCGTCTCATACTCTGGTGTGACTGCAAATGTAGGTCGAACAAATCTGTGATTGGGTGATTAGCCAGTATTCTTGCCAAGGCCATGTCATTGCCGGTGCCTTACCTGTCGCTGTGGTAGACCTTGGTCTCTGTGCCAAGTAGCTCCTTCTCTCGCGCCTTGTCGGCTAGATGTCTTCGCACTTGGTCCCGGTCTTCTTCGGCTTGTAGTGCTGGGATAAGGTATATCCGCGCCCACATCTTCTCGCGCGCGAGTTCGCTGTAAATCGTCAGCATTTGTCCCTCAACTCCCTAGATCCATAATTGTCCCCCAATATAGCTTCGACGTACTTGTGCTCCCTAATACCCTGTCCAACCCTCCAGAAACCATATGTCATCAGCGCCGCGGTTCCGAAGAGGTATGCGGCGGGCCGGAAGCCTCGAACGGGGAGATTGCGCTTGTATTGGACGGGGCTGTAGCCGCCAACGGGCGGCATATCCTGCGGCATAATGGGCGGTCGTGTTCGTGGTGCAATGGGTATTTAATGTGTGCCCTCAATGCGGAGACGTGAATTGAGGTCCACGCTTGGGAAGCCGCGATGACAGGGATGTTGCTTGGCACGCTAAGGTGAGGTGAGCATAATTTTGTCGATGCTAGCAATCGTTGCCTGTTCTTCACAATCGACATACAATTTTACCGAAACTATGGAATCCGATGAAAGGCCTGCGAAGATGCGCAAGTTGGACAACGGGGATGCAGATACGGCTGTTGTGGATGTGCCTGCGATATCCACACCAAACGAACAATTACCCGTAACAGAACATGACGAACAAGTGGACACTCCCGAAGCTTTGACCGGAACCCCGGCTGAGACGGAGGGTGCAGAACCCAAGTTATCCAAAAACCAGCTCAAAAAGCTAAGACGGCAAGAGCGCTGGGAAGCGGGGCGTGAAGATCGCAAATTGAAGCGAAAAGAGAAAATCAAAGAAAAGAAAGAAAGACGTCGAGAAACATGGGCCCAAATGCCAGTTGATGAGAATGGCAACAAACCAAGACCACCGCCGTCACGGGCGCCCAGGCATTCAGCAGGACCCGGCAAACAAGTGCCGATTACAGTAATCTTTGATTGCGATTTCGAGGAGCTAATGTTCGACAATGAGCTTAAAAGTTTGGGACTTCAAATCACGAGGTGCTATAGCGATAACAGAAAAGCAAACTATAGAGCACATTTGGCACTGAGCAGTTTTGGGGGCAAGATGAAAGAGCGCTTTGATGGTATCTTGGCTAAGCAATATACGAGCTGGAAGGGCTTCCGATTCTTCGAGGAGGACTTTGTGGAGGTCGCCGAGAAAGCAAAGGAGTGGATGGCCGCACCGGAAGGCGGAGAGGTAGCGGGCGCTTTGAAGTCATCGGCCGAAAACGGTGACTCAGCGGAAGAAGGCGAGATCGTGTACCTCTCGTCAGAGTCCGACAATGTTCTCACACATTTAAAGCCCAACAGCACGTATATCATCGGAGGTCTGGTTGACAAGAACCGACACAAGGGCATCTGTCACAAGCGCGCTATGGAACGCGGTATCAAAACTGCAAAGTTACCTATCGGCGAGTACCTCGAGATGAAGAGTCGGCAAGTCCTGGTCACGAACCATGTCCTGGAGATTATGTTAAAGTGGATGGACTTTGAGGACTGGGGCAAGGCTTTCATGGCAGTAATGCCAGAGAGAAAGGGCGCCAAGCTGAAAGGCGATGCTGAGGATGCGGAGAAGGAAGCAGAGGCAGCAGAGGCAGCCGCCGAGGAAAGCTTAGATCGGGACCTGGCAGACGCTACAAGGGAGGCGGAAGCTGGACAGGATGAGCCTGCCATGGAAAACAGCGAGGCTACATGAGGCCGGGGGATTATTGACGAGAACAATAATAGGATCATACTCGCTACCAAGACGCCGCTAAAATTGCTTTTTTCCCCGGCTACACTAACTTGAAATGTACGCTATGAGGGCAAATATCAAGCCAGCAGACGATACAGATGCACTTAGATGCTCGCTGTAAAGGTATACAGAACGCCCGAAGTCAGCCCTGTCGGAAAGCGGGAACTAAGCCTTCTGGAGACGTGTTAGCGCGATGAGCTCCACGTCCAAGAAGCTCACCATACATGGCAATCGCTACGCATACACCGTCTTTTGGTAGTCTGGTGTTCCTGGCGTCCACAATAGCTTTCCAGAATGCACGCAATCTGTCCGCATTATCGCTTATGTAACCTCCCGATGCTTTACAGCAACTATTGCGACGTTCTGACCTCAACAACGAGCGTCATGCCACTAAATTTGCGCAACGTCACAGCTCCTCTCACCTGCAACAGCCCCAACGCCTCACGTCCACCACGCGACCCACATTAATTCAGGCACATCACTCCCACAGCTTGTTCACCAGTCATGTCGCGCCCAGTAGATGCCCCATCTTCTCCACCTTTCCGTCCCCCATCCTCACAAACATCGTCGCCTTCGCAGCGCCAGACGACAAAGCGCTCGTCCTCATACTTTACGTATCCCGTCTCATATGCCATGTCAGGCATCCTACGGCGACTCAATACCGACGCGAGTCCGCATTCAGAAGCACAGTCCAGATCAGACAACCACAGCAACCGTAATAGCGCGAGCAACCTGCAATCGCAGTTGCAGTCCACCGCCTCTTCATTCACGCAATCCCTGGCCAGCTTCGTGTCCTCGGCCACAGACATGAATGCCGTCTACCAACCACCGCATCGGATAGCAAGCCCTTTCCAACCACCTCCATTAACACCACTGAGTTTGAAGGGATGGAGGAGTGAAATGCGGGATAAGGGCAAGCTCCTCACCAAGGCGCTAGCGGAAGAGATTAGACTGCTACTGCCACCAAGACTGCAGCTGGTAGACGAGTGGCAGTTGGCATACAGTTTGGAGCAAAATGGTGTTAGTCTAAGCACGCTATACAAACAGTCTGAGGACTATGTGGGCAGGAGAGGAGGTTTTGTGCTCGTAGTCAAGGATGGCGGTGGAAGCGTATGTTCAAGATATGAAACACTCTATAACGCAGTACTAACATGTTGCGATAGCTTTTCGGCGCATATCTGTCGGACGCACCACAGCCCTCGACATCGTTTTATGGCAACGGCGAATGCTTCCTCTGGCGCGCACACGTCCTCTCTGGTCTTCCAGATCTGCAGATGAACCTCCCACCGCCCCCATCAGAAGACACCACACACGCTGTCCGCATGACGACAGTGTCGTCGCCGAAAAGGAACGGACATTCATTGGCACCGCCACGAAATGGACAAACTACTAGAAGTGGGACGAGCACACCTGAGCGGATACGTTTCAAGGCGTTTCCATACAGCGGGGTCAATGACTACATGATCTTCTGCGAGCACAGTTATCTCAGCATCGGTGGAGGGTAAGTAAGACCGATCTGTGCTTGGTTACAGTAATGCTGACACGATCACGACAGGGACGGTCACTACGGTCTATGGCTAGACGACAACCTGGAGAAGGGGGTCTCAGATACGTGTCCCACGTTTGGCAACGAGCCCTTGAGCGATGACGGCAAGAAGTTTGAAGTCATGGGCGTGGAGCTGTGGTATGTGGGTGTATGAGTGAAAATCTAGGTTGGGGGCTTCTTTCGTAACGATACCAGGTTTTGGTACTTTGCACTGGCGGCATAGTATCATGGCGTTCAAGAGGGTAGGTATGTTTTGCTTCAAGGGTGATTATTTGGGTTGGACATGAGTTATGCTGAAAAAGTAAATGCTGCAATGCCATGGGATGTCCTCACGTTGTGTTTGCCTTGGATGATTTGCTAGTTGATCTCTTGACCGACTTACACATGGCAAATAGTACGTCTCTTTGCCCGTGAAAGTATATTGGCCCGTTCGGTGACCAGAAATATATGCCCCGACCTGATGTATTCGTATTCAACCGCTTACATCTTATCTAATCCGATCTTGTATGCTTGGGGATCTGGTTACCTGGATGCTAACTCGGAAGCGGCCCGACTGGTCAGTCTGAATACGCGACAATCGAGGGTCCTTCTGGTCGGAAGATTTCTCTACAGCCTATATCCCGTCGCATTATCTGTCAGATGCCGCGCAGGTTTATCCTAGCAACTGCCAAAAATATCTTTATATGCCAGACATCTTCATGTGTGAGACGGGCCGGCAACTGTTAGACCAGCGGGTTAAGGCGCTAAATAAGGTACCCGCCGCTACTGGTGCTTGAAAGCAACGCGTGCGAAAATACTGTGGGTGTTGCTAGGACCGTACCATGGCCCCTGACGTGCACCATTGCGAATTCTGCATGTTTTCTTCTCTGTAGCAGACTTGCGGCAGGCGGGCGATGGCGTCAGTGTGCAGCAGAAGCTCGGGAACTCGTTTTCCTCTAGCGAGGGCTATGTGCTGCAGGGTCTTGTCCTAAAAGTTTCGGAATGTGAACTGACGAGGACATTCCCTGGAGGACGAGTGCGTGATCATTCGCCCTCCACGACGGCGTCTCGTAGCATCCTTACGGGCAGTGTTGAATCCCAAACGACAGGTTCACAGCAATAGTAGGCTTTCTCCCCGCGTGCCCAGCGCCATGCTCGCCCAGACAAAAGAAAGGGGTTAGGTTGAGCAGCGGCGCAGGATGACGTGCACCAAGACAATCTGCCAGGCTTGAATGTTGCCAATCTTCACCCACTAGCCGCCAGCCCGTTTCCGGACGGCGCGCCGTTTCCAAGTGATAAAGCCATGTTTGACTCGATTGACCTGGGGTTTGCACATTCCCGTCCTCCATCTGGCGGTAGCAATGGACAAACTAAGGTCCAAGACGCGATGGGCGCGCAACAGAAGCGCCGAAGCCCCAGAGCCAGCAACTGCCGCCGACTCACAGATGCCACGCCCACCTTTAGCACATCGTAATTCGAGCACCCAGGCCGTCAATGAGGGCCTTTTTGCTGCCGACCCAGAAACTAATGCCCAGGATTTTGGAGCGCGTCCTGTCATCGAGCCTCCTACATCGTTGGAGTCATCGGTTGACGCTGGTGAACATGTCCCCAAACCTACGAGGAAGGCAGACCCGACCTCGCATGTCACGTATAAGTCAGTTTTCGACGCCTATAAGATTTCAAGGCCGGCTACTAACATTCTATAAAGCACCCTCAAGACACAGCGAGCAAGGAGTAGCTCTGCGCCAAATAGAGGAACAGCACCGCAACAGTACCCACGACGACCGCAAGTTGGCCGTGAAGCCAGTATAGGCATACGACGCATGCCAGCAAGCCCCGCTCTCAGACAAGTATCCCAGCAACCAAATCCCTCGACCCAGGGGCTGAATACGTTGCCCGTCCTGGATGAGAACCACGAGTTGGGATCGGTTGATTCCAGCAATGGCAGTGACCCGACTCTCACGAACCCTGATCAGAGTCGGCTGCGCAAGGCCAGGAGCGCGATGCAGGTCAGGATGCCATTTTGGGGTGCTAAGAAGGATCAAGAAAAGACACTACCCACCACTGCCAATGCTCCTGCTCCCGCAAATGACCCATCGGCAAACTATACGTCGGGCATGGTCGATGTCCTGGACACGCTCGATCCCGAAGTCGCCACCCTCACCTCCTTGACCAACATGCAGAACTCACTCTTCATCCCCAATCTGCCTTTCCTCAACCGTCGACCCACGTACAACCTGCGCCGCCGCAAGAGTGCCGAGGAAAGTCTGGAGATCAATCGGATACTGCGACCTGCCTTGGCCGCTCAGGCAGAGGAGCAGCATGCTCCCCCCAGACTGCAGCGATCAGAGACTGAGGGTACCACGACTACCATGATGACGATAGATTCACAACTGTCCGATTCACGGTTTGCGGTTCTGCCAGAAGACACGGACCTCTCTGGTTGGAGTGTGGCAGACAAGAAGGAGGTCAACGATCACGTCCGACATATGCTGCACTCGAGGCGATCAAGGATGAAGCGTTCGCTGAAGGGTTTTGGGCACTATGTCAGGAGACGTAAGTTCATGTGCTGTCTACATTCCAACTCATTACTAACCCATCCCAGCCCTTGGCTTCTTAGTCACCCTCTACGCCTTCCTCATCACCGCCTTCGGACTCGCCTGGGTCCTCTTCCTAATCGGCTGGGCTAACGTCGGCGGTCAACAAATCTACGTCGTCCACATCATCGACAGTGTCCTTGTCGCCCTCTTCGCCGTCGTCGGTGACGGCCTCGCACCCTTCCGCGCTGTAGACACCTATCACATGATTTACATTGCCCACTACCACCACTTCACCTGGTCCCGCCGCAAGAAGGAGATGCTCCCCGACCTCACCGACCACAACGACCTTCCCGCCGAACACGCCCCCGTCTCGGGCCCCCGCGTCACCGACCCCTCCGACCCAGAGAAACAATGGGAATTCACAGTCCTAACCCCCAAACAGCAGGAAAAACTTGAACACCACCAATCTAAATTCTGTAAATCTCACTCTTTTTACAAACCCCATGAGACGGAAACTCATTACGCCTTCCCGCTTCGCTTCCTCGTCGCCATCGTAGTACTACTGGACTGCCACTCTCTACTGCAAATCTCCCTCGGCGCTTGCACATGGGGTATCTATTATAAACGCCGTCCATTTGCCATCACCACGGTTATCCTTTGTTGCTCCATTGCCTGTAATGCGACTGCGGGTTTGCTTATCTGGCTCGGCGATAAGCGCACGAGAAAGACGGATGTACTGGAGCGCATGAATAGGCAGGAGTTGACGGAGGAGGCGATCAAGGAGGTCAAAAAGAAGAAGGAAAAGGAGAAGGAGAAGGGGGATAGGAGTAGTGAAGAAGAGACGGAGTCGGGCAGGGAGAGTAGAGATGCTAGAACGAGTAGAGATGGGGGTGTGAGGATGAGTGGAGCGGATGGGGCGTAGATGACGAGGCATTTTTTTCATTGGCACTTTTTTACAAAATATACCCGGCTTGAATAGTAGAGGTTGATATGTGGGTTGGCTTGGGTAATGTTGCATGGGATGAGACGAGATCTGAGCTGTTGGTTATGCAGCGCTAATGTGGGGTCTCGGTGCATTTGCCTGATTAATTTTGAAGCGTTTTAGCGTATATACCTCTCTCTCTCTCTTTTTTTTCTGCTCGAGCAGAATAGAATAACTATCTATAGGATTTAATATGTGTATAATGGCTTTTTAGATGATGATTAATCGATAACGCTCTTGCGGAGTTATTAATCTATGTTTTTACTCGCTTTTGTATTGTGAATGTCCTATTTTTGCATTTGACATGAAGTTTTAGGTCCCACACACTATGTTGCGTTTGCTCTGTCCTGTTTAGTTTCGTATCCATTTCATAGGGAGAGCGAGGGAGCGAGAAGGATGTGTCTTAGTGTTGTGGATACGGCGTTGCTAGTAAATTACTGTAATACTGAGTGACTGAGTCACATTCCAGTCTTGAGACATTCGCCTCTTTGATTCTTTGTTAGATATGCGGTTTGAGAATGTGAGCTAAGTTTTCTTGTCTGATGTAAACGTGCTTGCACAGAAGATGCTGACATGGGCAGAGGGAACGGTGATTCACGTTGCAACAAGATTGTGGTCAAGTGAGATATCTTTCCATTAAAAGGCGTTGAAATACTCCAACGTGTGCAGTGAGAAATTTCGAAACGCCCCATGAGACGTCACTCAGCTGGTTGATGTATGATTTCTTCAGGCCCAGCCAAGTACGTGGTTCCCATCATTCCTCCTTTCTACTCTTCTCCACTCCCACACACTGCATCCGTCCCATACTCCGTTTCTCCCTCTCTCCGATTCGTTTGTTTAACGTACGCCTCTACTTCAGGGGTACAAATGCTTAGCAGCTTATTGTCTAGCAGTCTGGGATCTGGGTGACGCCTGCGGTGGTGCCGGAGACGCACATTCCGTGGTTCTGACGAGGGGTGACTTCTGAGATTATTTGTCAGTGATATTTTAAATAGCAAGAAGGAAGAGGAGACGTACCGTCACTGGCGATAGGCGCGGCAATGGCGAAAGCGGCCATAAAGACGGTGGCGATGATGGCGGAGAACTGCATTTTGAAAAAATAGAGTTTAGATAATTAAACTTGAACGTTTCGGGGTGTTTTAGTAGAGGTAGTAGTAGGTGAGTTTGCGTTGAGCAGTAGCAGTGTTTGATTGATGTAAGAGTAGATTGAAGAAAAAAGGTCGCCCGGCGACAAGGAGTGAATGTATGAAAGGTTTGACGTAAAAGGGAAGAAGATATTCGACTTGAAGAAGTTTGACTTGATGGTGAGCTTGAAGTGAGGAATCCAGTTATTCGCCTGAGGGGGGACTGGATTTATACAACCGAGCTGCTCGGCTTGGTTGCGGGCTTTTGCCATGCCGCCTGCACCTTGTTAGGCGTTAATGGTCATCACTTGGTTGCCTCATAGCAAGCAGGCTGAAACCGGGTTCTAGACTTCCTGAACGATGAATATGAGTGCATTGGGCGATCTGCGTCAACGGGCTGGCGCGTAGTGGCGCTTTGTGGTTCTGCGGAGTAGTAGCGGCCGGGGTTCTGGGGTCTTGGGATGTGTCACGGCTGTCAGAGAGCTGTCGATGGTTACCTGAATTATTAGAGACGCGTGGCTGTCGTTTCTGCTGGCTTTGACGGGCCGATATAATGCAGATGTTGAGCCTCATGTTCCTTTCATAGTCGCAACCATGTCGAACCGACCCGATAATCCGTAACCAGGTAGTGAGTCGACGCCTTCAATTTTTCCATGCTCTTTGCTTTTTTGAATACACTGTTAATGTTGTTTAATTCTCTGTGTTGCTTTGCAAGCAGCTGTGATCGCGCAACAGCTGATGTGTGATGAAACGGTACTCAAACGCTGCCGAGACAGGCAACAAGGCGTTTCCTAACGACGATCCGGAAGATCATCGATGCGAGCAACACCAGTACCATACAGTGGCCTTTCCTCCCCCAATGGGGTCGATACGCGTAAGCTTGGAAAAAGCTTGACTGGAGTGCCCAGATTGAATATCTGAAGGGATCAGCTGCCGCTAATTTAGCAGTCGCTTGATCTTGTGGTTCAACGTCATTCAGACGATAACAACCACACTGGAATACTTCGACAGTTTTAACGAGCAGAGTGGCTATGGTCGTTGACGGTGCAATCGTTTGGAAACATGAGTATACCTTGAGAGAGAGAAAGAGCTGTGCCGACACGCGGAACGACGGCCTGCTCAGTAATGCAATCAGCTCCTCCAAACACACACATCTCCTATGTCGTATCGCATTCCTTGCTCTTTTGACTGGTAAATCATCTCACCAAGGACCTCTGCTTACTCCAAATGCGAAGCGCATATGCTGTCGCTTCCCAGCAAAGCCAGGATTGCAACCATCTTGTTCGCCACCCTAGGCCATGGAGCTCCAAAAAGCCATATGCGAGTCGTTGCTGGAATGTGCGTGTCTGTATATGCTGCTAGATACGTCATAACCTATACAGTTGAGCGGGGTAAGTGAGAGGAGGGAAGGAGCGGTTGCCGTCGGTGACTACATTATATGATTCAGAAGCATGACCTTGGGATGACGATGACGAGTCGGCTTCACTTAAGCAACAGCGACGAGAAATACGTGTAAGTGGAATGATCGAAACAGCGCCTGGTGAAAGTGAGCCGTTAGCTGTGCAAGGTGCAGTCGAAGTTGCTTATGACGACAACCACTCCCTCACCTCTTGCCTTTACCTTGTCCCAACCACATCAGCGAGTCAGCAGTGACGACCGACTACAAGATGGATCTGTACGTTGCGCAACTCCCAGCACTCTCTGTTGCTGCGCACATTTCAAGAGAGCGTACAAGAAGCAACGACGATATGCTGGACAACAAGAGCTGGCGCAAAATAGGCCAGAGCAAACCGTCGAAGAAACAGTCAAAATCGCTTACTCCGCTTAAAATCGACAAAGAGAGCCCTACATTCCCCGAAGATACGGCTGACCGACTGAAACAATCCAGCTGGCGAAAGTTACAGGGCAGCAGACCACAGACGCCAGTGAGCGCTACACCCTTCACGCCCGTGTTCGAAGACACCGACGAAGCCCGAAGTGAGCGTTCGGACACGCCTGCGCCACGTCGAGATTCCAAGCCGAAACTCGCGCGATACACGTCGCTCTTCGCTAACTTCAAAGACACTTCCAAACCCTCTGATTTTTCGGAGCCTTGGAGTGAAGATGCACCGCCCATCTTCCCACCCTACGTGGATCCGTTAGAGGCGTTGCAGGCTGTTCGATTACACATGGTGAACTCTTGTCAGCCGATACCACTAGAGCACTACAATGGCCTTTTCCGCATTTTCGAAGACTACAGAAAAGCCCGAGAACAGAAGGAGCGTATTGGTAACTTGATGGAGGTTACACTTCAAGATTGGGAGAAGGCAGAGGAGCAGTGGAGACTTGCAGAAAACCGCTATGTGTCAGAGATACGTCGGCTTGAGCTTCTCATAGTCCGCGGCACTGGTGGTATGACTGGGTTTGTGGCTATCCATCTGCGTGGAAGTATCTAGCTGACCAGGACAGACTCATGCAAGCTCGTCAAGGAAGCATAGTAAATCGTAAGTGTCGCCACAGGAAGACGATTTCACATGACAGCCTTCCTTCAACGTACAAGTTCTTGTCTAACGTCCAGCTTGATGCGGAAATAAAACAGAGCAGCCAGAAAGGTAAGAAACACTACGTGTCACGCTACTGTGCGTCATTTTTCTAACTCAAATAGCGCTCCTCCATCGGCCAGCGTCACCATCCGGCAAGATGATCATACTTTCCAAACATCTAGCAGATAATAAGGAATTGCCAGTGGGTGCTCCCTCTGAGCTAAACAAGACAATGTTGTCGCGCAAGGTTCAGAGCGAACTCAACCTGACTAGTATGCGTAATGGCATGCCCTCGATTACCAGTTCTGTCACTTCTGGTTTCTCCGGTGGCTCTGGAGACCCTTTGCCCGATGAGGCAGGAGCTCCTGATCAAACGCACATGGATCCGTCTATTGAATGCGACGCCCTCGTAGCTCTCCGTGAGCTTGGCACGCTCATCGCACGACGGCGAGGCTTGGATGCTGCTATCTTCCTCCGTGGTCTTACAATGCTGCTGTCACATGCTAGAGTGGCAGAAGCCATAGTGGAACCTAATTACGAAAAGGAAACATGTCTGTCGCAAAAGGAGAATATAGCTCCTAGAACACCAGAGAGCAAGCAAGTCATGATGACAGCAACCCATTCGGTACGGAAATACCAGTCGCAGCCGCAACTCAGCTCGCAGCAATCACACCGCCGGCAGTTCTCGTTCGAACCCGGAGCAGATCAGCTCCATGCACTGAATGACGAGGCGAGGATGTCTGACATCGATACGCATGGTAGCGATTCCGACGACTCAGCCGCCCCACTTCTAGTAAGGGCTGCTCGTCCTGCGCTTGATTCGCGGTCGATCATGTCGAACTTGAACGCAGAGTTTAGCAAGCCATCGAAGATCCCAAGTCCTGTGCAGACGATGGGCCGTATGCGACGCGAAGGCTCCGGGTCGAGCCTACAGTCAATCTACAACCAGCCACAGCAAAGTCGTCGCGGGTCCCGGTCCAGTGTGCTGACGGCCTTTCGTGAGAACTCGAGCGGAAACCTACGACCAGCACTACGGGTTAGGACGTCGTCCCTTCAGAATTCAAGCGTAGTAAACGGTCCAGTGGCATGGCAGGAGCAGTCCGGTAGTACACAAGTCCGTAACGGCACCATTGCCCTGGCGGCGGCTAGGGCAGCGGGTAGCAAAAGCCAGACATGGTGGTTGGAGAGTAGTCCAAGGCCCTCCATGTCACTGACAGATGACTCGGAGATGCCGGTGAATTCAGAGGCAGGTGACGCCGCGGGAGGATCAACGGGGCAGTAAGTGGACGAGTGGGTTTGTGATCTCGATTGTAGAGGTCATGCAGGGCTGACAGACTACTAATTGGCGGATGGGCCCGGTTACTCGTACTCAGGGCGGGTGTTTGAGGGTGATTGGACTGTTTGACAAGGTGCAATCATGATTCTGTCATGTTTACACCATGACGGTCGTGACACGGATGCAATGTGTACTGAAACGCAGCTCTGGGCCATATGCCGAGCACGGCATTGATGTAGAGTAGGAGGCCTTGTGAGGGCAATTATATGTGGCCAAGATTGCATTTAGTTTGCGAAATGACGAATCCCAGTCGCCCGACAGTTAGCGAGATGAGAAGAAGCGTGGCTAAACAGGCAGCTCTTGTCAGAAACAAAGCAGTTGCGACCCTTTGTGTAGCACACTGGCGACCATGACAAGGCGGCGTTCACGATGGAACCTATCCGGATAAAGTGGCACGGAGGGAGTGAATTGAGTGTAGCTTGATAGGGCTAATGCGAGGGTTAGGAGACACGGAAGGATACTGACATGAATGGACGGACACGAGTCGGGGCAGGTGATGACTCCTTCTCTTTGGCAAAAAAAGTCTAGTCACAAAAGGGCGCATTCCAGGGCCTTTGATTATCTGCACGAGTACGCGTCCGCAGGAGAGGTTTGTTCTCGGAGGGGGAGTTGATCGGCAAGTGTGGCGTCGAGTGTGGCGAGTGCGGGAACTGTGGCACAGCAATGGCAATCATTGCCGACTTTGGCTGGCAGGTCGGATTTTCCTCCACATGATAGTGCGCCGTGCCTTTGATTCGTCACGACATCCCGTTGCCGATCCGACGTAACAGTTGCCACAATTATTTTTATACGGCCTTCAGATCGCAGCTGCAGCTGCAGACTGCAGACATGTGGGTATGTTGTTCCTCGGCACCATGTACCGGCCGACTATTCCTCTCAACTTTGATTGGCCGTGTCAAAGTTTGCGGTGCAACTGCTCCGAGTAATGACGTTTGTGCAGCTGGGGGGCATAGTTAATTTTTTTTTCCTTTGAGAGAGCCCCATGGGCGGGCGTGCATGGATGACGAAAGCCGTTGCTTGGGTCACAGTCGTACACTCGCGTTCGGGACAACGCCCACTAACTGGTCCTTAATCTCGGGCTGCGAGTATGTGGAATAGCGTTACGTTAAGCATCACGTCTACATCCGAGTAGGCGGGCATGGGACGAGGCGCGAGGCTGGCTACTGGCAAGCGAGGCGGCGCCAACGGCTGATTGTGGGATTAGACCCTCGTCTCCGATCCGCTGCCCACCTGGCAGGGGAACGTGGTCGGCAGCGCGGTGGATGAGCCGGCAGCATGTGCATCTGGCATGGTTTGGTGGTGGACGAGGCAGGGCGAGCAGCGGCAGCAGGCAGCGTCGACGTCTGCCGCGTCCAAGGGCTGTCAGTGTCAGGGCAGGGCTGTCTCGGGAGACTTCACTTGTGGAAGTGCATCCTGGGCCTAGCGATGTCATTTCGCATTGAGGCGCCAGCGCACACCGTAGGCGCCGCAAGAGGCCCTCTGGACAAAGGGGGCATAGTGTGCGAGAGCTTCAGAGGTCAGCACCTGGCAAGCCACTGGAGCCGCGCACAAACTGGCGGGTTGGCGGGCTGGCGGACTGCATCTCTGCATCGATGGATGCTTCGAGACGAAGAGACGGGATGGCGACATGGCAATCTGCTCCTCATGCAGCCAGCGTACTGTACATTTCAGCGCCGGTTCAAGGGTGCCGTAGGGCAGTGGCTGTGCAGCGACTACATACATGCGACATGCGACAAGCATCTGCAGGTGCTGGTCGATGATGGACGTGGGCAGCACGGATGATGGGACGGCGGCGGAGAGGGCCCAGTCTGTCCTCGCTCCTCCTCGCTCACCCACTCACCCACGTCCTTGTCCACAAGGCACTAGGAGGGCAAAACTGCGGCGTTAGAGCAGCAGGGACCGCGTGCCTAGACCCGACGCTCCACCCATGCCCACGCGCGGCCCTCGAGCAATTCCGTCAGGCCTTGCACTTGTCTTGTCGAAAGCTCAGGTCGCTAGCAGCTAAAAGACGTCTGACCACCGGCCCTGGACATCTGTGGCTTGACTCTTCCATTTCCAGGCTGGACTTAATTGTGCCAGCTGCTCTGTCTCATCGACCAAGTATCTGCTCCCAGACCAGCTCACACCTTTCGCCCTCCCAAACTGCTTGCTCCCCAGATGCACGCCGAATTCACTACCATCTGATCTCCCCGAGTGCGCCCGAATGCCATGTTTCGCAATAGGTACGTCTATCCGCGCCCAAGCTCGCATGTGATTTGCGCGCGTCGCGTTCCGTGAGAGTCGCTGCGACCTCACCGAGACCATGGCCGCTGACTGCTCTTCGCTTCCTACAGACTCAACAGCCAAAAACCCGACGGCAAGTTGCTAGAGGACTTCAAGGCCAGCTTTCCCCATCTCCAGCAGCGTTCGCATTCGCTGGCTGGGCCTGCCGGCCATACACTCGCCGATGCGCTTGATGTCGCCCACCCCTCCCGGTACGTCTTCCCGAGATGCCCCCCGTCTCATGTCACTCGTCACTCGGGGCCGCTGACAGGCCATGCGCCATGCGCCAACACCAACACCAACACCAACACCAACACCAACACCAACACCAACACCAACACCAAAATCGCCCACCATAACTTTGTATGCAATTTTGCTGACTTGAAATCTACAGCCCTGGCGACACCCATGATGATATCAAAGATCAAGATCCAACTCCCCGCGGCAACGCGGAGCCGTGGAGGTTTACCCCATCGCTGCTAGACCCCAACAGCTTCGCCTTTACTTCTTTTGCAAACCAACCGCCGGGCTACTATACGCCCACGCCCGGCGGCACCAACACGCTCTACCACAGCCAGGCCGGTGACTTACACACGCCTGGCTTTAGTTTTGGCCTGGGAACCCCCCTTTCACTGCCAACGTCGGAAGGTGGGGTCCACGCTGGACAGCTCGCGCCTTCCACCCATCTCCATGGATTCAATCACCATGCTTTGGGCACCCATCACTTCCAGAATGTCAACCCCTTTGGCATGCAGCCGCAGCATTCGCAGTCTTTTGCGCCCCATCAATTCACCCACCAGCCCTCTGCTTTTGACCAGGGTCCCATGGCGCAACCCCACGACGATTCCCCCATGGACAACTTGGTTCCAGAAGTAGAGATGCAGGAGCAGTCACCCCTCATGACATTTGCATCTCATTCATACGATGACAACATGGCGCCCACAGTGGCACCACCCCCCCCTCCACCTAACCAGAAGTGAGCCACCCTGCATATACCATTTCCAGATTTGTACTGACAGTTGTAGTTTTCGCTACCATGTAACTCTAAACGCTCCCACAGCCATGGTCAAGCAGCCAGATGAAGTCCCAGTCACCTATTTGAACAAGGGACAAGCCTATTCCATTTCTCTGGTGGACACGGCACCTCTGCAAGGACCTATCCCAACGAAGTACAGGACTTTTATCCGCATTTCTTTCGAAGATGAGCAGCAGCGCCAGCGACCCGCTTCTTGCTGGCAACTCTGGAAGGAAGGCCGCGGAACAAACGAGGCGCACCAACGCGGAGGACGACTCCAAGCGGTCGAATTCGTAGATCCAAGCCAGGTCGGTGGCGGCGAGATCCAAGGCCGACCCAGAGTAGAGCTTGAATCTTCGTCGTTTGACGGTTTCGTTGTTACATGGACACCGGTCCAACACGCCTCAGCCGAGTGCTCCTTGGCTGTACGCTTCAACTTCCTGTCTACCGATTTCAGCCACTCCAAGGGTGTCAAGGGAATCCCTGTGCGATTATGCGCAAAGACAGAGATGGTCACTGAAGCCACCGGATCAACAGCCCTGAAAAAACTGGACGCCGAGCTTTGCTATTGCAAAGTCAAGCTCTTCCGGGACCACGGCGCCGAGCGAAAACTATCAAACGATGTTGCACATGTCAAGAAAACAATCGACAAGCTCAAGCAACAGATCGCGCAAGTCGAGTCTGGCATGAAGGACTTTGGCAAGCGGAAGCGCAGTGGATCCATCTCCAAGAGCAACATCAACCAGCGACCTGGAAAAGTACCCAAACACAAGCGAACATGGTCCATGACTTCAGCAAGCGAGCTCCAAGGATCTCGAGCACCTGCCGAAGAGGATCTCCACATCAAACTCGCTTCTCTCCAGGACATGTTCAGCTCCACCAGGCCTGTTAGCGTCCTCTACCTCAAGGGCGAAGAACAGGATGACCCGGACATTCATCCAGTCATATTGGGCGCCACACCCCAAGAACTCTCCAAACTCGACACTAACATCGACGCTCCCATGTGGGAGACGCAGGAATCAGGAACTGCCGCGTCCTCGGTTGTGTCGCCAACTCCAAGTTCTCAATCTCTCCACTCCGAGAAGCGCCGAACTTCATCCTTCCAGCGCCCAGCGCCTTTCCAACCGCCTTCGCGCATGACTTCAAGTGAATGGCGGAGTCTCCCGCAAACCGCCACGGGCGATCTCAAAGGCATGGTTGGTATCCAAGGAGGTGCTGATGTGCCGACGAAAGTGCAAAGGCCGTATTCGGATGATCACGCCTTATCTGGATGGATCGAGGCCCTTGGCGTTGACCAGACCTACCAGCCGCCCCCGGAACCCATGCTGAAGCCGGTGGCTTGCTTCTTCGTCCAGCCAAGACTCGCCGGTCGGCAACCAGAGGACAACTACTACCGTGCCGTATATGTCATGAGCCGCACCGTCAAGGAGCTTGTAGCTGCTATTGCGATGAAGATCAATATGGAGCCGACCACGGTGACACGAACCATACGCGTCAACCAGAAAGGATTGCAGATCCTAATGGATGACGACGCCGTCAGCAGGATACCAGAACAACAGGACATGTCGGCAGAGTTTCATGAGGTCGGCACGCCGCCAGTACACTCTATCAAGCACGAATGGGATGCTGGATCCAAGGAGATTCAAGTCGACGGCGACATCAGTGTCACCGAAAATGTTCACTCGACCGGTTACGAACTCCGTCTTCTCTTCTAGCCTGTTATGCCTGCCGGCGCCGCTCTTTACACTTTGATACCCTTTTTCGGCGACCGACCAACTCTAATGACCCCGTACTATCCGTATACTGGAGCTCGCATTGCTCTTCGCGGGTTACTAATTCTTTTGAGCTGTGATCACTTGATCCAGCTTCACCGCTTGGCGTTGAGCGCTTTGGAGATACCACGCGTCAATCCTGAGCGTTTGCCATTTTTCCTTTGTCGATACCTTTCTACTCTTCTTTTCGGTGCGACGACGATACCCATTATACCATTACCCTTTTACCTTTCCAGCGGCCAAGATTGAAAATGCAACGATCTGTCACGAACACATAGCGAGATATACACGAGGGAGAGTTTGGGCTGTAATTTCCTCTTTACATAAACATGGCAATTTTGTTCACTACGGTGCACATGATCCAGTATCATCCGGATGCATAATCAAAGTCATTGCGCTCCACACCTTGTCTCCAGAAGTATTGAGTTTTCCCTGCGATCTTTGACCCTGTCATCATGAGCATTGAATTTTCCCCGTCAAATTTTCTCAAGGTCCACGCTTTCACAATGTCACATCGGGGCTCTTCCGTGGCCGAAGATGGACCGCTTGTCGCGGTCCGACTCCGCTGACATTGCGACATAGGCACAATCCGCGCGGATCTCCACTCGTGTTCAAGATAGTAATCTTCGATCCGGCCATCTCCCGCCATCGGATTTGATGCAGTTTCTCCCCCCATCGCATGATTCCAACAGCTTGGCACGCATCACGGCCGGACACGCTACTGACCCCGGAAATTACGAGCAATGGGGAAACAGCTAGGGTACGGATAATAACGACGTTTTCACCTGGATTTATGCGTGTACATTACTGTGCGATTTTCATGACTGGAATTGCGGTTTCATCAGTCGAGCTCTAGAGCGCCGAAACTCGATGCGAAGCCTCAGGCGACACTGCGGTGGGGGCCCCTGACATGTATCCTTGACACTTACTGAGGGGGCTATCGGGGGTATGAACATGGGACGATAGCACATGGATCAGTTTGTCCGAACAATAAGGCCGAATCCTGATGTCATCGTGCAGCAAAGGCGTCACAAATCACAACGTCGGTACACACACGTAAGGTGAAAGAACAAAGTGAAGGAGCGGGGGCCACAAGATGCGCTGGCAACATCAGAAGGATTGTCGAATCAAAACGGGCCGACTACACCTGGGGCGAACCACTGCTCAGTCAGTCCGAATTAGACTACCAAGTTGAAACGTACGCGCACCCTACCGATCAAAGCTTCGACGAATAGTGGTCCCGAGCAATGAATAGCTCGACAAGCGCTGATGCATGCGTAGTCTATACGGGCACAGCAGAAGTCCGAGTAAACTCGGGGGGATGGATAGACTTTTGTTTTTGAGCCCAATCACGAGTGGTAAGAAGGTTCCGAGTCAACCGCTTGCTCCGCCTCTTTCTGTACCCGTTCGCTGTGGTTCCACGAGAAGTAGTCCAGCGTTTCGCCTAGACTACGGACGACAGAAGCGGTCCAACACGTTTGTTGTACTCGTTGCCACCACAGCACGGTAAGGGAGGATATTGTATCGCGTACGCCGAGGACGCGTACGTCTAAAAGCGGTCACGGAATGATAAAGTCATAGATAGCAAAAGGCGGAGCAGATTGACGCTCCGAGCGGTCCGTTTACTACTGCGACTGAATGGGGCTTTCGCTAGCATACAATGTAGCATGACAAAAAGCTGAGTTGCAACACGGCAGCCAATCAGAAAGCTGCATCTACGCGGAGATCGACATTCTGTGTACTCTAGCGAGGGGGAACGAGGCAACGGCAAGTGGCGAGTGCTTGTGGCTGGACCCTGGGGCCTTCGCCACAACGGCTCGGGAACGAACGCTGGACTGTGCCCCCAATCACCATCTGGCCTACCTTACTTGCAGTTGCGGTCCTTTACTGCGCGGTACGCTTGTGAAAAAGGCTGACGCAGGTCTCATGCATGTCTACACGAGGTCTGACTCACACGACGACGACGCGCGCACAACTTTGCTGGTAACTGCCCCGGTTCACATCATGCGCGGTCAACTGATATCGCCACCCGTTGTGTTAGCCGAACTGAACTGCCATACAGCGACTGCGACAACAAACGTAAGTGTGCCGAGAGAGGGGCGTTAGGCTGCAGAGTCCGCACCGCCACAGCGATAAAATCGGGGTCATGGTACATGTCTCTTCACATGACAGTTCAGCACGGTACATACTGTCAATCAATGACCCATACGTATATGCAGGCGCTTTTACGCTACGTACGCTACTCTAACAAGCCACCGATGCCATCCCAGGTGGCACTAAATTGGGCTCGAGCCTTGTTGGTAACAGCACCCCGCCTTCAGCCCAGCGAGTGCGAGCGGAAAAACAACGCACGGTCTACAAAACTGATCTGCAAACCACGGGCTGTGTTGGAAGGTGGCTATGCTGCGCTGCATCGTTTTCTACCACACGGAACACGTCCGACGACACGGTCGTTGGTTCGTAGCTGATAGGTTAGGTACAAGTAAGTGAAAAGGGGTCTGGATTGCATCATGCAGCCTAGAATGCAGCACCGCCACGGCAGCACGGGGAGCTGATACACTAGGCTTGTTGCTATGGTAGGTTAATTGATTAGATTAGGCGACTACCTTGTCCTGCAATGCGGTGCGGTGTGCTTCCAGAACGAATCTCGCGCCCTGAGTTCGCTCGCACACTACCTCATGTATGGTAATCTCGTATCGGACCCCGGCACTGGGCACCGGCAACTTCCACAACTTTAGGTGAAAAAGGAAAGATGAGGCTAACAGACACAAGGGGGAGATTAGTAAAATACTAGGTGGCTTTTTTAGCCGTGTGGTTTGTGTTTGGTGGGTTAGCTGTTGCTTGGTGATATCTCGTATTTCTATAGTATGCGAGGTATTAAGACAACGTATATTCAATTCTTCTGGGGCTACGGTACTCCATAATATTGGAAATGCAATGCAATGGGGTCGGAAATGGAATAGAAACGGAGTTCTCCAGCGCGCGCGCTCTTCTCGATATTCATTTCCAATGCGCTAAACGAAGGCCGTCGGGAGGAGTACCGAACGCAGACAATGTAATTCCCGCAACCCATGAAAGTCTCGTAATTCAGTGGAAAGGGGTGTTTTTCTAGAACGAAAAAACCAAATATCCAAACCCGAAAGACTGTGACGGAGGGGCCGTATCTTGCTTTCCGCATTCCGTTCCTTCCGTTCTCTGTATGTGATATTTGCTTCCCCCATGCCGACCGAACCGAGCCGCTCACGCGAACATGAACGGCATCGGCGAACATGTCCATCCACCCATCTTATCTTGTCTCATTCTCATCCACGGCCGTGACCACATCGCCATCAAATTCGCCGTCTATGTACCCTCGCCGTCTACCGTGAGCAAAACAAACCTAACAACAATAACAAATCAAAGCGGGAAAACGTGCAATTTGCCTCCAAACCAAGACCCCGCACGCGCCACCCCTGGTCTGCCTGGCTGTTTTGGTGTATTTTCCTGTTTACTCATCAGATCTGGAGTTTTTTGCGCACGTGTGGTGCTAGGGCTTGAGATAGGGTAGGGCAAGGTGGCCGCTGACACATAACCTGCGCCGCGTTTCCTCGGCGCGACACTTGTCCAGGCACGAATGTTAGGCGCGTGTCGGCAGTTTTGTTGTTGTTGTGGGTTCTGGATGGCTTGGTGGCTTCTAGACCACGGCGGGTGTGGGCCACACGGTGGATAAGTTGGCCTAGACCTAATTGTGGTACCTATGCATACGGGGGAGAGTGGAGGGGAGGGATTAGATGGGGCACGTGAGGAGAGAAGGTGGAGGATTATGACTTCATAGATGCGGTCAGTAGTGGGGACGAGAGGACGAGAGTGTTTCAGAATGCTGGTGTTAGGGGCGGTGGCTGGTGGCTGGTAGGTAGGTACGGTAGATGTGGTGTTTTGGATGCGGTGGAGATTGACTCATGGACAGGACATGGATGGGAATGAGGAACGGCATTTGTCGCATCGGATCGAGATTGTGATCGGAATCGAAATACCAGCGGTGTGTTGTGTTCAGTTATGCTGGCACAAACATACGCACCATCTCCTCTTCTTCTTCTTCTTCTTCTTCTTCTTCTTCTTCTTCTTCTTGCTTCTCGCTTCCGTTGTGAAGAGGAAGACACGCACAGCAGGACCACTCCGATCCCGCCATTCCGGTCCCCTACACACCCGTACCTTGAAGATCACCCCCTTTAAACCCGCGCAGTGGCGCAATGAGCAACGCAGCCGCACATCCCGTGGACGCGCGCGACAATCATCGCAGATCTGGCGGTAAAATCCAAAACCTCGTCTCGCCTCGGAGGACTCGCAAATCGTGTAGGATCATGATCAGGATCAAGATCGCGATCGGGAAAATATCACACATCACATATACGAACAAGCTCAGCCGGGCCGATCGCTATAGGTAGTAATTGCAATGTACGGTATGGTATCGGTATGTACGGTGTAGATATGTCCGCGTGTGTGTCTTGTCTATCTTTTACTGTTTATAGTAGGTACAGTAGGTAGGTTGGTAGTGTGCCTGGCCAATCAGCACTACATGTATGCTAACGACCTCTCACCTCCTCTAAGGCGTGCAGAGCATGCAGAGCACGGGGCAAGGTGATGGGTGCGTGGGGGTTTGTTGGGCTAGTAAGGAAATGGACATGGCATTCACAGGTAGCTGGACGTGGACGTGTAGCTGGAGCCACGTTGATGCCGTGTCTGGGATTTGGGGTTCCGGGAGAAAGGGCTGGGGGAGCAGGGAAGGATCATCTTTGATGGATGGATGGATGATGCGAGGTAGGTTAGATTAGGTAGGGAAAGCTTGTATATCTGGGTTTGGGGGTTACAGAGGACATGGGCTTATCCTAGATGTCCGCCTCGGCCCTTTTTGTCTACCAGGTCACTTGCATGTGCGCATGGTGTTTTCCCGCAATTGGGTATCTTGACTACGGAGGTGCTTCTCGCTCGGTGAGACAGACGGTGTAACTCAGTTTGTGGATTTGTTGTAGGCAAGTATGTGTTGGCAAGTAGGTTTGGCGATCGGTTTGGGCATCGAGGGGATCATTACATGTTTGCTTTTTCCCGATGTGCGTCGGGCGGCGTGTAGGTACGTACGGCGAGACGCAGGAGATCTCCGGATACGGGTTGTGTGGCTGCGATGGGCGGGGATTGAGATGTGTGCATTATCCCAATCTTAATTGTACGGTGTCATTTACGGTCTTCGCTTGTTGCTATGTTGAGTCGAGGACGAGGGATTAATTTTGCTTTTTCTATGTTCTGTGTCCATTTTTGGACATGACATTGCATAGATACATGAATAAGCCAACTAAAAGTACCTAAGATATGTACAGATAACCTTTCCTACCCCACTTACAACTAACTACTCCCACTGCGGCTGAGACTCGAGCAAAAGATAGCAAGCATTGATTACCACGCTGCGCTGGCCCTTCTTTTCTTGTTCCGTTCGCTGTACCCATGTACCTTATTCAATTTGCTTTCGGGGGACGCGCCAGGACGGGAAGATCCTGCCCTGACCTCTTCCAACATGCTTTATCCATTTGATCCACTACGCCACTTCCACCAGTTACCGACCCCCTCCAGACATCAGGCCATGAGTGTCAATGAGTACCTTGTCCCTTGTACCCGGTCCCTGTCTTATCCCGTGTTTGCATGGGACAATGTCATAGGTGATGTCTACCTAGATCCTCATTCAGCCTTCCCTTTCCCAAACTAGACACGGGGACTAGACTACAAGCAGAATGGGAACGAGTAAAGCGACACTATTTCCCCTCCCCTTCTCTCAATACCTTCCAGAAAGCGCGGATTGGCAAAGTTACTGCTTTGTGCCTCTCGCTCCGATGCGACATTGTATTGAGACCGGGGGGTACCCTCGTCACATCTCCACACAACCTTTCTCAGCTCCGGCTCTGGTGTCTCAGGTGCGTGGTGCCGACGCCCGGCGCTTCCAGCTGTTTGGGATTGGGGATGGAGCTAGATGATGTAGGTGTGGGACTTTTGATGTGTGTGTGGAGAGGGGGCGTCGCGCGCGTGCAGTGCGCAGGACTACTTCCTGCATGGATGATGTGTTGCGAGGGCGCTGTAGGAGGGGAAGGTGTACGCGTGGAAGGATGGGCTAAGAGGGTAATCGGATGGTAAGTGTGGGCTTGGGGTGCTTGGCTGTGGAGTGGAGTGCACAGCCACAGGTGGAGGGATCAAGGGCTTGGTGATGGAGGGGATGTGAGAGTTCTTCGAGGAAGTTGCTGCGAGAGGGGTTCAAGAGGAAGTATTGATTGAGTTCACGTTGGGGAGTTATTTGGGAGGGACACAAATCGATGGTTAGTGTGAATATGTGTTTGTATGTGATAATACTACAACCCATATAGGAGAGGAGTTCGCAAATGGTTTGAGCAGAACTATGAGAGCGATGCGTGTAAGGGTGATTGTGGAAAAGCCATGTTGGAGGGAAACATGTAAGGGACGCCCTCGACAAGACCGCCTTTGAATAATGCTTCTGGTAGAGAACCTGAACTGCCATCTCTAGGAGCAGGTCTACCGTCTTCCAACATCTTCCAACAACTTCTTTCAGAGAAGATACAGAAATCACTCAAGTGCCTTCAATCTCAATCATCCAACTCTCGCCCAAAGTCAATCAATCGCAACTTCCTCGCGTCTCTAGGATGAAACTGCGCAATCTTTGCTCTGACCAAAAACCTCGAAGCCGCAGAATCCCTCTCGAGCTGAAAGTAAGCTTTTCCACCACCCGGTCCTACCAATGTAGCAAACAGGTTCTCAATCAACTGTCGCATTTCCGCATCGGCAGCTTCAGCCTCAGTCGGTGGTTCCTTTTCCTCCTCTTCAGCGGTAGTAGCAGTCTTCTTGCCCCAGATTTGATCGATTCTGCGCTGTCGTGTCTTGTCTGAGACGGGCTTCTTGGTCGATTTTGCGCGTCCCTTTTTCGTGAAGCCGGCGGCCAGTGTGTCGTCTTCGACGTCAAGCATGTCGCCAACTACAGGTCCACCCAGCTCTTCTGCTGCAAGCATGTTGGAGAGAAAGTCGTTGATGAAGTCGTTCATGGCTTGGCCTAAGCGTTGCATATCTGCATCATAGGCATCCTTTTGCGCGCGCTTTGCTGCGATGAGTTCACGCGCGAGCTGAGCGGGAGTCTTTTGAGAACGGTCTATATGCTGAGCGCGTAGACGTTCAATTCGGGCTTCCATGGCCTGGGTGAGCTGATTGGCATCGTGGAGGTTGGCTTCCTCTCTCCGGAGGGTAGCTTCCTTTGCGTTGAGTTCAGACTTGACATCGGCGATGGCTTCCTTGGTTCCTTGGATATTTTTCTGCAGTGTACGTGCTGCTAGCAAGGAAGGGAGAGGCGACCCTTTTCCAGGAAGGTATGTTGCTGTTGGCTTCAGACGCCTATACGCGTCTTTGACTGCGATGAGTTGCTGCAATTTTTGACGTGAATCGTCTGACGCGTATGCTACAGAATTCAGATCAACACTAGATTCCGATCTCAACTGAAGTGAGTTAATAAGATTCGGCGAGACTGAGTATGGGTCGTACCTTGTCCAGGGCTGCTTGTTGTTCCTGAACGCGTGCCTGGAGCTCCTTCACTGTTTGCGACAGACGAGCTTCGGTGCCGGACGCGTCAAAGTCGACTACCTCGATCTGCCGCTTACGAGCTTCTCTGGCATACTCTTGTATCTTGTCGAGGGTTTCGCGTTGCGCCATCTCTTTGATATTGGACCGTGTTATGGTACGGGTCACCACTCGCTAACTAACAGGCCTGATCTGGGGTCACGTCACCGCTCAGCCACTCAGCCCAATTCGCTACCTTCACGTTCACTGCGGTGAAAGGAACCTCTCCCTCTCTCGCCTGCTGTGTTGCAGTGCGCAAACCCGCGCTACTGTTGCTGCCTCTCACACACGTGATATGCCAAGGCTCGCGCCGATCTCCCCGCGATAGCTTCCTTTTGCACCGCTTGCGCTCCCTCTCCCTCACGCAACTCGCCGCTGCTCTCTGCTATCACGCACTGCTCTTACCCCATCACCCCTTCCACTACAGTTGCATCTCAGTTGACGAGGAAGGCGCGCAGCTCGAGCTCTCCGCCTCTAATACGCCGGATTGAGCCGAGAAGGTTTGACGGGCGAGCTTTCTTTACTTGGGCCAGTTTCTTCATCTCTCGACGTCTCGTCGCCCCAGAAGCACACAACACACAACACACCCACACCCTTTCCGACTCTCCTGCTCCATCACAAGCATCATCATCCTCGACCCCTCGCTTCTCCGAGGCTCCCTTCTCCGACCACTGCACCATCTGCACGCTCCAAACTCTATTCAAGCTCCCGGCGACCTCTCCTCCACGCACCTTCACCGCACTGTCGCGACTCCCTCCCGTCCGCCCTCACAGCACGCTTTCTTTCAGCCCCCGCTGTACATAAGTCGCACAATAATCGAGATCAATTGAACAAAAGTCTCCACCTCGCGTTTACGCGCTTGTCGACTGTGAAAGCGCATATACCCGTAAAGATTCAAGAACTCATCTACAGGAGCCATGTCTGCATCACCCACCATCGCAGCTTCGTCGGCCAAGCGCCCGCTTGAGGAGCCGTCGTCGCCTGCCGGACCCAACGACCAGCCCGATGCCAAGCGCCCGGCTCTCGACAAAATGGTCAAGGAGGACGCCTCCATCGCAGACGACATTGATATTGCCCAGCCCGTAAAAGCAGACGACATTGCCACCGAGGGCCTCAAGGACGACGCGCATGACGTAGCCGGCGCTGCCCTGGAGAATGGCGCCGAGACCACCCAGACGGACACTGTTGTCCCTGACGCGCCTTCCATCCTCGAGACCCAGCCTATTCAGTCCACGTCGGGCGCCAATGGCCGGCCTGTAAACCAGAACCAGCAGGTAGACGAGACCAACTGGCTGCATGTGCGCGCTTGCATTGGCACCAGCGAGGCAGCTACCATCATCGGCAAGGGCGGAGAGAATGTGACTCAGATCCGTCGTCTGTCTGGCGCCAAGTGCACCGTTAGCGACTACTCTCGGGGCGCTGTCGAACGCATCCTTACTGTAAGCGGCCAAGTTGATGCTGTGTCCAAAGCCTTCGGTCTCATTGTGCGCACTCTAAACCAAGAGGACCTCGAGACCCCTTCCACTTCCACTTCCAAGGCGTACCCCATGCGTCTGCTTATCCCCCACATTCTAATCGGCTCCATCATTGGCAAGGCCGGTGTTCGCATCCGCGAGATCCAGGAGGCCTCCAATGCTAAGTTGAACGCATCTGACACCCTCCTCCCCAACTCTGGCGAGCGCTCGTTGATCGTTCTGGGTGTTGCTGACGCTGTGCACATTGCTGTGTACTATGTTGCGCAGACACTGGTCGAGCAGCTGACCGAGCGATTCGGCGGTCCCGCTGCCTCCCAATATGCCACACGTAGCGGAATGGCGGCCAACGTAGTCCCAGGCGGCATGTCCGTCCAGCCATACGTTCCCCAGCCTGCTGGAGGTCAGTACTCTCACCCACAAAACTTTCGCCGCCAAGAACCCCCTCAGCGCACCCCCGCTCACGGTGGATATGGCGCGCCTCACATGCACGGACAGCCCCCTCAGCAGTCGCCCTATGGGCATCCTAACATGCCTTATGGAGCTGGCTCGCCTAGCCGCGGTCCGTACGGTGGCCCGGCTGCACCTACTCCATACGGAGCTCATCCTGCCGCAGCTCCCGTTGCGCACGGTGGAGCTGCTCCTCACGCAGCGGTTGGTGCAATGCCCGGCCAACCTTTGACACAGCAGATCTTCATCCCCAACGACATGGTCGGTGCCATCATCGGCAAGGGCGGTGCGAAGATCAATGAGATTCGCCAACTTAGTGGAAGCGTCATCAAAATCAACGAGCCCACCGATAACAGCAACGAGCGTCTTGTCACCATTACAGGCACACAGGAGTGCAACCAAATGGCGTTGTACATGCTGTACTCGCGTCTTGGTCAGTAGACCCCCTCCCCCCTCCCCCCCACTTCCATACGACCGTGAAACTCATTCCTTCCTAGAATCGGAGAAGCACCGGATCTAGTAAGCGCGCTGTGAGCGTGGACTACTCAAAGCGACGTGAAGCGAGCAGCATGGGTTCAAGTCTCGTTTCTACACTGCATGTGGAATTTGGAGCATGGCGTAACGGTATGTTTATCTTCCCTTCCAAAATCTTCTCTCTGGGCGTGTTTTTTTATACATGAAGCGGCTGGCTACCTCACCACATTTTCGGTGAGTGGGTAAGAGCATCATGGCTCGGATGGCATCAGGTTGTTGGGGGTCAGGGTGGAAAGGGGGCTCAGGCAAGGTTTCGTCACATATGGTTTCTTTATCACCGGCTACATGGTTTGAACATACCTGGTAATCTATCAAAAGCTTTACGTGTTTATTATGTGGTTGCTTATGATGTGGTGGTCGGTATGTGGGCATGATGGACGTGATGTGACTGTTGCGTGTATCGATCTTTCCCTGAGGCCATGGGGACTCCAAAGACGGTATGTGGTTGTCTAAACCTGATGTTCCATAGTTCAGTGGGGTTGGTTCTTGTGAGGCACTTAAGCTATCTGTATGTGCGCACATCTAGATTCTACCTCCTCAGTACACGCTTGGTTCTGGCTCAAAGGCACATTCCCAGTACCACTTTCGTGAGTAGGCCCGTTGTTTGAGTATCACACAAAATGCATCTCTCTAGGCGGATTTCCAAACAGCTGCATCTTAATGATGAAGTATTTCCATCTCCTAGCCCTCGTCGCCCAAGAGCGCTCGAAGAAGGTAGGCTAGTCAGTCGAGTTGGTCTAGTAATTGGAGACTGCTGCTAGATGTTTTCATTTCAAGTTTGCATATCCTTGTTGTGGGACACAGAGAAGAGGGCACACGTGTCTATGATGGCAAGGCGGCGAGTGCGGTGAGCGGCTTGGGATCGTGGAGAGCACGTTGTTTGACAGTTTGACGCTGCTACCCATGGGGAACTCATTTCCGATTCAGATGCTAGCATGATAGACTTGAAGTATTACGTTTCATCCAGTATAGATAAGATACATTATCAGTGATCATTCCTCACTTGCCACACTACTTCTTCCCAACCTTGTCTTCTTTCAATCCGTACCCCTAAGTCGGCATCCGGATGTGGTCGCACAGTATCTTCTGTCATCCTACACGGGCCAAACCCTGGCTGAGATATGGGTCCGCCACCCACAGCTGTAATATCGTGACCCAGAATAAGTACAGCCATGGTGCCCATTATATGGGTGATTGCAAAGTGGCGTCCAGGACACTGGTCCTGGCCTCCGCCAAAAGGGAAGTAACCCACTCTGCGTAAATGAGTCGAATCATCTGGATTTTCCTCCATCGCACTCGGCTGCTTCTCTAGGAATCGGTCTGCGTGGAATTCATTGGCTGTGGGTCCCCAGGTCAGTGGGTTGCGGTGGGCGCTCTTCATTGAAATTAGCATGTTGGTGCCCTTTTTGAGAAGGTAAGATTGCCCTTGACTTTCGCGGCGGTGGGTGGATACGACGGTGTCGTCGACGACTCGGCGGTGCAGTGTGCCTACCGAGACCAGGCGCTGTGTCTCGCGCAACACGGATAGCAGAAGTGGACAGTTGGATTGTATCCGATCGGCATCCACAACTGCAGTATTTGCCTCGATTGTCACTGCCGCACTCAACTCATCTCTCAGTTCAACGAGCAGTGCTGGCTGGCTGAAGACGTATGTCACACACCAGAATAATGTCGGTACCACGTTGGCCACTGCCGCGTGGATAATGATCAGGTACGTCGCTGCTATATCTCTAGCCGTGAACCCGTGCTCGCGTTGCATGGCAGCCATGTCGACTGTAAGCGAGGCAATATGATTGTCGCTATTCTTGACGTTGAGCCTGTCGTGTCCAGCCGTAAAATAAGCTTCTAATACATTCACCAGAGTGAGATGCGCCTTCTTCGAGCTCCGAAATGTAAGATCGAAGACAGTGGTGCTGTCAGTTGGGTCTCCATCTTCGAATTGCCTGAGTAGATTGAAAAATGCATGTCAGCGTTTGGACTCGGGTCAGATGTCACCACATTCTCAGCTGGGTTTGGTTATGTGGAATCATAGCTTACCAGTAAGTATCTACGAGAGAAACGTCCTTGCTCCATGGGTTGTTTTCTTTTCCCATTAGTGACGATGTCGTGGTGATTGTCATGATACTACGCATCCAGAGCCAAAGGTCTTGCACCACGGCATCTCTTCCCATGTCTGGTCCACCGCTTTCAGACCGAAGAGTTTGAGGGAGGAGCCCAGTCAATTCCTGGAGTGCGGCAGCGGCCATTTTCTTCCGCTCTGACCCGGTCAACCTCGCAGCGAACAGGTGTATGACTTTTGACCGTAACCCGTCGGCATAAGCTTTTTTTGCCGGTTCCGAGAGTTCTCTCAATCGACCAATAAACTCTATCACTAAAGGTATCATGCTCACGCTCTTCTTTCGGAAGATATCTTGTGCGAACAGTGGCGAGTTCACCAGGTACGCTTTGTCAAAGAGCACGGGAATGGAAAAGATCGGATACGGTGTGCTCTGACTGTGGAAACATGACGGCGGTTAGTCATCGGTATGCAGGCATGTATAAGAAGAGGCTGGAGATTTTTTTCTTACTCACCATAGTGTGTTGGCGTACTCATGGGTATACCTCATCAACCCCCAGAGATGCCCAACAAATGGGATTAGATGAGGAACCGCAGGTGGCTCCGCGGATGCAGAGAATGGTGTACCGCCTGTACGCTGCTTTGTAGCGAAAAAAGTAACTGTAGCTAGGGTACAGAAGAACATCATGGCGTATCCCGAGTCGATGTTGAAAAGACCACTCGCATCGCTGAGATTCGCAGTAGAACCTAGTCCGCGAGCTCCGTCGCTGGTTGTGTTGGTAAGGACATCCATACCTATTGCTGAATGATTACTGTAAAGCAAAGTCCCCTTACGTGATCGGTCGCTGGTCGTTGAGAATGATGACAATGATGATACCTGGATGAATAGGAACCACCCAGTCTTTTTGTATCCCCCATATTGTTTGAAACCAACGCACAAGCTAGCAGTGATGCGGAAGCTTCAGCAGGGCATTGAAATAGACAGGTTCGATAACGGCGTCTAGACGCAAGCGTATTCTCTCCTGCAGAACGTAATGATAACAATATCAGTCTGCATCGGCGTTCCACACTGCAAATCGAGACTAGCGAGCAATGATAACCTAAACTTTGGGTTGCTTTTCTCATCAATTGCTCCAGACTCCAGATAGGTGGGAAACTTACGTGGACAAGGTTGGTTGAGGTGTTCAATCTCGGATCATGGTCGAGTTGTAGCTGTAATCGTTTGTATTTTTTTCGTTTAAGAGCGGAAGTTTTGGATCGCCTGTGGGAGAGTACCGTAGTACTCGAGGGCACAATGAGACTGAATGAGGAGCCATCTTACGTGGACAATGAAACGTACGTGATAGGCAACTGCGATATCGATACCACAACTCGATCTCATGCATATGCTTTACTAAGAGGAAAACAAAGGGTAGAGAAAAAGAAAAGCCTTGGAGAAGAGACCACAATGTGTACCCTGTGTTTCCGAGTCGCAATCTTGCAGCATGGCGCTCATTTTCTTTTTGGACACGTTTATTCATGTTTTGGCTCGTGCTTTCGAGTGCGAACTCCCGGTTTTGGACGAATTTCCGAATGCATTCGACAGACTCTTTAGATTACTTGATAATTCAGAGGGGTTGTACATGATATCAGTCGCGCTTCCTTAGGTATCTCTACGTATAGACAGCTCTTGTGTGTAGGGGTGAAAGTGATAGTATCGAGTCATACTATGGTAGCCAAACGAAACACCCCTTCATAGGTTATGGCCACCCAAAAGGCTCCCTCCTTACTCTCTCTTAATCGCATTCTGCCCTACTCTCCGCCTCCCAACGCAGTCTTCCATCGCGCGCTCAAGTCCCTCCTCCAGCTCAACCAAAGGCTTATATCCCAACCTGCTCTTCGCTTTCTCAATACAAAAATACCTCGTCATACAGCTCAACCTCACCTTCGTCTTCGTCAGCGGCGCTTCATCCAACCCCAGCCCCCAAAACAGCCACTCTAGCAGCCCCGCCAAAAGTAGCGCACAGGCCTTACTAATCACCCAGACCTGCCCCGGCCGCGTCTTGTCACCTGCATACCTCAAGACCAAGCGGGTAAATTCCCAGAAAAAACGTGGCTCGTCTTTTGTAACGAAGAAGGCTTCGCCTTCTACATTGGCGTCATCGTTTGGGAGGTATTGATGGGATTTAGTAAGTGCGGCAGCGGCGAGGTAATGTGCATAAGCCACATTTGTGTTCTCTTTGAAGTCGAAGAGATTCTTGTTATCACCGATTTGTACGTTTGTCTTTCAACGATAGTAGGCGTTTAGAATGCCGGGCAACACGGTCAAGTCGCCAAAGCCGAAGATACCTGAGGGCCTGATGGCGCAGGTTAGGAAGTGAGATGTGCCGCCGCTACTGCTGCTACTATCTTGGGCTCGCTGGTTCTGCGACAAAACATACGTCTCAGCGAGGGCTTTGGTGTACGTATAGAACTCTGCCCGTTGTTGCTCCTCCAGTATCATAGGCAATGTCTCGTCAACATATCGTAAATCCGTCGCAGCATCGCTGACAACGCTTGCGGAGCTGGTATACACGAACGATGAGGTACCAGAATCTTTTGCGATTTGAACGAGGCTCTTAGTGCCGTCCACGTTGATCTTTTACATGATATCCCTGGGAGAATAGAACTTGGGACTCGCGGTGTGGACGACGATGTCTGGTTTGGTTGTTTGAAAAATCCGGCGCATGGCGGTGGAATCAGTGAGATCGCCCACATGATATGTGATTTCCTCGAGGCGATGGAGAGGAAGCTGAAGATCGACCGAGTGGAGGTGTGAACAGCCTCGTTGAGAGAAGAGTTTCAGCATTTGGCTGGCGAGGCCGCCGTTTCCCCCTGTTATGAGGATGGTGCTTCGGTGAAGGGGTGAGTGCTCTGGAAATGTGGTAGTCTCCATTTTTGGTGGTGATGGTGTGAGTAGTCTCGTGATGACGAAATTGGGGCGGAGTCGTGATGGTTTAAATTATTCAGGTGGAAGACATCGAAGATATATAATAGCGCGGTGTGAAATACGGCGGATACGGCTCATACGGGAATTGGTCGTCTCTGATGTCAATACCACGTCTAGAAGGAGGTAACAACACATGAGACGATGACAGAGTCGTGAGATGCTCCATATACATGCAGTTCCCCAAGGCTATGCTCGCAATTTTTTGGCACTTGAAAAGGATGAAGCTTAGAGTAGATTGACGATTGCAGTCATGAACTTCGTGACAGCGTGTGCTAGTCGCGTCAGCGCGCGTCATTAACTCCGAACTTGGAGCGTATCTCCACCCCTCCAAGCTCAACCGCCACCCACCACTGTTCTTCACAATGTACGCCACTCACCCCAAAACCACGCCTCTATACGTCCACCTCAACTGACTTCACTTCATACAATCCAATTCCCCACCATGCCCCTCGGTTTCGAGCGCCTGAACGAGCGCACCCAACGCCCCAATGCGCACATAAACTTCATCCGCACCCTCCCCGGCAGCACCTCCGCCACCGCCCTTGCCATCCTAAACCGGGTGGCAGCAATATGCTACCCCTTCATGAAGTCGCACCAAATCCTCGTGCAAGCGCTCGAAGAATACCCCTACAACACCGAGTTCGTGGGCCGCAACTTCAACGCCGGCGAAGTCATACAACTCGTGTTGCGGGACCGGCAGGGGCGATGGCTACCGCAGCGCATGGTGGAAATGGTCATGGTACATGAGCTAGCGCATTGCAAGCAGATGAACCATAGTAAGGCGTTTTGGAAGGTGAGGGATGGGTATGCGGTGGAATTGAGGGCGCTTTGGGCGAGGGGGTACACTGGCGAAGGGTTGTGGGGAAGAGGACGGGAATTGGATACTGGGGTGGTACAGGCGCGTGAGGGGGAGTCAGTGGATGTACCGGAGCATCTTTGTGGAGGGACGTATGGGCGGAGAGCGGGGAAGAGGAAGAGAGGCGGGAAAGATACGTCAACACTAAGTTATGCGGAGAGGAAACAGAGGAGGATACTGAAGAAATTCGGAGCTGGTGGCAAGGCCTTGGGCGCCGACGACGACACAAAAGTCAAGCTGGAAAAGGGTGTACCGAAGAAAGGCAAACCCAGGGTCGCTGGCAGCGCCAGAGGACGCGATCTCCGAGCCGCCGCGGCACTAGCTCGCTTCGACACAGTCAAGAAAGAAGACGTAACGATAAAAAAGGAAGAAGAAGCCTCTTCCTCAGACACCGACACAGAAGACGAGTTCCAAGAAGGCGACCAGAACGGCGCTGCAGTCGACATCGACGGCAAAAGCATGTTCGACGACAAAGGCCGCGCGCTCATCAAAATATGCGACGACGAAGACGACAAAGACGGTGATGCGAGGAGGGAAAGGGATGAGATAGAGGGTTTTGCTCCCCAACGGTCGAAGAAAACGCAGGTCAAGACACCGGCACCTTCGGCGAAGGGCGCGACGAAACCACTTACGTCCAAGACGGCCATTCCCTCACAAGCTTCACCCAAGACCACCCTCCCCAACCCACCACCCCGCCGTACCAAACCGCAAACCCCACCAACCTTTGCTTGCCCCATCTGTTCACTAGCAAACGACCCCTCAGCACTAACCTGCATGGCCTGCGCAAACGTACTAAACAAAGAGCTCGTACCCGATTCTTGGTCCTGCAAGAGCGAGGCTTGTAAAGGGAGTCTGTATGTGAATGCTGGGGACGCGGGTGGGTGTGGGGTCTGTGGTGTGGGGTGTAGGAAGGGGTGATGGCTGGTGGTGGTGCTGCTGATGGTAAGGGAAGATATTTTGATACCCCCTTTCCTTTCGTGTTTTAGCGCAGACGTAGTATGATTTGAATGGGAAGAATGAGTTCTGTACAAATATGGTTGTATATATTTGCAGCAAAATAAATGAGGAGTTATCATAACTTCATTCTGATTAAAAAAACAAAGCGCCGTTGTAACCCGACACACTCAATGACCCAGAGTGAATGGTGTATCAAACCAACGTGCTTCTGGAATACCCCCAAGAAACACCATTTGTAACCTAATGGCATGATGCTCATTATAGAGCCATGCATAAAAATAAACTGAAAAAAAAAAGCCAAACTCTCTGTACACCTAAACGCCATCCATACCCTAACAACATACACGGCCCCCATCACAGATACTGCAAACACTACCTCGCAATCCTCAACTGCGAGCCGCCTCCACTCTTCCTCGTACTTGTAGGCACACCCGCCATACTCCTTCCATCCCTCCTACGCATACCCTGCAGCTTAGCCACAAGCTGTTCATGAATCTTGCGGTTCTGCGCCCACCCATCAGCGAGCCTTTGCATCCTGATTGCCGCGATGACGGTCAGGATCGCGGATTTAAATTTGGGCCGACGGTCGTGCACAGTGATGTCGGGAGTGATGCCCATTTGCGAGATGAGGTGGAGTTCATTTTGATTGCTGGGTTTGTGTTAGTATGTTTGTCCAGAGGAGGATGGGAAGGTGAAGGAACGTACGCTTCATTGTAGTTTTGGATCTGCATGAGGAAGAATTGTTTTTGGTATCCGAGTGCTTCGCGGAATGCTTCTGCTCGCGAGCAGCGTGCGCGGAGATATTGGATTTGCTTGGCTAGACCGTTAATCTCCTTGATGTGGAGTTTCGTGATGGTTTCGGCCTGCTCATCCAGATCGTCCGAGTCTTGTTTAGCCTTTTGCTGTATCGCTTTGGATGAGGCTTGGAGAAGGCGGTACTGCGATTCCTTCTCCCGAAGCTCGGATTGCAGGTCGCGTAGTTGACGGTCGAGAGCCATCTGCTTATCGCGCGCTGCTGACTTGGCTTCGGATAGCTGTTTGCGGTGTTGTGAGTCCTTGTCGCGGATGTGTGATTCTAGGTCGTGGATCTTGTTTTCAAGCGCTGCCTTTTGTTCGCGTTGGGCTGCACGAGACTCTGATTGCAGAGCACCGTTCTGATTTTCCTTCTCTCGGATCATGGATTCAAGAAGGGCGATTTTCTCTTCTAGAGACGCCTTCTCTTCGGCAGCCTCCTCGGCATCGTCCTGCAGAACTTCTATTTCTGCTTCCAAGTCGTCCTTCTCTTGATGGGCGGTCTCCTTGAGCTCTTCAAGTGCTTCCAGACGTTCTTCTGCTAGTCTTTGGAGAGCTTCAACTTGACTCCTCTGGTTGTTCAACTCATCGCGCAGATTCTCCAGCTCATCATCTCGCTTACGAATAAGATCCTGCATGATATCGATCTGTGTGTCGGGTTCATCGGCATGATCTCGCAGAGCATCGAGCTCAGCTTCGCGATCTACTATCGTCTGTCGTGCCGTCTCCAGCTCTCGTGTGCAATCACCGAGGTCACTCCTGAGCTGCTTAAGCTCCGTGAGTGTCGCTTCTTGTACCTCAATCTTCTTTTGCAAATTAGCTATGTCACGCTCACGCGTTTGCAACGATGACTGCAGGGTTGAAACATCTCGCGAGAGCGCGTCTCGTTCGCGTGTGATCTTTTGAAGCGCCTCGATCTGTGTATCTTTGCCGGACACTGCCGTCCGCAGGCTGCGCATCTCACTCTCGATCTCATTACGCTCTTGTCGAAGGTTTGCAACCAGAGTATCGCGGTCATTGTTGCCTTTCCGCAATGCCTCAACTTGCTCGTCCTTGCTCGTCATCTTAGAAACGAGGTTGTCACGCTCGCGGCGAAGAGTCGTAAGTTCACGTGATAAGGCGTCCCGTTCGCGTGTGGCAGTGTTGAGCGCTTGTACTTGAGCATCTTTGGTGTATAGCGTTGTACGGAGCCCAGTAAGCTCCTGCGTGACATCGTCGCGTTCGCGGCGTAATCTTTCAACGCCTTCCAGCTCGCGATCCTTTTGATTGAGATCGCGTCGGAGCTGCTGCAGTTGCTGTTCATAAGCCGACGCATCTCGTTGCAGGCGCGCAATCTGTTGCATAGCATCTTGATGCTGTCTGCGGAAATCTTCCAGTTCGTCGGCCTTGGTTTCGGCGGCATCGACTCGTGATTGTAGGAGCTCAATCTCAACCCCCTTCTCGCGGGTGATGTCAACGACCTTTTGCCTCGCATCGTTGGCGGATTGTTGTGCTAATTGGACCTGATTGTCGCCCTGAGACTCTGCGAGTTCCAAGCGTTCGCGCAACGCATCCATCTCCGCATCTTTCTCGTTTTGAGCAGTCTGTAGGCGCCTCTGAAGCTCCCTAAACTCAGCGTCCTTTTCGCGCTCCATAGATCGAAGTCGATCCTCGAGGACCGCAAGCTCCTGTCGCTTCTGCTCGTCTGCCTCATCAAGTTCGCGCTCTACCTCGTCAAGTTGCTGTTCCAGCTCTCGGATTTGTGCGTCCTTGCTATCTGCAGCCGAAGCAAACTTAGTTTGCAGTTTGTCGATCTCAGTATCTTTCTCGCGCTCAACTGAGCGAAGCTGATCCTCAAGATCCTCAATTTTCTCGCTACGCTCAGCCAAGTGGCGGGCTTTATCAGCCAAGTCGTCATGCTGGGAATCTTTGAACGATTGCAGCTGCTCTTCCAATTCCGCGATTCGCTTGGCCTGGTCTTTGAGTTGCCGGTCCTTCTCCCCGTTGCCAGCGGCCTGAGAATCTTGCGCTTGTGCTAGCTTGTTCTCCAACTTATTGATTTGTTCCTCCTGCTCATCTAGTAATGCGTCCCTCCTCTTGAGCTCTGCCTGTGCGCTCTCTAACTCGGCATCGAGCTTATCCAGTTCCTCCTCCGCAGACTTCGCATCTTCAACTTTCCCCTCAAGGCGCTCAATCTCAGCTGCACGCTCCTCAGCCAGTCTGCGGAGTTCCTCCATCTCCTCGCGTATACCCTCGTCAGCATGTCGCCTCTTGACTTTCTCCGCGTATTCGCTCAATCGTTGCTTGTATTCGTCCAACTCCTTCTCGGCCGCTTTGAGATCCTTTGTGTATTTCCTCAGGTCTTGCGTCATGGTGACCTTTTCCGACTTGAGGTTGATGTTCTCTTCCATGGCTTTTTGGTTGAACTCGGGGCCCATTTTCTTGAGGTTCTCTTCGAGGAAGTGGATCTTAAGCTTCAGGCCGAAATTTTCCTTGTCGATTTGCTCCAGACGCTGCAAAAATGGTTAGCAGAGTATCAGGGTAAGCGCGTTGACTGCGCGCGGGGTATCGGAGTATACGCACGGCCTCCTGCTCTCTCAGAGTGAGCACATTGCCATTGCCACCATCCATTTCACCCTCGGCTCGTCTCGGCAGGGCCATGGGCGTGCTCATATCACTCGCACTGAGGTTTGGCACCTCTGTCTGATCACCTACTGAGCCGGCAAACGAGCTGGATTCTACATCATATATGCTCGCCTCGGGCAGAGGCGTATTGCTGACTTGAAAGCCTGGTTTCATCGCGGCGGGCGTTGTGAGTTTTCCATCTAGTAAGCCGTTGACCTGGCGCGTCCGGTTGGTGGTTGCGCTCTTCAACATGGGCGTGAACTCATTCTTCGCGTTCCGGTTGCGTCGGGCTGCAACGTTGTTTCGGGGTGTTCGTACGCCATTCATCTGCTTGAACAGATTGTCGCGGTCTGTCGGCGCAATAAATGTCTCTTCTATGCTGAAGGAGGGATCGTTGGTGGTGAAGCGCGTCATGTCGCCAACCTCTGTGCGAGGCGTCGTGAGAAGGTGCGCCATAGTATGTGTATACTTTAGGAACGCATGGGGGAGAGAAATATAGGGTTGCTTTGCGCATACACTTCCAGTAGTGTGTAGTTCAGTCTCCTCTCGCCATAGTTGGGCATGTTCAGTGTTGTTTGTTTGGGACGCTTGGACCAGGGCAGGGGTACAGCCCGCAACTAGCCGGACTAGGCAAGAACCGAAAATCGCGCCTCTAGCCCAGTCACGTTATCACCTTGCCGCCTACAGGAAAAACGCAAACGTCATTTCAACCATCCCCATGAATCCCGAGACTGGCAAAACATATTTCTAGCAATCTGCAGAGCATACCCAAGAATAAAATTCTCGAGAAATCCCCTGGCGAATATTCCAGGTGTGACATCTGGGTAGTCCATCAGAACTTGAGGTCTGATATACGCAAGAGCTTGGGAAACTGAGATCGAAGTCTTTATATACAATCTGAAATCTCACCATGGACGGCCCAAAAGATGACCTGAAGTGGTTCGGCGAAGGCTTCGACGGCTTCCCCAAAAAGCTACCTGACGACGTCGTCGAATACATGGTCTTCATCATCGACTCCCGACTTTCCGACATTCAAACCCGAGAGCGCCTCCAAGCATTCCAACGTGCTCTTAGTATCCTGGAAAAGAAGTTTCTCAAAGAATACATCTGGCAAAGGGACTCGCTCAAGCTAGAGCTTGTGCGAGAAGAGCGGCAATGGCTACTCAGGGGGCGCACAAACTACGGCGACAGTGTGGCAGACGAGTGGCTTATTGTGTATCTCTTGCGTGAGCTCAGTAAAGAGTTTAAAGATGCTTGGATACGAATCTATGATAGCGATGGGGAGTTTCTGCTGATCGAAGCTGCGAATGCGTTGCCGAAGTGGCTGAATCCTGAAGTCGCAGAGAACAGGGTATGGATCAACTGTCATCGGCTTCTTATCATACCCCTGGGTAAAGAGGAGGAGCCTGCGCCCCTCACGCAGGCGCAAGCACTGCAAATCATCGACGCTACGCCGGGACGACTTCAGCAGTATGTCAAGGTTGAAAAGGAGGCATTTCATCGTCTGAGCGGGTATCCAGCTGCCATCTCAGAAAACCAGCATCATGCAACAGTCCCACTCCCGAGGAAAGTCGCTCACATGCTACACGTAAACCCGTCCTACATTGCACCAGTAGTTGAAGCCTTTTACTTACGCGATCCTATTTCGATTCGACTTCTTCAGCCCAGCAAGACCAAGGAACCCCTAATTTTCCCACCCGAAGACTCTGTTGACGTTAGCGTGCGATTCACAAAAGTGCTATACGCCCAACTTCTCGGACAGCACTGGGAACCGCCAGCACCATGGGACGCCGCACTGGAGCACCTCATCAAGGCCGGCAAGTCAACCGAGAAAGCCGAGATTGGCATCAAAATAGCAGCAGGCATGCAAATGCTTCTCTCTTACCCAATCTACAGCTCCTACAAATCTACGCGCGAGATTTCTCTCCTACTCGAAGACCTCGAAAGTGGCGACGACACGCTTCCCACCGACGCCGAAATTGCAAGCTGGCCCAAACGCGAAGACGACGAAGGGTGGCTCAACATTGACTTTGCCGAGTTTGAAAAAGAGCTCGAAGGCAAAGGAAGCGGCGCCAAAGACGCATTCGGCGACAAAGCTGCACAAGAGAATCTCAAAAAGATGGTCGAGCGGTTCAACGACTTCCTAGCCGACAATGAAGCCGGCGCCGAAGGTGCAGACGGGATCCCGGACCCAATGGACATAGACAACGACTCCGACGGCGAAGCCCGGGGCTGGGACGACCCAGAAGACAGCGATTCCCCACCGCCCTCAACCAACACCAAAACTAACACAAAGGGTAGAAATAAGGCCCCACCTAAATTCACCAGGAAGCCTGACTCCGATGATGACTCCGATGACGATGACACCGACACCGACGACGACGCAGAAGCCGACGCCGAATACGCCGACTACGAAAAAGCTTACGAGAAATTTATGACACTCCCCGCCGCTGAGAAAGCAATGCTAACAGACGAAGCGCGCGCACTGGCACTTGAACAAGACGCCGAGCAGGAAGAAGATGACGAGATCAAGAAATTGAGTGAGATGATGGAGGCGGAACTGTTTAGCCATGGCGCCCTCAACCTGGATGCTAAACCGACTCGTAAACCGGGCACTGGGCTGCTGGCGGACGTCAAGGGTAAGGGGAAGCTGGAGGATGTTGGTGAAGAGAATGGGGAAGATGAGGATGAGGACCTGCTGGATGAGGACTATAATCTTGTGGACAATATGCTCAAGGCGTTCAAGGGACAGGCGGGTATGGCGGGTCCGGCGGGAAATATGATGAGGGCGATGGGTGTGCAGTTTCCAAGAGATGCTGATGATGAGATTGAGGGGAGTAGTAAGGGTAAGGGTAGGGTGGTGGAGTAGGCGATGTAGGTTGTTGGGCGTGGCGCTTATTCGTGTTATGGTGTAGTGAAAGTTATATGACTGCTTGGTAGATGGCTTATGTTGGACTCTATATCCCCACTTAGCTTCCCACAACGTCTAGTTTGAAACAAGATATCACACTCCGTAAATATCATCCACATACCCCAACTTCCCATCCCTTTCCGCTGCTTTATTGTTCGCCAGACGCGTCCATATGGGCTGTAAGACACCCGTGTCGAAGTTGCGGTTGGCGAAGATGTCCACGCCTAGCTGCTCGAGGATCTTGAGAGGGATAGCGACGGATTCGGTGAGCGTGAAGACGTCGATGTGGTGTTTGTTGGAGAGCGGTTGCAGGCGCGCGATGAGTGGGTGGTCTGAGGGTAAGATTTTGAACGCCGGTGGTGAGGAAGCGGAGCATAAGAAGGGGGCGTAGGGGTGAGGCGTTGTGGGAGAGGCCGACGGTGGGGCGTTGGAGCCAGGTAAAGTCTTTGCCGCAGAGGGCTTTATGGTAGGTTTTCATCGCAAGGTTGAGACATTCGGGTGAGCAGAAGGCTTCGGAACAACATGGGGCTTGTTGAGGCGTGTCTGGGAGGGAAGCGTAGCAGTTAGCGCGTGAGTTTGGTGCGGGAGTACTGCAGACACCTGTTGCGGTGCGATCGGTTAGTATACACTCGCCGTTTTGCATTTCATGGCTGGCAAACATGCCTAGCATGTCGTCGTTTCCATCCGCAGCGAGGGTGCTTCGAGCGAGGTAGCATGTTGTTTCACCATCTTTCCCACGAAGCTCTTCGTTAATCAGAGCTACAAGTTTCGAGGATCTTGTGAGAGAGCGCTCTGGCGTCCAGGAGAACTCCGTCCATCGGTAATTCACTGTGAATACGCCTCCGTCTTTTAGTCTATCTTTCTGCTCTTGTGGCGTGCCTCCCAGTGATGCAGCTGCGGCCTCCTTCCTCCTCAAAAGCTCGCGGAGGTCAGTAGCTTTCTCACCCGCCATACCCCATCTGGGATATTGTTTCAATGCTTCTTCCCACAATTCAGCTGCTTCCCAATGGCAGTGGCAACCCAAAAGAGCTTGACCAAGGATTTCGTAGACTGCTTTCCTTGCCTCAAGATTGGCAGGTTCGCGATCCAACAGAAGCTTGGCCTTGAAAGCATCTCCTACTGCAATCTCAGGAAACCCATGTTCTCTCATGAAAGATCCGCGTCGGACCCAGTGGTTGGCATCGTAAGACGAGCGGTTGATCTGATCATCAAAAAGGCGTAGGGCACTTTCAAACATACGTAGGTCTAGTGGCTGTTGAGATTGAGTGGTTCCAGACCGGGATACCATGCCTGAGTGGTTCCATTGGGAGGGTATAGTGAGGATTGTCAGAGCGTGCCATCGTTCTGTGATAGGTATAGAGCAGATTGTTGTGTGGGAGTATACGTGGGGACGTGCGGCTGGGGTTTACGATTTTACGACGTCATCGCTGGAAGAGTCGCGTCTGCTGACCGCAGTACACATACCTAGGTACGTTTCGTTCTTCATAATCTACGACAATTTTCACACTTTTGATAATATATTCAGATTTTCAGGGAGCAAGATGTGCACTCGAGCACTATGAATCTTCTCAACATTGTCCGAGCTCGCCAACGATGCAGCAGTTGACTTTGTGGCCGAATCTCAACTCAGAACATTCTCGAGCTCAACGTATTCTATCAAACTGTATATATCGTCGGTCAGCATTGCATAGCTGTATAACACGCCAGGGACCTCAACCCTTCCAAGGTTTTTAGTCTTGATCTAGGGTACTGAAGAAGCTCTCGTGACTGCCAAGTTGGCGTCAATGTGCATATGGAAGAAGACAGGAGAAGCCAAACATGTTGATGGTTCTGAAGACGATGGAGACACCCATCAAAGAGCATGTACTGTCAGTTCCCAGGCGAGTACAGCTCAGTTTCTCAAGCATTGGCTGGGGGTTTTCTCCGATCATCAACATGTGGAAATGAGGATTGCTTTCAGGCGCACGGGAGATCTCGGACCTCAGCACCCTACCGGTAACGAAGACCGAGCCTTGTACCAGCCACACCGCCACACCTGCATATTTCGCATCGACACGGGAGCCATCGTGGGGGCTGTTTGCTGACTGATTGTGGGTCTAGGGCCCGGAAGGGTAAACGGCCCGATAGGCTGGCTGCGTTCGTTTGACAGCTCGGCCCCGGCCCGCCGCCCAGTCTGGATCTCACACTCATGAAGCTTATTTCCAGTTGTCAATGAAGAAAATCACAGCAATCGCAAGTTCAGTGACTAAGTTTGATGGATATTTGATTTTTGGACACTTCTATATACAGCGACTATCAAACGGAAACGACTGTGAAGTTTACACGATCACAAGACAAGCCTTGCACCCTGCCATATTCCCGCATATCTACCCTGCTGCCGTCTAGCAGTAATCGCCAATGTTGTAGCTCTGATACACGTGGCTGGTCCTGCATGCCGGGCTGGCACCCTTGACGTAAAGTTTGGTCGCTAATCTATGTCAGCATATCTTCCTTGTTCGAGCGTCATGCAGAGCACTTACAGTCAACGGGAAGATTGGCGGACGGCTGTCGTACGATGGTCTGGGTCCTGTCGCCGGGGGTGAGATCGTTCTCACACTGGATCTGTTCCTGTCCTCCGTTCACAGTTGGGCTACCGGTCCACACATCGATGTGGTTGATGCGCGGACTGGCGCTCCAGTCGGTAGTGCACTGAGCGCAGTAGTCTTCAAATCGAAGGTACTTGCGCGTGTAGGGGTCGTAGATGACTTCACACTTTGTGAACTCGCCAGGCGCAGAGGCAAAGGTCAAGGGATCGGTGTAGGTGCCCGTGCCACCAGCTTTGAAGCCGCGGCCACAGTCGTAAGCGGTTGCTGGGCCTGACGAATCGTTAGCAGCGGTTATACACGAGGTTTGATAGTGAGGTTGCATGCCGACTCACCAGCCGGATCGTTATCTGGGTAACCGTAAAAGGTGTGGGTAACCTTGGTCACTTTGGTGCAGCCGAGGACGGTGAGGCTGAGGGAAGAAAGTGCGATGATGATTGAGGCGCGCATATTGATTATTGTGCTGTAGTGTTGTTGCTTTGGTTGCTTTGTTGTGCTTGTTGGAGTGTGCCGAATTCATTCACGCCGGCGAGAGACATTATATACTTGTTGCCAGCCATGTCGGTGTAGACTTCTTGACGAGGCTGTATGTACAGCCTCAGCCTCCATCCACTCCACCGACGACGTCCAAGAAGTCGCATTTTTGGCACAGTTCCATTTCTGGCAGGCCAGACGAAATAATGAGGGCCAATGACTCCAGAAAACGCAAGCCACAAGTGGGATTCTGGAGGTCAGTGGTTCGTCGGTGGCCGAGATCGCTTAGTAGTTCGTGTTCCACTGCAAGCATCCCGCACTGTCCAGGATTTCCATCCTGTTGCAATGCAAGATTTGCTTACGAAGACACCCTAGAGGAATCACTATTTTAGAATTTCCCTCCTCGGAGGAAGCCTGCCGGATCTGTTCGCACTAGATCGCGGGCAAGTCTTGTATTGGGACGGCCGCTAGAACCACCAATTTGTTTGTGGCCCCATGGCTTGAAGCCGCATGCCCTCATGCACCACAGAGCGTATTAAGAAGCACCGGAAGCAGCGAAGATTTGCAAGGAAATGTTTGGATTGGCGGATCTCAACTTCCCCGCTCGCTCAAACCGAGTGTGCATATGCGAGTCAGTGCAGCTCTTGCCCACGGTAGGCGATCAACGCGGTGAAGAGACCAAGCTGAAATTTTGCATGGCAAGCAATCCATCACTTCTTATCGCGTGACAGCCTTGTGACGATGCAATAAGCTTCTTTAGTCATTCGCTTGAGCCGCATTTACGAGAAGAAAGCTTCAGCCCACCTTTTGTGTCTGCCACTCTTGCGCTTCTCAAGCTCATTCTCGCGGAGCGGCCCTAACATAGCAGCAAGTCTCACCCACTCGACGCTATAATGGTTGAACTCGGGTTTCGTGTATCGATGGCTTTCAGCCTTATCTTCGCAACTGCAATACTTCATCGTGTCTCTGGCTCAACCATTGCCACGTTCACGGACGATCAGTGCAAGAACTCGTTCCAGAGCATACAAGCAGAAAACGGATACCCAAATGGCACATGCCTAAGATTGGCTGACAATGGAAAATTTGGAAGTTTTCAGGTATGGACGATGACGCCAACGAGAAGACTGCACGTGAGACAGACACTAACGTGCCTTAGGTTGTGGGCCTTGACTCGGGCTGCAGTGGTGAGCAGACGATTGATTTCGAGAAACAAGGAAAGAGTCCTATCCACTGACCTGTCTCCAGCTACTATCTATGGCACCGATGCTGAGGAGTTCGTGCCTTGTTCCTCCACCGCCCTCCAGTTCGCACAGCTAGCTACGTGCTATAACTCCTCATGGGTTTACTACAGTATCGATGCATGCACACCGCCTCAATCGTCAAGCATCTCCGGAAACCCCACACGTCCCACCTCCAACCCATCGACATCCTCAAGCACCGCCAACACCCCCAGCAAAAACCACACTGGAGCCATAGTTGGCGGAGTTGTTGGCGGCGTAGGTGGTCTCGCTCTCATCGGCCTCGCTTTATTCTTTGTTCATCGTCATCGTCGCAACAAGAAAAAGGCACTTGAACAGCCTCCTACTGTACCCCAGCCACCTGAAGCTCCCGGAAACAACATCAATGAGTTGCCGCCGCAAGACATCAAACCGGAAATATATACGGCCGAGGCTAAGCCACAAGAAATGGGTAGAAATAGTGTGTTCGTTCCAAGGGAAGAGCCACCTGCGGAGCTTGAGGGAAACAATGCTCCTGTTTTGCACGAACTAGAAAAGCGCGGTGTGTAGGATCTTTTGGAACGAGCGAGATGTTGTAGTAGTAGTAGGAAAGGTACATGTATATATACGTAACGATGAAGAAGAGCATGGGCTTGAAATTCTCATCATGGATTAGTCTTGGATGAATTATCTTAATACATGTGTCGAGCGAGACTATTGACGATAGGTGATTCTTGCGCGAATAACATTACAAGTTGCTAACATTCCATCACGCAGATGCGGTCACATGACTAAATCACTTGACAAAGGCGACTTCAAATGTATATAAGCAGACTTGTCATTAAGCAAATCAAACAAACTTTGGACGCTGATTTGATTTGTTTGTACAAAACTTAAGATTGTATTTAAGTTGTTTAGTTTGATAGTGTTTTAGGAGGCCGTTTGTTTAAAAGTTTAATAGATTTGATACTGTTTAGGTGCTGATCTAATCGTATATCGTATATATTACTAAGCTTCGCTGTCCTACTTGCATATTTCGTATATTGCAGCTACCTCAGCGTCAGTTACATCGCCTAATGTGAGGGATCGATCAAGAAAGATTGGATTTGACAAGATACAAGCTATCGAGCTATCTACGTTGTGAGCCCGAACTTATGCTGTGGGCGCCAAGGCGCTAGTCCGATAAGATAAGGATCTTATCGATATGGGGGCCATGGGCCGAGCGAGTCTATGGATCCGTAACACCTAAGTTGTAATCAGATGGAGGCTTAAAGCCAGCGTCGCGCCAGCTTCGTATACACTGTATTGCTGCAAGCAGTTGTAACCTAATTTTGCGTCGCCTTGGCTCTAATAAATCACCGAGCTCGCTAAACAGCCGCTCGCACTCATAACTTAAGGCTAGTATTGTTAATATATCGATCGCCATACGCGCTAGGTTAGGATACTTTAGGCGTAGGCTTATCTAATAGCTAACAGGATTACTACCTTGTTCGAACTGCTCCTGCGTCCAGCGGAGTTCAAACCGTCGCCAACGCTCCAGCTTATCTATCTCTGTCACCTCAACAATGCTATAAGGCTCCGCATTAACGAGCGCGTTAATGGCGTCGTTAATACCGCTTAAGAGCTGCACTAGTGGGCGACTTTGGCGCTGTATTTGCGGCTTATAGAACGCCCAAAGTTGTTTCAACCTAGCGTTGTTTGCCTTAAGCTAGCTCGGTTTGTCGCGCTAGCTGTTCTCACAGTAGTTCTTGTAGTATAGGTGGAGGCAGGTAGCGGCAAAGTATGCGGGTGATTCGTCGAGCTTAGTGTAATACGCGTTAAGCTTTGCCCAAGCTGCGCGTAGGTTAATAGGAAGGTGATCTTCTAGCGCGCTATTGGCATTATAGTCGACGCTTTCGTGGTTTTTAAGTAGCTGCTCGTACACGGCAAGTATAGCTTCGAAGACAGGTATAACCTCGTATATCGCGCCGAAACGGCCAGCTTTACCGCGAGCTTTAAGCCGTTTTGTCGCCTCCTTTAGCGGCTCTAACACTGATATATACTAGGTTATTACCGCCTAATCGTCAGCCGTAAGCCTATTAGATCTCATCTAAGCTGGTACTTTAGTGAGCTTATTGTTACGGCTACGCGCGTACGCGTCGGCGCCCACCGTCCTTTCGATGTGGCTTTGGGCGTACTCATCAACGGCGTTATGGAGTTTTGCGGCGCGTACAAAGGTGTCGTGAAAGCTGTTCCAGCGCGTGACGACTGGCTTTACTAGCTCGAGTATTTCCTGCTTTTAGTCGGGAGCCTTAGCGTTAACACGGCGCTGGCAATTAGCAAAAAGATCATGTTGTTGCGGTGTTTAGATGTAGTTGATGATATCGATTAGTACACTAAGCGGACCTTGCTGCCGCTATTCTTGTAGGTAGGCTGCCTCTGTTTTGTGCTCGTCCTAATTATTATCGTACGCGTCCTTATCAAAGCCGAAGATAATCATCTGTCCGACTAAGTTAAGTGTGTGAGGGCCGCAGCGGAGGCGGTGATGGCTTGCTGTAAATTCAAAGCGTTGGGCGAGTTTGGTGACGGCGGTGTCGTTAGCGTACGCGTTGTCGAGCACAAAGTACCTAAGCTAGCTACGTGTTATACCGAAGACATCGATTATATTGCCGACAACTTCAGCTATCCTCTCGCCCGTGTGGGCGCCCGTAAGCTGAGGCAGCGCGATAGGTAGGTCCCTGATAGTGCCGTCGGCGTCAGCAAAATGAGCAACAACTCCAAAGAAGCCGCGCTTGCCGCCTTTTGTCGTCCAGCCATCGAAGCTTATATAGATTTTACTAATAGCCGACGAGAGCATCTGAACAACCTGCGGCTCTATATAGCGATACAGCCTTATCACGAAGCTAGCTACACTGTTATGACTTACCTATAGCGCGTTAGCTGCCTCTAGGTTAGCAAACTCTATTATCTGCCTAAACGCAGGCGTTTCGAACTCGCGGAGAGGGTAGTTATTATCGACAAGCCACGTAACAGCGGCGTATCGAAAGCGCTGTACGTCAAAGTTTCCGAGCTTGTTAGCGACGCCTTAAGGTACATCGACACCGCCCTTGGTTATTATCTTAAGCGTCGTTTGGCCTCGCGGTAGTGTAATCGAATCTAGTTTGCCCTTGCGATCGTAGCCGTGGCTAAGTAGCTTCTGCGCGAGGTAGTTGATAGCGTTACTGGTCGACTTTGTAACCTCTAGATAGGCGCAAAAGATCTTACGATAATAGCAGTATTTGCAAACAAAGAACGTACGATAAGGCTTACGGAGAGAGGCAACGCGGTAACCGTACTAATATACCCAACTTTTGTTGCGCTTTAACGTACGCAGCAGCTTCGTAAAACGCGGTAAACGCTTCTAATTAATGCCGTCAAAGTTGTCCGTAAACTCGTCATCAAAGCCAGTATTATCCCCACCTTCGATAGCCTCACTTGTAGCCTCCGTAGCAGCCCTACTACCCTCGGCCGGCGGTTGTATAGTAGCTTCTAGTATAGCGTCGCGCAACTGCGACTCGAACGGCGCGTCTTCGGTAGCCTGGCTTGCTGCAGCAGCTAGGGCTTTACGTGGCGAGGTGCGGATAGACAGCTCAGGCTGCGAATCGTCCATCAGGATAGGCTGCGATGCACTGCCTTTAGCTGTTTTGGCGCGCTTGTGGGGGCCGTGGGGGCTGGGGGTGCCCTCGGCGGCGCGTTTTAGGTTACGAAGCGGCATTTTCGGCGTGTTAGGCAACGAGAAACACTAAAACGTGCTGTAGAGAGGGTAGTGTAGCTGCAAAAGATGGCTAACAGCGATATAGAAGATGGGAGATAGGATATAAGATAGCGGTCATCGACGGCTAGCGACGCTCGTGTAGTTATATAATGACTAAGCTAGATGCAACACAAGAAAACTATCGCGAAATTGTCATGGATCAAACCCGCGACCTCTAGTAAGCGAGGTGGCCCGTGCGCCTTAAGCGAAGGCCACAGCCGAACACCAAAGTTCGACCCGCGCAGGTCTTCGAACCTGCACGCAATATCTCACTTAGTACTTAATACAGATACGGTCATCTCAACTATTGACGTCCCTCACACTATATTGCGTCTACCATACGGTACCTAGGACACGCGCGGAAAGTGACCGCACCGAAGAACTCAGCGCGCAATCAGTATTGCTCGTGACAGCAACCCCGCAACCCCGCGGCTGAGACGGCGACAACTCGTCCCCCATCTTCGGTCACAGACCCGCATCAGGATAGCTCGCGCGCCGCCAACTGGGACTTTGAGGCTCTGTTATACGACTGCGGAGTGGAACTCAATTGTCATTGGCCCTCGTACGCGCGCGATACAAGCTATTGTGCTGACAGCGGAAGGCGTGTTGTGCTAGAAGCCCATCATCGAAGGACGTTGCCAGTACCGCGTCGCGATTGAGAGTATCGCGATTGCACTGGAACGATTGCGACGGTATCGCATCACCTTGGTGACTGGTAGACGGTTTGGCTCACCGCTTTACTTCGAGCAAGGAGTCAGGAGTGTGACAGCAAATAATCAGCTGTGCTCCCCGCCCACATTTGACGCACTCTCTCACAATCATAACCACTCTCTTTCTCCACCTACATTAACCACACCCAACACCTTAAATGTTTAGAACTATCAACGCCATTAGCGACAACGTCTCTACCGGCGGCCGCCACCCCCGCCGATCTAGCGACATGCAGCCTCCTCCACAGCCCAGCGTGACTGACTTCCCTATTGGCCGCAAGAAGCGCAAAGACAAAGCGCCCGCGACCCCCCGCAGCCAAGACTCCAGCCGCGAGCGACCTAAGGATACTGCATCCGACACCCAACAAACTATTAGCCAAGGCCCCGCTCCTAAGCATGAGCCTGTTCGTCGATCCGAACCAGGCCGTCGAAGCACCTTCGGCTACCCCGCACTTCCAGTTACAGAAGGAGACAGCCAAGAGCCCACAATGGTACCACACGACCCTGCCGACATCTACGATGTTATAGTTGGCAGTTGTCGACTCCAATCCCTCAGAAACAAGAACGTCTTGTCTGCCAAGATTACTCACTCTGAGTTCACGTTCATCACTATTGTACAAAACGAGACTGAGGATGAATTTGAGCTGTACCTAGGCCGAGAATCTCCCCTGGAAGAATTCCAAGTCCCCGTCTGCACTGACGACGACTTATTGGAGCTAGCCACTTCAAACACCGCGTTCCTGCGCTCTCTAGCTATTGAGCTCATGAAGTTCGCCGCTGCTTGCGCTCCTATCCTGGACGCGAACATCGATGCAATAACCAAGGAAGCTCACGAAGCCGCTGTTAACCGCTTACGCCTTCGCATCACTAAGGCTGAAGCTAAGCTTAGCTGGTACGAGAAGGAAGTCTCAAAGCTGACTGAGACTATTGAGACTACTAATGCTGAGTTGGAACACACCAACCGAGAGCGTAATGAGCTTAAGCTAGAGGTCGAGCGCTTTTATCGTCCTTCATCCTCCAAGACCGCCGGTTGCACTAACCCTACTTACCAAGACTGGTATGAGGACTGGAAACACGAAGAAGCGCAGTCCATTAAGTTCCACGGCCTGTACGAGGAGTTCTTCAGGAAGCACCAGGAAGAGCGCGCCCGCGCAGACCGCTATCACCAGCAGCGCGCAGAACGCGACGCCGACTACGAAGATGTGGTCGCCCAGAACTGCGCAC